CCAGCTTCTTTCTGCAGGTCTTCACCGTGGTCTCTCAAGAATCTTACTTCGTCATCCTCTGATCTTATTTTTATCTTTCTTCCTTTGAAGCTAAAAGAAAGGCCTTGGGGGACTTCCCACCTGAAGATGATTTTGTTGTTTCTCAGCAGGGCAACCAAATCTCTGTAATTGGACCTAAGGTCCAGAAGATATTTCGGAATGTCCCTAAATATCTCCACTTTTGACTGATGTATTACCAAAGTCTTCTGGAAGTGCAGACTCAAGATTTTGTCTCTCTCCTCTTTTGTTCGGAGGGTAATCAAACAGTCTCTCACCCTGTTCTTCTTCCCTCCTCTTCCAAGTCTAAAAGCACTCACTATCTTGAAGTTATCCTTCTCCAAATCTGGGTTCCAAAAGTCTGCAAATTCCTGCGTAAGAAAATCAATCAAGTTGTCTTTCTCAAGTTCAGGTACAGCCCTGATTCTTAAATTCGTTTGCTTCTCCTTCAACTCAATCATAGACAGTATTGACCTATGGTCTTCAAGTTGCTTGTGTATCGGTGGTATCGTCTCTTCTAGAGCAGTTGCTATATCCTTTGCCTCTTCAGCTGTCTTTCGTGTCGAGGTAGATTCCTGTAGTAATTTCTGAATAGTTTCTGTGTTGGTATTTACCTTCTGTCCCAAATTATTAATACTTGTGGTATTTTGGTCAATTTTGCCCGATGCTTGGCTACTTGTTTACTTATTTTTTCCAAAGATTCGTTAATTTTACCAAGTGCCTGAGCCAAAGCATCTTCAGCCATTCCTTTGGGTTTAGGTTGTGCCGATGAGGCTCCTGTTGGTAATCCAGAAGGGCCAGATGTCGATGCTCTTCACTGTAGCCCACCGTCTGTACGAAATAGTCTGCCAGACCTCATTGCTTTTTCCTGTAGCAAATCTATTTTCTCCTTTCCATCTGCCATAACACTCTAGATAAGGTCCAAGGTCAGTCTCACGATCAGAATTTGTTTTGAAGTGGAAAATTCCCCTGGCCCAGCTGCTATTGTAACCATTTCAAACTTCCTCTAGGGGGACACAGTAGCAGTCAAAAATGTCTTAAAGTAATTAACTTTTTTTTTCCTTTAGCCCCCCAATTCACAGAAAGGACGACAGTTTCAATCTCAATTGATTTCTGTTACTTTAAAACCAGGAGAAGCCAGTCAGAAATATTGTATCTTACTTGTATCTCAGATGCAGAGTTAACTGTCAAAAAGTACTTTCAGCGGCAGCGCATTTCACAATACGGCATTCTTACTGTTCACTGGCAACCCGTTCCCAGGTTTTTGAGCGGTGGATTTTAGCTTCTTTTTCTCTCTTTTTGCGGGGAAATACAGTTCAGACCTTTCCCCCCTCCTCCCCTGCAATCAAGGGGGGGAAGTCGCTTATTTGATGTTAGAATTATAATCCTTTTCCAACGTCTTTCAAGGTTTCCGCTTACAAGTTCATTGCTTTACTCCATTTACAAAGAATGGAAGGCAGACTTCCTGTTTATGCCTCTCCGCTTCAGTGCCAAATTATTTCTTAGTTCCTTTGTTTCCGAAATTAGCCTACTCACGGATCGTTGTTTTGCAGCCAAATTGTCTCAGGAAAAAGGCAGCGCTCTCCGGTAACGGCTGTGTGGCTTCGCTCCATGAAAGAAGCAGTTGACTCACAGCACCGCGCCACTTCCCCGCTCCGCTCCGGAACCCGTAATCGGGCTCCTTTGCGAGTTGGGGGGGCGCAAAAGGTGCCCGCCGAGTCCCACGGTCACAGGCTTCACCCGCCTGTGATTTTTGAAGGGTCCCCGCTTCGCCGTAGTGGTGCAGACCCGATTTCCGCAGAGCCGGTTCCCTCCGAGTCCGAGGGAATCTGCCATTACCGATGGCGCCACCCCGGAAGTTGAAAAAATTGATCCCTTACAGCTGTGGAATAAGTATAATGTGGCACTGAAAACTGTGCCGGTTCTGAAGGTCAAAGTGGGCACACATGAAGTAAGGCAACCCTGCAAGATGAGAGTCTTATCTTAGTAAAGTTAAAGGGACCCCTGACCATTAGGTCCAGTCATGGCCAACTCTGGGGTTACAGCGCTCATCTCACTTTATTGGCCGAGGGAGCCGGCGTACAGCTTCTGGGGAACCAAAGCAGCACATGGAAATGCCGTTTACCTTCCTGCCGGAGCAGTACCTATTTATCTACTTGCACTTTGACGTGCTTTCGAACTGCTAGGTTGACAGGAGCAGAGACCGAGCAACAGGAGCTCACCCCGTCGCGGGGATATGAACCGCCGACCTTCTGATCGACAAGCCCTAGGCTCTGTGGTTTAACCCACAGCGCCACCCGCTTCCCACTTACCTTAGTACAGTAGGCTATATTCCACCCATGCAAAAATCAAACGTTTCTGATCTTCGAGAGTCTTCTGTAGCTGTGAACTGTCCCAACACACATACTTCCCAAAATCAATGGCACACAACCATCCACTAAGTTCACTGCCACAACAGTGATCTGATGAAGAATGTCCAAGAGTTGCTGCACAATGTGATATTTCTAAACAACTTATAGCAGGATTGTCTGTGGCAAGAGGGTTCTTCTCTTAAGTCATCTCAACCTTGAATAAACCATAAGTGTCTCCAAGGCAGCAATGTCTGCCTGAAGTTAAATACAAATAATGTGCAACACTGTCAAGTACCATTCACCTCAAGCAGACTGAAGAGAGAGAAACCAGAGCTGTGCATGGGAAATCAGCAATCAATGAGGATAATGAAGGAATGTACTCAAGTGCCGAGACTCCAAGAGGATAACTCCAGGCAAATTATTTGTCAAAAATCTAAGTTCATCTTCAGCTCACCGAAAAGATCTTTTGACACAGCAATCTATTGTGTGTAGAAGGGAATAACTGTTGTTAGGAACAGTTACGGCAAATAACTATAATGGGAATGAATGACAGAAAGTTCTTCATGTCTATCATGTTTGTGAATTTATTGGATAGTTTTGTTGGCTAGTATATCATGCAAACATATCTGCAGCTTCTCTCATATAATGTAACTGAAATATATGTACTATATATGCCCTGCAGTTCTTCTCAGAAATATGAGTGAAATGCATACATAACATGCTGCTTGTGGCAAAGGGCACATTCACATGCCAATTGTCCCATCAAATATATAGGGTACATGGTTCCCTGCATGCCATGAACAAGCTATGAAATACCTGCGACAGCATTCCCAGCATCGGGGGCCAAGGGAAATGTAATTTTCCCAGGGCACCTGGCTTCCTAGGTGTCCTAGGAAAATAATATACTCATGGCGCCAATTTTTCCTGGCAACTTACTTCCAGTTAAATGTCCATAGGACTGCAGCCTTCGTTAGGATTGGATGGTAGATCTGCTAGAAATCTGTTCGTATATGCTGTGGCAAACAAGGTAGTGTTTCTAAGCCTATGGGAGAAGTACAGTCGTACGGCTACTTACGTATCCCTCTGGATATGGAATCTTCGGGTTATAGCCATGGCAAACCTGGAAGTGTATACTTCTGGGTTTCACCGCGCGCACATGTGCAGAAGCGCTCAATCGTGCCTCGCGCGTGCGCAGAAGCATGCCTCTATTTACATAATTTTCAGGATGCGAACGGACCCCCAGAACCAATTAAGGTCGTATCCGGAGGGTCCACTATCTTCTATAGCCATAACGTTCATTACTACTTCTTTCTTTTCAGTATCCTCCTTCCTCTCTTATCCTCTCACCCCAGGATCCCAAGGCCTAGTAATCTTCAGGATATATTTTTTGTCAAAACTAAGATGTTTTGTACATTCTACTCTAAACTGGTATGCTGTGGGGGAGGGGAGACAAGATTGATGCTATCCTCGAAAACAGGATAGGTTTCTAGGAAAGTTGCCCTAACTATGGAAAGTAATGTATCCAGACATGTAGCATTCCTAAGGGAAATAAGCTCCCCCCCCTTTTTTTTAAAGGGCATCGGGATGGATCTATGAGCAGTGTAATGGAAAAGCTCCAGAGATCCTCTAAAAAGAAAATCTCACCATGCTTCAAGTGTTTTAAAAATTAGGATGTCAGTAGCTCAATAGAACTCCCTGAAGATATGCACATGAGCACAGAGACATGTAGTAGAGAAGAAATATCATGGCCCTTGCTACAGAAACAAGAGCAAACTGAAATACAGCTTGCTCCATCTGGAAAGAGAAAGAGAAAGAAATGTGAGCCTCATTGCTCAAATTGCCAAACTGCTATACTGGAAAATAAGCAGCCTCTGGGAGACCCAAGATGTTTTAAATAGCAAATGCTACTTGCATAACTTTCTGTAAACCTGTATCAGCCATCAGTGTTCCTAAACTGTGTTTCATCACAAATCAATAAAGGATATCACAAAATGCATCCCACCACCATGGCATGGAACAAAAATGTTGCAATCCAAACCCACACCTAGCTGTCCCATTTATTTGCCTGTAATGGATAAGTAAGGTTTTTGCAGTTTCAGGAGCTGTACAGTGGCATAGCGTGGGTTGTCAGCACCCGGGGCAAGGCAAAGAAATGTGCGCCCCCTAACCCCCCACGCTACGCCACTGGGGCAGAGAGCTGCGAGTGCAAGCACCACCCCCCCAGGTGTTGCGCCCGGTGCGGCTGGCCCCCCCTGCAACCCCCACTGGAGCTGTATTTGGACTTTTAATGCTTTCTTGGCAGAATGGTCCCTGAGCCCCACCCCAAAGTATTTGTTCTCTGCAGAGCAGACAATATTTTTGCATCAGGACATAGTTTCATGATGCAACATTATGCAGGCTGTATGGACACACTGAAGCATATTTATAGGTAATTCATTTTCTTCCCATCTCTCAAAAACCATTAGGATTTTGCTTGGCAATGTAAAAATATATATATACGTTCTCTGGCGCTTCAAAATGGATCATGGTCAGCTTTAAGCGGGATGAGGCAGGTGGGTGGGGGAAAAGCCTATCTTTCTCTAAGCCAGTTAATTTTGTATGTATGTTTGCCATTATGAAAACACAAGTGACATTCATTTCTGATTCCTTTATATTAAACTATTGCCTTCCCTAAATACCTGCCTGCATCAAACAAGCACGCAACTCCTGCATATTACGTAGGGACTTGTAAAAATGTTAGAACAAATTATACAAATTCTTTCAGTTCCCCGAGGCTAGCTTGTTATTAACATTTAACACTGACTTCTCCTGGAAATACTTACAAAGGGTGTACAGGTGCCTCACTGGAAGTGTGCACAGATGTCTTGTGTGCTTTGGAAATCACTGTTGTATAAATAATAATAATAATAATAATAATAATAATTTATTATTTATACCCCGCCCATCTGGCTGGGCTTCCGCAGCCACTCTGGGTGGCTTCCAAAAAAATATTAAAATACTGTAATACATCAAACATTAAAAGCTTCCCTAAACAGGGCTGCCTTCAGATGTCTTCTAAAAGTCTGGTAATTGTTCTTTGACATCTGGTGGGAGGGCGTTCCACAGGGAGGGCGCCACCACCCAGAAGGCCCTCTGCCTTGTTCCCTGTAACCTCACTTCTCACAGTGAGGGAACCACCAGAAGGCCCTTGATGCTGGATCTCAGTGTCCGGGCTGAACGATGGGGGTGGAGACGCTCCTTCAGGTATACAAGTCTCCCAAATGTTAATTTAGCTTGTTGGCTTCACCTCTTCATTTAAGTACAAATTCTGGACTTTCTTTTCCCATTCATAATTTTAAAAATGGCGTATTTATGATAATGAGTGCCTTGCTGGATTTTATTCATCCATTCAGTATTGCGTTTTCAAGTTTCAAAGGTTGCTCCTGATCTTCTTAAGCATTCTGATGAAAATGTCCAATTTCAGCATACTTAATACAGAACAAAGCAGAGCGGTCTAAAAAACAACGAAGTTGAGCACCACCTAGTGAATCTGCCACAGAATACAAGTTCTCTCCATAAGGATGGTGCAAATAATGGTGCTTTTTAGATAAGCTTTCAGCCACCAGTACAGTCTTCACTTCAGACGCAGCTCTGCACACAGAATGCTGCCTTTTCTTCTCCAAACAAGCTTTTGGAAGATGCATCCTATTGGGATTGGTGGTGATTGGCACTTAGCCAGCACAAAATCTCAAGCATGTGAGGATTAATTAGTATTGCAAAGACACCTTGAAGACAAAGTGAGCACAGTGTACATGCTCAAAGGCTACTGTTATATATTTTTTTTAAAAAACAACAAAACACACACCATGATTAATAACTATTGGAAATTTCAACTGCACTCTCAGCAAATATTAAAGTACGGGTTTTCTTTGTGTTAAATAAGATTTTTAATGGAGGTTGCTAGTACTTCAAAGAGGGCTTGAGGCACGTAGAAATTCTTTCAAACAGAATCCAAATCTGAAATGCAGAAAATTCATCAGTAGTGCTTTCTATAAAATAATAATAATATATAAGCATCCATTATTAGCTTAACCCTACACCAGGGGTCAGCAAACTTTTTCAGCAGCGGGCTGGTCCACTGTCCCTCAGACCTTGTGGTGGGGCAGGCTATATTTTGAAGGGGGAAAATGAACGAATTCCTATGCCCCACAAATAACCTAGAGATGCATTTTAAATAAAAGGACGCATTCTACTCATGTAAAAACATGCTGATTCCCGGACCATCCGCGGGCCGGATTCAGAAGGCAATTGGGCCTTAGTTTGCCCCCGGGCCTTAGTTTGCCTACCCATGCCCTAAACGCTGAAAAACAGCTCTTGCTGAGCATTTAAAAGACATGAGAGATTGATGGTCACATCAGGGTTTCAGTTCTCTTGGCTGACACTTCAGTGCCAAGTTCTCCATCTTGTGCTGGTGGCCCCAGGGTAGGGAGTTGCATCTGGCAGCCTAGAGCAGGGGTGAGCAACCTGCAGACCATCTGGATATTGCTGAATCATAGCTTCCATCTTATTTAGAAAGAAACTCTGGGTTATGCAGTTTGGGTAAGAGCAAAGGGAGAATATTAGAGCATTAGCAAAGGTATCTGCAGAACTCAGGAATGTCAGCAGCATAACAAACGATCAAATGTAACACTTGGGCTAAAAAGGTTTGTTATGGGGAAGAATGCCCTCACAATCCAAGTGTGACTTCCAAACTAGTTGGAGATTTATCACTAATAATAATAATAATAATAATAATACAACCAGGCACTGGTAAACAGTGGCAGAGAGATTTGTGCAAGACTGGCAGAAGAGAAGGATGGGAAGGGACAGGAATGTGGACCCAGGTCACATGCTATGCCCAGTGGACCCGAGTGGTTCTCATGTTCGATTGTTCAAGATAACAAGGAATTCATTGCAATCTGCATCTTATTTAGTAGAACAGATAGGTAAAGCACAGATGCCTTGAGCTACTCTACTTACATGTAAGGAAAATGTGTGATAAAATAGTGGGCGCCTACCCCATGGTAAAATAAGCCTTTAAAGGCATACTTTAAATACACTGAACATATAAGGTAAAGGACCCCTGGATGGTTAAGTCCAGTCAAAGGCAACTATGGGGTGCAGCGCTCACCTCACTTCAGGCTGAGGGAGCCAGCGTTTGTCTGCAGACAGCCTTTCCAAGTCATGTGGTCAGCATAACTAAACTGCTTCTGGCACAAGACACCATGACTAGTGCCAGAGCGCATGGAAACGTCATTTACCTTCCCGCTAAAATGATACCTATTTATCTACTTGCACTGGTGTGCTTTTGAACTGCTAGGTTAGCAGAAGCTGGTACAGAGCAACAGGAGCTCACCACCATCGAGCGGATTCGATTATATATAACCAGTGTTTCCCAAACAGCTGTTTTTGAACTGCAGTTCCCATCATCCCTGATCACTGGTACTGCTCTCTAGGGATGATGGGTGCTGTACTCCAAAAACAGTTGGAGACCCAAGTTTGGGAAACGCTTCTATATACTGTGACACTGGTTCCCAAACTCCCCCCAAGTGTTAGATGTTGTATGGTTTTCCACTCTAGTTTCACAGACACACAGCTGACCAGTTTGGGAACTCTGGTCCTATAATGTTCAATTTGCAGATGCTGAAATGGATGATTGCACATTCTAAAAATGCTGAAGCCAGCGCAGAAATTGTGACTCATAACATAATCTAATTGCCTGACCTTACTCCTTTTACAGTCACACACACCAGTGAGGTAACCAATTAGACTCTTCCTGCAACGTGATCTGACCATACTTCTCAAAGGTAAGCTGAATGTATGTTGGGCAACTGATCGGATTTCACAATTCCACAGTTTCTGTGTGCTTGGCATGGATGTGAAAGGGTGCAGAGATACACTAGAGAAAACAGAAAACCTCCTATTTCTTATGCAGGGGGAGGCCTACTGACTACAGTAAGTCTGTCCTGGAGTAAGTACCTCGTGGATTATAAAGCTCTTTGCGGAAGGGGGAAATGAAGAGAAAATGATCCCTGGGAAACTGTGGGACCGAATAGCATGTTAATGAGCATCTGTCATTTCTCAGTGAAACAAAATAATGTGAAAGTATTTGTGTGCATTGTGAAGGTAAGCTGTGGGAAAGAAAACCAGTTAACTTCAGAAATGACCCTTAGAAAAATGAGCTCTTCCTCCTCTGGTTGAACAAGCACCCAATCCAAAAAAAGAGAGCAAACACTTAGTTCCATTAGGTCCGTTTTGCCCTAAGCTACTATATGAGAGAAATATATTGCTTTCCCAATTTTGCTCATATTTAATTCTATTAATATCTAAGAAATGGTAATAGGCCATCTCATCTCATACTGCATTTCCTCTGGATTTCTGAAGGTACACTTTTCTTCTCAGAGCCACCTGGTAGAGGATGAACTCTAAAATGCTAAAATGTTTTTTCAAAGGCAGGTGGCATCTCATGTCTTTTTCTCTTTAACTTATCTTGGTAGAATCTTGCTTTCTGACCTAGGGACTGAGTGGGATTGTGGTCCCCCTCTAGGGTACATTTTCAGGAAAATGTTCAGATCATAACCAAAAGAGCTACCTGGTAGCTTAAGCATCCCAAAGCCATTATTATTATTTTCTTGTCACCAGAATCCACATGCTCAGCTTTAGCAATGTTTGGTTCAGGCTGGGATTTTGGAAACTGACTGCTGGTAGCTGTTACACCATTCTTCCTTCTTTATCTTAGAATGCAGCATGTAAAAAGTAGCTACTTGGTGAATAAAATGCCTGATACGAATCTATTAACCAAACAGCAACTAGCGCTGTTCAAATCTAGTTCTGTATGGCAGAATATAGCTCCTCTCTGTTCCATCTTACTTGCTTCTGGATGCAAGAGATTATCTGTCAGAGTCTGTGCATGCTGATTTTGCTTCATATTTAAACAGTGTGTGAAAGCATGATCAAGCAGCAGCATCAAGAGCGAAAACAAATGCTGTTCATTGCAGATGAGAGACTAAAGCTGAATTAACACAGCAATTTCATCAGAATAATTGGCAGAGATATGTACACGCATGCACGCACACAACCCAACCTACTCTTCCCCAAAACTATGCACAAATTGCCTTCTATGTTTGTGAAAGCTGCACAAACAATGTGGGCAAGTCTCAGAGCAGGACATCCTAAAAAATACCTGAAGCTAGGCTCCCCATCGGACTGCACCACATCTTAATGCAAGCGGAGGTTTCTATGCTTCAAGCTCCTCACATACTAGAAATATCCTGCCCGTGGAAAGTTAGCATATCAGAGAGAAGAGCCTGGTGTGCCAGATTTCTATGTGCAGGAAATGTATTTATGGACCCACCCACCCCCATTTCTAAAGAAGGGTGCAACCTATTTAGAACAGTTATACATCACAGCTTGTTGGCATCCGTCAGTCTCAAGAGACAGTGGAGTGCGCCTTTGGGGGGGAGGGATGAAGTCAAACCACTGCATTAGACTTACCCACCAGGGTGTAAGCCTAGTCAGTGTGTACAGAGGTCCTGGGCTGCCCAGATGACAAGATCTCCCCCTCCCTCCCAAATGTGGTCCAAAGGAAAGCAGAGCAATGCTTGGCTGTAGGACTTGCCAGAAGGAGACATACAAGGTGCCATCCAACCATCTTAGCGACTCCACTCTGGATTTGTGTAGGATTTACCCCTTAGCCTTTTCTTCTCCCGAAGATATCCCACAAGGTTTAAGGTCAGAGTTTTCCTTCTCCTAGATGGGCTACCTTCCCAAGTTGATGGCAGCACATTTTCTATAACTCTAGAAAATAAATGTCATTTACGATAATTTATCTGGAGGGCCCCCAGTGAATTGCTACTGCATCCTGCAATAAACAGGACACAACTGGATAGCTCTTTTCCAAAATTCTCAGGATTTTATTTTTAAATAGCTTACAGCTTCCTTGTGCTTATTTTTTTGGATAGGATTCTTGTTTAAACTAATCTAAAAGATTTGTTTTGTCTGCGACTGAGCTAGATATTTCGTCATTAACGACGTGGTGATGTATCTGGCTCTGATCACAAAACTGACGGTTATCAGTCAGAAGAGAGCCTATGTTTGAACTAGGTTGGAGTGAAATGCATACATCACTGAGCAAGGACTCTTATGCCGTTACACTTTAGCAGTTTTATCATCATCAAGATTAATTGACCATTCACTGGAGGGACTATAAAAAATGAAAATATATCCTCATTTCCTTTTATACTCACACCAGTAAGGGGTCTTTAATCTAACTGGCTAATTGGTGACTCATATGTTTATTTCCCCCCACACACACACTAATTTAATATTATCAGAATGTGACCTACATAATGGATATGAAGAATGTTATTTTTTCACACACATTCTCTAGGGAAGTTCCAGAGGCTATCAAAACAGTTTGCAGCATATTATTCAAAGTTTGCATCTTGGAATGATGTTCCTGTACCATGTGGGATAGCTGTAAATCCCCATGGGAAAAGATTTTGGGCAACACGTGGCAGGACGGTCTGTCAAAGATGTGCTCTCCCAAGCACACATTCACAGTATGTTCACACTCTTGTCTCAGGTCACATCCACACAATGGAAGATAGCAGGATCCTGCCCCACCCCCAGGATGTGCTTTACAGGGAGCTGGCTTCAGGCACCAGACCAACTCTGCATTACAAATATTTCTGCAAACATGACATGAAGGCTGGCAACCTCAACTCCACCATGTGAGAATCCCTTGCAGATGACCGCAGTGCATGGAGACAGTCAGGTTCATCATCCATAGCAATGACCAGAGGAGAAATGACCACTGGGAGGAACGCAGAGAGAAAAAAACGCCACGGTGCATCTGCAGCAGCTCAACCTTCATCTGCCCTAGCTGCAACAAAACATTTTCTCCTGTATCGGTCTCTGCGGCCACAGCAGGCGCTGTAAGCTTCCAACAGGGCACACTGGGTCTTAGTAATTATGGCATCCTTTTCAAAGTGCTCACAGACTGTCTGTTTAATTATCTGTTCTGGGACCTTTCCTGGTATTAATGTCGAGCTGACCGGTTGGTAGTTATCTAGGTCTTCTCTCTCCCCCCCCCCCCCTTTAAAGATGTAATCTGTCTATAGATTAAATACACAAGCTCATTAAATACCCTAAAGTGCAGCTCATCAGGCCCTGGAGATGTTAATTCATTTAACATAGCTAGGTGTTCCCTTGCCACCTCTTTTCCTATCGTGGGCTACAGCTCCCTCCTTGCATCATGTATTCTGTTATCACCAGATTGTGCACTGATTTCCTTTTGGGTGAAGGCAGAAGACTATATACCATTGCATTACTTGGGGGTGTGGGGAGGCATTCCGAACTTCCCGCTGGAACTCAATTTCACAGCTAACAATACTTCAAAACAGTTTAATATGCCACTGTGAGCCCTCTTTTCAAAATCAATTTCAGAAATCACTGGGAGCTGTTCTGATAAATTATTTCTCCTGGGAACCAAAACTTCTTGTCCTGTTTTCCTAGATCTGTAGTAATTATTGGAGAAAGGTAGTAAGCATTAATGCTTCACCAGAAGTATTTGTCTTCTCAATGAATTGCTAAAAGGAATTTCAGATGACACGGCGACATATTTAGTATATTTAAGAAAATTTACATACCACGTGATTGTAATAAATTCTCCAACTGGTTTACAATAAATATTAAAATCAGCAATAAAAACTGCTACCCAATAAAAGCATTTTGAAATAATTAAAATTAACATTAAAATATATTAAAGAAGAAGAGTTTGGATTTGATATCCCGCCTTTCACTCCCTTTAAGGAGTCTCAAAGCGGCTCACAATCTCCTTTCCCTTCCTCCCCCACAACAAACACTCTGTGAGGTGAGTGAGACTGAGAGACTTCAGAGAAGTGTGACTGGCCCAAGGTCACCCAGCAGCTGCATGTGGAGGAGCGGAGACGCGAACCCGGTTCCCCAGATTACGAGACTACCGCTCTTACCCACTACACCACACTGGCTCTCAGCATATGTCTTAATGGACTTACCTAACAAAAATGCTCCAAGCAGGTACAGTGAGGACAGCAGTGTTGCCAGCCAGTGGAACTCCCCATGGACATCAGGCTGGCACCTTTGCTGCCATATTCAAAGTTAAATTTCTTACAACTGCAGAACAAGACTTGTGTGGCACCTGTAACACTGCCAGCACCAAAGATACACCAACCAATCACCTAGGACAGCAGTTCTCAACGTGTGGGTCCCTAGATGTTGTTGGACTACAACTCCCATCATCCCTAGCTAGCAAGGCCAGAGCTCAGGGATGATGGGAGTTGTAGTCCAACATCTGGGGACCCACAGGTTGAGAACCGCTGACCATGGAGGAGCTAGCCAGACTGCACTTCTTAAGGCACATTATGACACAAGGCAAGCTGGTAAACCCTTTGTAATTTATCTGAACGTGTCAGTGAGAATGCTTGGCACCCCAGAAAAGGACGGCTTTGCTGGAAACTCGTTTTCCTGAGAGCACATGGAAGTTAAGTTTTATTAAGAGCTCATCAGATGCAAAATGTTTCCATAACGAAATATCACCAAGGCTTAATCACCACCACACTTAAATCATTTGAACTGAGCCAACTCCAACTCCTGAAAAGAATTCTGTAAATCTGTATAAAGGTGATAGTTTGATGTGTCTGGTTACCTTATTTGGTGGGTGGCGTTGCAGCCAGGCCCTGGGTACTGCGTCATCCAGCCAAGGGCTGGAGACTGGTGGGCTCCCTGCCGTCATCTCCCTGCGCTGTTGGTGCTTCTCCAATGATTCTCCGAGCTTCTCCAACCATTCAGCGCCGAAGGGGGGCATGTCCACAGGGAATTTAAACTCCAGCACAGCAAGGTCAACTGGCTTCTTTTATTGTGAACCAATCAGTACACTAATTTTGGCAGCTGATGGCAAGCAAAAAGATTGGGTAAAGCAGGGAGCACTAGCACGAGATCAGGCAAGCTCCTACTTTTGAGTGGGTTCTAGCAGCAAGTGGAAACTAAAATTTTAGTCTTGCCAAGATGATGCCAATGCTTCAAGATATGCAAGGTATTTTGAAATGGTTGATTTTAAGTTTCGTCAAGCTAGGTATGTTGGTATTTCCTATTGTATACATTGTGTTAAGCTGTAACCCACCCTGTGACCTTGTGCTGAAGGGAAGGATACAAATACAGCGGTACCTCGGTTTACAAACTTAATCCATTCCGGAAGTCCATTCTTAAACCGAAACCGTTCTGAAACTGAGGCGCGCTTTCCCTAATGAGGCCTCCCACCGCTGGTTCCCTTCCACTGTTCGGATTCCGTTCTTAGACCGAGGTAAAGTTCTCAAACCGGGACACTATTTCCGGTTTTGCTGAGTTTGTAAACCAAATCATTCTTAAACCGGACTGTTCTTAAACCAAGGTACCACTGTACTGAAAAGAAATATATCAGATAATAAAACAAACAGGTGACTGCTGACTGACAAAGAAACAGATGCAGGACATGGAACACCAGAGGTAAGGAAATGTTGCTACAGGTTGCTCATTATGTGCAACTCCAAACTATTTTTGCCAAATTAATCACCTTCATATGCTCAGGCCCAGTTTTTAGCCTCAAACACACCAAGGTCAATCAGTGATAATATATATATATATAGTCCTTGCATTCCACTTCAGTTTTCCCATTCAGATTCCATCCCAGAATTTAGATGCTAATGTCAGGTGAGCCTGCTTTTGAGCCAACTGAGCTCTATAGATAATTCATAATCCTGTTTATCTCTGCTACCTTGTCAGAAAGTCCTTCTTCACCTACAATGACTCCCAACAGCATTATCTAGCTGCAAGGACTACTCCACTGATGTGTCAATAGCTTTCCCACATTTACTTTGCCAATAAATTGATATTTAAAAACAGCAACTGCATACTCAGCTTTTTCATACGTGCTGTTAAAGGATATCCAGAATGCACACAAAAGGGTATCCTTCTTACAGCATGGAAGCGTTTTCACTTCATTAATGTTTAATTATTGTAAGACTTTTTTATAGTTTTAATAAACACGTCACTAAGTGTGAGACGACCTTATAAATTAGAGACCCTGCCACATTATCTATTTCTCATGAGTGTGTGTATGTGTTTGATTTGAGAAGTTCAAACTTGTCTGAAGGGTGGAAAATAAAAATATAAGTGCTTCTACAGTCCTATTGTTGTAACTGTTATCAGATTAGCTTTTAACTTGTAGGTTTTAATTATGCTCTATATTGATTTTTAATTCCTTTATGAAAAACAACACCAATAGTTACGATTTTACAAAATGTTTAAAAGTCTGGAATTAAATAGAACATCTGCAAAATTACAGTTACAAAATGTCTGCAAAATTAAATGCAAAATTGCATTCTATTTCAAAGGGAATTTACAAAATCAAAAATTAAGGTGGCGGGGGGGGGGATGAAGTCCTTGCTATACAGTCGAACCTTGGTTGTCGAATGCCTAGGTACGTGGATGTTTTGGCTGCAGAACGCCGCAAACCTGGAAGTGAGTGTTCCAGGTTGCAAAAGGTTTTTGGAAGCTGAATGCCCGACGCGGCTTCTGATTTGAGTGCAGGAAGCTCCTACAGCCAATTGGAGGCCGTGCCTTGCTTTTCGAACTGTTTCAGGAGTCGAACGGACTCCCGGAACAGATTAAGTTCGACAAGCAAGGTATGACTGTATTCAGTAAGTGCTTGCCAATTTGTTCTAAATTTATATTGTTTTTATTTTTATATCTCACACAATGAGCTAAGCGGGCTATTGATTTGGTCTGTGTTCTTCCCTGAGATTGCAAAGTGTAGAAATATAAAATAAATAAATAATATATTTTATTTACAAATGAGGAAACAAAACAGAAGGTGCCAATCAGCTGTGTTATACCAAAAGCATCACTTTACTTGGTCAGTAAGGCAACGTTTTTCATCTCCTGGCTTACTCCCTGACACAAGCTTTCACTGATTCATATTTTACTGCCAAGCTAACCCTGACATTGGACCTCATACACAAAAGCAGTCTGAGAAAGCCTGAAAACATTGTTCAATACAGAAAACAATATTGTGAAGGCAGGTCCAGAAGGGGAAAGTGCATTTTGGAGATAGAGAAGCTTTGTCCCAAACATTAGATTTCTGTAAGAGCCAAGGTAGTATACTTATATATTTTCACATTCATAATCTGAAGCAGGGGTGCCAACTTGAATAAAATATTGGGGGGACGACCCAAGTATGTCCCACCTCTCATAATCGATAACAACATGTGGTGCGTGCACACCCTTTGAATGGTAATGTCCATTAACTTTGGGGGGCGTGCCTCAGATATTTTATTGGGGGGATGCAAAGGGATCTCAGCTCCAAGGAGTTGGCTTCTATGATCTGAAGCCATATACAAGATAAAAATGAGATAAAACACACACACACATACACAAAACCAACTTCTAAAAATAACAAGACCATTTCTACAGACGTCCTAAACACGACTGGGCCACAACTCACGAAAAATGCCTTCTGAAACAAAAGTGTGTTTCATAGGTACCTAAACAACACTATGTTAGGCGCCTGTCTAAATTTTGCTGGTAACTGGTTTCAAACTTGAAATTACTAATGCTAGGGCCCAAAACAGCCAAACTATCTCGGCACAGGAATGGCTCTGGATGTCCTACACCCAAATCTGTTAAAAGGCACTCCTGAGTAACCCATCTCCTGGGTATGCAAACCACCCACCCACACGTTTTCCCTGAAGTCTACTCGATTCTGATGGAGTTAACTAGAAAAGTAAGAAGCATCTTGGGACCGCAGCAGTCTTATTCCTGATTCAGTCACAATTTTTAATGTGAAAATGATGCCCTCCAAGTAAAAAGAGCAGCTACTAGCTTGTCTCACCCTCCTTCCTTCTGGCACTGCTCTTAGATATTCTCCTTTCAGGGGGAATAATCAGCAAGAAAGAGCTAGATTGTGTGAAGTATTGAGTCTGGCTCTGTCTCCTAGGCATTATCTAATGAAACATGGTGGCCACTCGCTTTATTCTGTATATACCAAGGACATTTTGACAGACAAGCTTGAGAAATAAATAGTTTCAAAAGCTGTTCACATCTGTAGTCTTGAGCCTGTTGTTTCTCATCTAGGATTTGGCTAGCTCTGCATCAAATATTTGTATTTCATTTGTGGAGGGGGGGGAGAGAGCTACAAGTTCAAAAATAATGAACTTCGTTAAAAAATGACAAGGAGAAAAAACACTAGGGCTTATCATTCGGGAAAATATGGGTAGAAAACTGTATCTGCTCTCTGTGGATAAAACAACAGATAATTCACGTTATTTGAACAGAAGTCTGTCTCCTACTGATACGAATGCCAGGCTGCTACTGTACTTCAGATGCAGTTTAGTAATTGCATATACCAGCAAATATGTTTTGTTATCAGACTTGAGAGATTTTGGTTTTGGTTTTTTTTAAAAAAAACACCCTTGGTGAGCTATATTTGGATGACCACAAATCAAGGCTGGTATTTTTTTATTTAACAGAGGTGAAGTTCTTTCGTTTTCCAAGAGATTGTGGCTTACTTTAAAATTTCTCTGCTCTGTTGTGAGTCAAACTGAATTGTTCCTAAAACATATTCTGTTCTTTTAGAAATGCCATCAAACTGCGGCAAAGGGATCAGCATGCCATTCTACTTTAGTGTTTGAATGTTATTACTTCATTCTACCAAATTTAATCATCAAACTCGTTCATCTCATGAGATGGTAATTTTCGTGCAAGTGCAATTATATTTCACAGCAGGACAGCTGATTAGGCAGACAGAAAAAAATAATTCATCAGGAAATTATAAAAAGAATTAATCGTCAACAACTTGAATAGTGAAAATCACTGCATGCTGCAGTTTTGCTAAATATTTTAAGACCTTCGTTCTCACCATACCTTAATGGGGAGCAGTATATATTCACCAACAAATAAGGAAAACATAACCCATAATTAAAGTTTACATTTCTATTTGTGCTGGAAAGATGGCACTCTTTAAATATATTTAAATGATAGTGATGGTACCTCCAGTGATAAACAAGATGTTTCATGAGCTCCAACATTAAAATCCTTAAAAAAAGGGAAAAAATGGCATTACACAAAACACCGCTACTAATTCATATTTTACTGTCATATTTCATACAGATTTAACTGCCATACAGTGCACCCTCAGTACTTAAAATACAAATGACAATGTTTCAGTGACTAGGGCTAGACTAGTGCCATCTTAAAATACACCCATAATTGTTTTAAGAATAAGAAAACACTTATGAAAATCAGTTCTATGGGCCATTCCCTACATCTTTATACTAAATCACTAACAATAATTAAGCAATATCTGTATCTATAGTTAAAAGTTAGATTTAATAACTGGAATGTAGGAAATTTCTACAAATTGTGTGCGAGACACAATGAGTATATACTGTACCTTTGTAACAGATGGCAAGGTGTTCAAAATAGCCCCCTCAGTTGTAATCATATGCATCAAAATCTTCGTTTTTCTTATCGTAAGACGGTTTTTTTGTATCTAATTTTCTCGAATCTTCGTTTGCTTCTTCATTTTGATCTAAAAATTAGATAAGTGTTTATTCAAATATGAAAGCCAGCTTCACATTGGTCTTGCAGTTAACAGTGTCTCTCCTCTGAACTCGGTGCTTCCGAGTATTGACTAAACTGTATTTCTCGATAACTGTAAATGCAATAAATTAACATGAAGATTATTCACAACACAAGTAACTCTATAAGTAAAAGGTGCATACGCCTTCAGTTGGTTTCAGGCAATAGGAGCCTTGCTTGCTACCATCCAAAACTATATTTTTTCTATGAGAACAGCACCAGACTTTGCGAGTTTCTTTGGAAACTTTTTGCAGCCAATATCCACTTTATGTATGTAGCTTGTAAGTACAACTGGGCAGGGTGGGGGGCACAAACAGCCTTACATGAATGGAAAGTTCTCAGACTCCATCTTTCTTCTAATGTTAGAACTGTTGTCCCAGACTCTCCTGACCACTCTTGTACAGCATTCCTATTACTGCTATACCTCCATTCCCAAACTCCCAACTAGTACCTCACTCTAAACTCCTCTTTTTCTCCCACTGGACACCTTCTTTCTCCATGTGGCTGTGGTGAGAGCACTGGGAGGCCAGCTGCTTTTGCCCAGTCCTGCATGCTCCCACCCCTCTCCGTCCATGTACTGCTGGTTGGCTAGGAAGCTTTACAGTGCAGAGTTTGACATCACTGGAAGGACAGGTCCTGAAGCTGAGGCTCCAATACTTTGGCCACCTCATGAGAAGAGAAGACTCCCTGGAAAAGACCCTGATGTTGGGAAAGATGGAGGGCACAAGGAGAAGGGGACGGCAGAGGACGAGATGGCTGGATAGTGTTCTCGAAGCTACCAGCATGAGTTTGACCAAACTGCAGGAGGCAGTGGAAGACAGGAGTGCCTGGCAGCTCTGGTCCATGGGGTCACAAAGAGTCGGACACGACTAAACGATTAAACACCCACAGACTCCTTGAAGGATCAAGGGAGCCCTGATGAGACTTCCACAGAGGTTAAAACCCCATTACCTTGAAGTAGCTAATGGCTGCATAAGACATCAGCCCATCTAACTGGCCAGGAGTCATCATTGGGGAAGGGCTCCGGTCAGTATCTACCTAGCCCTGCTGTAAAACTCAGCCAGTTACTTCAAGGCCTTGCTGATGCAATGTGGCCTCAGCTGTTAAGAGCACTGTCTGTGGTCCTGAACTGACACACATTCATCTCCAAGGAACTTCTGACCTTCCCTTGCTTGGGTTACCATCCCAAGAAGAGGGGACAGATCAAAAGGGCAAGAAATGCAAGACAGTACTTACAAAGTAGATCAAAGGCCACCAGAAGAAGGAAAGTAGTAATTCACAAGAAAACGAAGGCCCTATTTCAGCCTTTCTCAACCTGTGGGTCCCCAGATGTTGTTGAACTACAACTCCCATCACCCCTAGCTAGCAAGGCCAGAGCTCAGGGATGATGGGAGTTGTAGTCCAACAACATCTGGGGACTCACAGATTGAGAACCGCTGCCCTATATGCTCCTCTCATAAAAATAACCCTCTGGGTAGACAAAAGCATTTGGATTTAACTATTGTATATATCTACACAGCAATTCTCATCCTTTAATACTATAGATTTGGAATGGGTAGAGTCTTACGTTACGAATCATTTCACTCATTCCGTGAGAAAATATTTTGGATGAATATTTTGAAAAATGGCGGACAAAAAATACCTCCTTCCCCCGACTTTACATGTCTAGTTGTACACAAAACTTCAGGGGGGGAAAGTCCCACATTATATTTAGGCATCCAGGAGGACGTGAGGAAGAAACAAGGAAAAGCTGAATTAAATAAATTTCCCTGTTGTACTCAAGCTTAGCAATATTTTTAATTCTTTTATTATTTAAACAATTTATATACTACTTAATTATAGTCGTCTCTAAGTGGTGTTCAAGGAACTCAATACAATGCAAATAAATATCAGTTAAAATTAGAAATTGAGTTATTGATTTGTTCCTTTGTATTCTGCCTTTGCTCCAGACAACCTAATGGTGGTGTAGATGGTGTGTTAATCAATTTTAACTCTTAGGATTGTTGTGAGGATAATTTTGGTTGGGAGACAGCTGCTGACTCAAGATCACCAGAGACAAGAGAATTAATGATCCTGTTAACAGTGTGTCTACAGTGTGATGTCAGCTTCATGCAATGCCTAGTAAAAATTACCCTACGTGCTGACAACACTGTGGATTTCCTTGATTCCAATCACTGGCCATTTTTTGGCAGAGAAAAACAGCATAACAATATCAATACATGGGATAAGTTGTGTTACATGCCATAGCAGGGCACTGATTTTCAGTTGTTGTTTTTTTAAAGAAGTCTGCTTCTACCTAGAAATTCATGACTGAGCAACCTAGGTCTCTGTAGGTTGGTTGTCAATGGGACTGGGGATTTTAATACAGTACTACATTATTCCGTTCACATCTCTAACCTACAAACAGCCACTACCCGTCGGCCTATGCGGTCTCCTATTTCATTTGCTACACACCTTCCAGCATGTTCAACAAATGAGGCAGAATCCTTCAACTGACGGCTCATTCATTATAAAATGCTAATTCATTCCCAGATTATTGTTAATACCTTTTTTGCAGAACATCTCTGTGATCCCTTAGAGGGGGAAATGTAATCCCATAATCAAAATCATTATAGCAGCACACATAAGCAAGAACGGTCGATACCCTCTCCCATCTATGCTTAAAAATTAGCAAACTTGCATGCTAGTGTATAAGTATATGTAATTTGTAGTTAAGCCCCATGCCTTTTAAGTGGACTTTGAAGTACACACAGAATGCAGCCTTGGAAACATCTGCGCACAACACCCTGGGTGTGGCAAAGCTTTCTTTTCTTTTTATTTAGCTGTGATTTGCCCCAAGGCCTGGGGATGACAGAAGCTAGAAAGTGAGATGGAATAAATAATAAATCCATGGTCCAATGGGTGGAAGCGTGAGAGCTCAGTGAAAGAAGGCATATGCCTATCAGGAGGAAGGTTTGGGGTTTTTTACGCATAATCACATTCCTGGAAATGACATAATCATTACTGCTGAAGTTTGCAGCCTGAGGCAGACCTGAAATGCTTCTACAACATGGTGACGGAAATGAAAATAGGATGTTCTGATGGAAAGCGTTAGGCCGCTCTAATGGAAAACACAGTACTGCAGCTTCATCTGCAATATAAACAAAATAATACAGAGGACTTACCCTCCTAGCTTCTATAATTATACCTTTTCACTATTGGAAGTAATTGAAAGCACAATGGATTTTTTCTTCTTCTCATTACATTCATAATACTCAGTTATCTACCTAAAGTTAATCAACCAAGAAATGAAAACTATGTGTGAGAGGAAGAGTAAATAGGCTGTTGTCATTATTACACAGATTCTAACATAGTGAGGCTTCGTGAATTACAAAATTAACTTTAGGGTATTTTAGCATCTCTGCCTAAGCCAGCAGACCAAACGCGCTGATTACCAACACTAGAGATATTTCGAGGAATGCAATGAATTTTTGGGGTAGGGAGCAGGAGGAAGAAAATAGAGACTTTTACTCAGAAAAGTAAACGTTATGCACTACAATATATTCTGAGCTGATCTATTTATTATACCCGTATTCAATTCGACACACTAGAAGCAAAAAACGAAATAAGAGGGGAGAAGCTGTTGTGTACCATTATTAGTCAGAAGTCCAGAGTGCTAGCTAGGTGCCCAATCTGGCTGGCACCCCAAGCATACTCTTAAAGCTCCTTCAAGTTTGCTCTACAGGTGGCTGTGCAAAGCCGTACAGAGAAAGCAAGTCTGGTGTAAACCAACTATCATCATTAACAAGAGGCAAAGTATCTGGAAGGGACAAGAGTTCCAAATGCATGCTAATTCCTAACTCTGAACGAGACTGATTTGCCAACTCCCATAGTTTGATTTGGCCATCAGTGAGAGCAGTGTCATTTTTTTCTAGAAAGATGTGCTGGAGCTCACCATGAACACCTCCCTTGTTCTCTTATAATGGCAATGGCGCCCACCTGAGAGGTGCTGGAGCTGAGTTTCCAGCAAGTTTTGGTTGAAACAAAACCCATGAGAGAGGGAACAAAGCAACTTCCCCAATGAGCACAGTCTTCACTTGAAAGTTGTCAATAACAGTTAGAATCACTGAATCATAGAGTTGTAGAGTTGGGTGGGACCAAGGTCGTAGCACATGCATAGTGGCATCCCATTTCTGCTCTGGCAGACAGCACAGCGCATTCTCCCTGTATGTGGCAACTCACCATCCTGGCTGATGGCTTTTACATCTCCAGTTGCATCATTCTGCATCAGCTGTTGTTCTGGCATGTTGACAGAGTCCGCTTGGTCCTCTGGCTGATCACTATGTCCTGTCTTCTCATTGGGTACAAGGTGTGATGGTTCATCTTCTTCCTGCATCTCCCTCCTCTTAGGTACAAATTGTGCTGGTGCATCTTCTCCCTCCATTTCTGGGGAACCAATGCTGTCTGTATCTCCCTCATTTTCTTTACTGTCCATTCTGGTAGAGGGACTCTGTGGCACTTCAGCTACAGGGGGTGGTTGAGTGGTGCCATGGACATTACTTGTGTGGCTATCAGTTCCTACCACAGATTCAGCACTTCCAGCTAATAAAGTCTCCTCACCTGTGAACAAAAAATGTAACTGTAAATGAAATGGAGTCCAGGTAATGAGGAAGTAAGAGCTAAGTGGTGCAGTGATGCAAGGTTCTGGAACCCTCATCTCACTAGGTCATGATGATCAAGGACTGATGTTACCCAGCAGCCCTACTGATGTTCTTTATGTGTGTGCCAAATTTTTATTAAACTTTAAAATCTTTAACATATAAATTCCAGATTTCAAATTTGTTATACATTTCTCTTTAAACTTTGACTTCCCACCTTTCCCTGCATGCTTTTCTTAATCCCATCCTATTTGCATACTGCATTCTAATACAAGTTTCCCCAAGACATATCTTCTATTTCATATGTTATCATTTTCCTTCCGCTGCTCGTATTGCAAATCCTGCTAGCCATTTCATCCATGTACGCTATCTTTTTCAGATATTCATCCTTCCATGAATAGTCCGTCATGTTGGTTTCCTATTTTTTCCTGTTAGTTCCACCAGTTCTGCAAGGTCTATTAGTCTTTCTGATGTTCTTGGTCCTCCTGTAATATTGAGGTTTTCTAGGAATTCTAGATGAATCAAACAAAGCTTTCTTGAGCCAGTTCCAAGTGACCCTACTATGCAATGGTGCCCAGATTCATCCAGGAAAAAATGACAAATAGGTAACTAATTATCCAGTGTGCCACTGCTCTCAAACAGAGCATAGTTTGAGCTCTTTGGATTTCTCTAAGCGTGGTACTCTTTTTGGTATGAAACTAATGGATGGGCTGGAGAGCAATGTCTCAAGTGGAGAGCTTCTGCTGGTTTTTGTTTCTTTTGCTAAGACAGGATATACCACCTCTTGGGCATATTTATAGTTCGGAAGACCAGGAGACACAATGGCTGCTTGCTGGCACTGAAATCCAACAGCCGTATGCTCTTCATCTTCAGCAGGTTCAAGTCCAGGCATTCAGTAAGACAAGCAACTTTCATGCATGAAGGTTTGCAAAGTTGTAATGGCACAGAGAAGTGTGATCGAGCGTGTTGAGACAGCACAAGCGTAGGTCAGAGACCACCCCTGAAAGACCACATGACTATTTTCTAAACTGGCACATGAATGAATAACATCCATTCCAAAATCATCCATCATCAGGTGGTGTGGTTGCATCCAACAGCTAATCCACTGCTGCTCTGAGATGTGTTCATTTGAATGGTAAGGAGATAACTATATCGGCTGATCCACTCCACAGTGTCCCATAATAAGAAATGTATCACACATGCTATATTTTCCACAAGGATGTAATCTCTGCAGTAGTGCAGGTACTAGACCCATAGCTTCAAATTGCCAAGTGTTGCACGTTCTGGATTACACAATGTTGTAACATGGACTCAGCTTCCCTCTGCTGTTGAATAAAGGATGTCAGTGAAGTCCTTGAGTATATTTGTCCAATCAGCAATAACATTGCCCATGTTTCACACTTCAGTTTATCTATTTTTTTATATTTATCTAGTCAGTTAGTTTTGACATTGTCTTCTCACTGCATTGTAGCATTCTCACAGTCTCCCTGTGAGGTGATGCCCTAATGCAGTGATGGCCAAACTTGGTCCTCCAGCTGTTTTAGGACTATAGCTCCCATCATCCCTAGCTAACAGGACCAGTGGTCAGGGATGATGGGAATTGTAGTCCCAAAACAGCTGGAGGGTGTAGGAATGATCGCTGGGTGCGGAGCACACTCCCCGCCCGCAGGGAGCCTCAGCTGCCTGCACACGTGACCTTGGGGTGTGGGGCACACTCCCCCTCACAGATAAAGCCGCAGCTGTCTGAACATCTTGCCCTCTGTCTAACCTTTTGCGGTTTCAGTGGTCTGTGGTGTCCTGTCTGTGACCTTTGTCTCTGAGATCTTTGTCTCCTTCGTTATACAGTGGTGCCCCGCAAGACGAATGCCTCGCAAGACGGAAAACTCGCTAGACGAAAGAGTTTTCCGTTTTGGAGGTGCCTCGCAAAACGAATCTGCAATGGGCTTGCTTCGCAAGACGAAAATGTCTTGCGAGTTCCTAGGGGTTTTTTTTCCTTTTCCCCTCTTTTCTAAGTCGCTGCCGCTTATCTGCTTATCTGATAAGCTGATAAGCTGCTAAAAGCCGCTAAAAGCCGCTAATAGCGCTAATAGCGCTAATCCGCTAATCCCGTCAATGGGCTTGCTTCGCAAGACGAAAAAACCGCTAGACGAAGAGACTCCCAGAACGGATTCTTTTCGTCTTGCGAGGCACCACTGTACACTGAAAATGACACGGTGGGAAATGACATGGGGAAATGACACGGTGGAAACAGGTGCCAGAATAGCTTTGTACTACCCCACGATCTCGGGACTGGAAGATGTGTAAAGCCCAAAATGTATCTGCCTGGGTTTGCATATTGTGTCAATAAAAGGAGCCTCCACAGAGCTGGCCAGCAGCTTGCTTGCAGCTCACCTGTGCGCAGCTCACCTGCATTATCAACTCCTGCCTCATGTCCTTCACTTCAGGAGGGCCAAGTTTGGCCATCACTGCCCTAATGCATCAATAACTATTGTTGGTTTGGCACAGCTTTTTGCAGGGAGAATGCTGGCTGAGCAATGTGCTGCTGGTTGTAAGCTCACCACTATGCAATGCATGTTGATACCATGTTGTATATTCATGACTGATGGTGAAGCAAATAACTGGTTAAAAACCACCGAGCATTTACAGTCGCAATGCTTTGTCATGGGAATCCTGACATCTTACCTATGCATCTTTCATATTTGATGCGCTAGCTCATCGGGAGCTGAATATGACAATGGATATACAACATTGCTTCTTACCCAGGCAATTTGGTAATCAAAGAAATATCACCATATGTCAAAGACGGGACATAGAGACAGTGAGCAAATTTCCGTGACTCAACTTCTACAGTGGTGGTACTCTGTGCCATGGCCGTGTGCTTGCAGGCCAAGGCTTCGTGCTTCCCTCTGTCCCCACTGTTCAGGGAGGGCAGAAGTAAGGTAACAAAATGCAAAAGGAATGCCAGAGGTCTGGCTGAGTCTCCAGTGATACTATCAAGGGAATGCATTGCCAGGATAGACTAAGCCTTGGGTTTTTAAGTTTCCTTTCAGCCATTTGCTTTCAGTGAACTGCATTATTATTCAGCCTGACTTCTTATATATGTGTTTCCCCCTGCAAGTATATATGACAGCTTTCTCTCACACGAAAAAGACACCAAAGGTACCTCACGCAAAGGGGAAAGAAACTGCATTAGACCATATACTTAAAACCAAGACTTTTTTGAAAATGTAGACTTCTAGCCATCTAGCATTACCCAAATGAATTTCTCAGGCTTTTGTAGTTCAGAAGCTACAGCAGCTTTTCAATGAAAAGCCAGTTAATGAATATAACTTCACCAAAAAAGATAGCATGCATGTGTAAGAAGAAGAATTTTTTTTCTTTATTTCCCCCCCAAAAAAACTAGGTGCGCCCTATGGGCCGGTGCGCCCTATGGGGCGAAAAATACAGTACATTCCAAGGTACCGCATGCATTGGCGGAATCGTGTATAAGTGAAAATTTGAGCAAACATCCCATCCCACCTCTGCCCAGCTTTTAGTGATGTCTCATTGGTATCGTTATGATGTTTCTGGGTCACTTCCAGGTTTGGCGCGATACACGTATACACGATTGTGCACATATCAAATGCGTGTAAAAGGGGGGGTTGCCTGTATATTCTAGGCATATTGATTTATCAGCCAAAAAATGAAGAGAGGAAAGGAAAGGAAAGGAAAATAACAGTGAGATTTAAGGCACAAGCCCACAGCCAAGATCCACCAGCTACGGGGTTTTATGATTTGGTGGAAGCCTTGCTAGTGCTAATTCAGCACAAAGGGAACCATATTTTCAAGCTCCAAACACCAGCTGCAAATAGTTGTGCATGAAAATTCAGAGGCCAAATTTTAAGTCTCCTTCCTGATCAATGACAGTGAGAGTGTTGTTTTGAGGTTTCTAGCCTCAGCAGCTAAACATGTTGAGCATCACTAGTTTCAACAGCTGGTCTGACTTTCGAAAAAGACAACTTAGGGCCACACCACACAACTCACTTTTAGATGCACCTCTGTTTTGAAATACCCACGCAAACAATTAAAGAGTTAAAGTGACAAATGCATGTATGCTTATCAGGAAATCATGAATGGCTGTAGCTGTGCTGAGCATGCAATTCAATGGCAGATCTGGGTTTGCCTTTATGAGGCATCAAAAACTGCCCTAAGGACAGAGGTTAATAAATCATGAATGATGTGCAGAGTGTAAAAGTATTTGCTTTCAAAACATTTCTGATGAAACTGACAGGCAGTGAATCTAGGGCAAACAATGGAGGGTGGTTTGGGTTGGTTAGTTTTTACACACACACACACACACACACACACACATTCACCAGTGGAGCCTACTACCAAAGAATGTCGTGACAATCATTAGTACAGTGGTACCTCAGGTTACAGACACTTCAGGTTACAGATGATTCAGGTTACAGACTCCGCTAATCCAAAAATAGTACCTCTGGTTAATAACTTTGCTTCAGGATGAGAACAGAAATTGTGTGGCAGCGGGAGGCCCCACTAGCTAAAGTGGTATCTCAGGTTAAGAACAGTTTCATGTTAAGAACCACGAGCATAATTTTCATATTAAGAAATAGTCAAATTCTGTAGATGATGGGGAGTAACCAAGAAAGGGGGACTAGCGGAACTACGTCTTGCTTGAAGAATTATGCTTAGCATATATCTGGTTGTCCAATGTCAGCAGAAAGAATGCTGAGCTCGGCAGAATTAGATCTAGCCAAGCATGGTAATTCTTACATTGTTGGTTTTCAAAAACACACACACAAAAGAAATACTGTAATCCCAACATAATGGTACCGTAGAATAGATTAGCCATGGAGTATATTTGCTATTTCTTATTTGTATTGTAAATAAATTTATGACATACCTTTCTTCTTTGATCTGAAGAAGAATCCAAACATTTTTTTGAAAACGCCCTTTCTTTCCTGAAACAAAAATCAACATCAGTCAAGGTTCTAAAATACTCTAGATCATCAATACAGTATAATCATCAGTATGGAATAGCAATATTAATTATACGTGTGTGTGTGTGCAGAAAGGCTCATTCCTGCTGGAAGCAACTGCTGTGGGCCCAGCTGTTGGCTGGAGAGGGCGCTTCTGTCTCCTCTTGTTGCACTGACTGCTGGGGAACATGCCTGTCGGGGCTGCGGACGCCACTCCGAGGGGCTGGGGAGGGAGAACCTCTTCCTTCTGGTCCACTCCCTGATAAGGCCAGCAGTGCCGTGGCTTCGGCAGCCAGTCAGGCAGGCTGGATTTCCTATTCTCCTTCCACATTTCTCAAGGAGAGGTTGCGTTTGGAAAAGACTGTCTTAACCGTCTACTCATGATAGAATGTTCCTCAAGATGCCTCAGTAGGGAGTACTGCTCCAACCGGTGGTTTCAGAGGAAGAAACACGCAGATGTTGAAGTCATTCTGACAGAAAAGAAAGGCTGGGGGGGGCGTTGTGGAGAGCAGCAAAAGACCTACCCTCCAACACCTTTGTATAGGACTACTCTGGTGAAGCGCTCGAGCACAAAGAGTTCAAAGCCCGAGTGAAGGAGTATGCCCGAGGCAAGAATATCCATCATTATTTCATGTCATTCAAAAAATGATGAGGTAATAGATGCCACCCAGAAAGGAAACTGCTCTCCTTTTATGAACCACAGCTGTGAGCCAAACTGTGAGACAATGAAATGGACAATGAACAGGCAGCTGTGGGTTGGCTTCTTCACCACAAAACTTGTTCCGTCAGGCTCAGAGCTAAACCTTTTGACTACCAGTTCCAGAGATACGGCAAAGAGGCGCAGAAGTGTTTCTGTGGCTCTGCCAACTGCCAGGGTTACCATTTCTGTGGTTTACGAGCCGCCTAAAGCTGTTGCTGGACCTTGCTATGGACTACACTGGTCACCGTATTAAGAGGCCAGGGAGGAATTCTTCTTGCAGACTAACCTCTGCAGGTTTTGCCTACTACTTCATCACAATCACCACAACTAGTTGGCAGAGAAGGCATTGGAATAGAAAAGTCATTGGCTGCCCCCAACCTCCCGCTTTGCTGTCATGGGATATTCCCTTAAGGCGGCCTGTGGGGTGCTTCATGTCCAGATGCCAAACTCGGGGGCTGACGGTCCTTAGCACTCCCTCCCAGTGATCTTGTGGGCCACTCAGAGGTGATGCGTGTTGAAGAACAACCTTAAGCCTGGTCAGCCCTATTCAACCACCAAGCAGCAGTCAGGCGGCTGATTTCAGGATACACACTCAATGTCTACATCAAACCCTCTGACATCTGTAACCAATTAATTCAATCATCTGATGACGTTTTGGTGAGGAAGCGGAACATATTCTGCACTTTGTACGGAATTTCTTTAGAATTCCACACAGCTCAAGCCATGACAATTGTTACCACGTGACAGAGTGAGGCAAGAGTAGCTGTTCTCTCTCTCTATACCATAGTATTATGTATATCAGCTGTGCTGAAAACTGCACAGCATGAGAATAGGACGGGCATGGGTGCATAGATATTTAGAGGTGATAGATAGATGAGAGATAGATAGATAGATAGATAGATAGATAGATAGATAGATGATAGATAGATAGATAGATAGATAGATATGGGCTAGCAGTCATTCATAAGGTACAGATTTTAAGTCCAACTTATTCAAATGTGATAAAAGGTGACAGACTGCACCACAGGGTAGAACAATCTAGCAATTCAAATCCCTATGAAATTTTAGTATATTTCATAGACACCAGCATAATAATTGCCGTAATAAATCCACTTTTGTAATGTCTTAAACAAGGTGCACCTGCAGTTAAAAACTGGTAAGATTTATTATAGCACTGAGGCATTCTCTGCTAGAAAATGACAAATTGCTAATGTATGCTTGTTATGTAATAGTTAAGACTCCGTTCTTCAAAGCCCAATGAATGGAGTGATAAAAGGAAGTGAAGATTTGTTGAACAGGGGTGCAAGAGACTGATTCAGCTTTGGCTGCGTGAGAGAACTGACTTTTTTTGAACGTAGTAGCATTTAAAATATTGTGTGAGGCATCCTGAATTCCAGACAAACTAGTAACTTTTAAAATTAATGACATGTTTTGAGCTAACATGGGGGATAAATCCAGTAATCCTTTGGTCATGTGTACCAGAACTCCTACCCTAAAATATTTGGGAGCAGATATATCTGGACACACTGCATTTCAGAGTAAAAACACATTTATCCACCTTTTATCAACCTTTCCTGATGTAAAGTCATCAGATATAATACAGTTCTAATCATTTTCCATGGTTATAAAGCAAAGTATTCAGATAAAGCCCTAGGCAGCAGTCCTGCTACACACTGGCTAAATTCCATTTTTTTTGTCTGCATACTTACACTACTAAGGCTGCTATGCTATACACCAGGCATAGGCAATCTCAGCCCTCCAGATGTTTTTGGGACTACAACTCCCATCATCCCTAGCTAACAGAACCCGTGGTCAGGGATGATGGGAGTTGTAGTCCCAAGACATCTAGAGGGCCGAATTTGCCTCTGCCTGCTATACACATCTACTTAGGCACTGGAAACAAGCTCCGTTGAACAGAGCTTATTTCTGAGTAGATAAGCATAGGATTCTACTATAAATCCCACTGTTTGCAAAGTTGCAGCCCTGGACCAAAAATCTTAACACTGAGGATTCTCCCCAATGCATTCCTGTTCGACAGCATTTAATACTTCTGGTTCGGTCAATATCAATCCTATTTTCAAGCGAAGTTCTAAAATACTTCAACCATAGCCACAAAACAGTATCAAGAAAGTAAGAAGAGATATTAACTTAAATATATTTTGTGAGCAATGCATAAGAAAGCCAATTATAAAATCAATGCGTATTTGATTTTACAAAATTTCACTGGCGGAGAAAATACTTAATATACACTTTATTGGCAGTTCGGGCATTATTAATTAAAGAAAACTCTTTTGCTGGTAGTTGATTGCTAAAGAAATCAATAGCACTAAATTATTACTATAAATCTTTGCATATATTAAAACCCACAGCTTGTTTAATCTAATGTTAGCAGTTTATACTTCGCAACTGCTTCCAGAGCAAATCTGTAACATATTTTACCAATATTGCCCACTGCTCTTCACTGTCTTTCAGCCAAGAACTCATGATTTTTCAACTTTAACAATGTGCTTAATTTTCTAAGTCTGATATTAATGTGGCGTACTTAACTACACCGATATGTTGAAGTGATTCCATTTCAGCAGCATGAACCAGTATTTCCCATCCCTTCTCGTCTCTTAGTATAGTAACTAGTGTTGTCTCACATGACCAAGGTGGAAATAAATGAACTGGATCCCATGTTCCCATGATCGGAACTCTGTTCAGGGATGCTGCCACTGGAGGAGGCAATTTTCACCAAACTTTCCTTCCCCCTTCAGCCCCAAGAAACTCTTGTTCAGGAGGGTTGGAAAAACAGCGTGAGAGATGATATGGGAGGCCACAAGAGAAATGCGAAATTGAAGGACAACTCAGGTCCCATAGGAGCCAACTTCTAAGGGCCGTGGGGGCTTCAGCCCCCACAATAAAATATTTGAGGGGGTCGTGCCCCCACAAAGTTGATGGGTATTCCCATTGAAATGGTGTGGATGCACTGCATCATGTGACCAGTTATGTGGGGCGGGCTTACCTGGGCCCCCCATGATATTTTATTCAAGTTAGCACCCCTGTCAGGCCCCAAGCCAAGTCCAAAATATAATACAGAGAAAGTCAGTGGCTTAGATAAATGGGAATACTGAGCTCAGTTCAGATCAGTGTAAGGAAGCTGTGCTCCTAAGCAATTTCTATCCCAAGTGCTTCCCCCAAGTCTGCATAAGTATTACAAATGACCAGACCACACTATAAGCACTTTCCTATTTTGTTATTATCTGAGCCTGAATAGATGGGAGAAATATATATTTTATATAAAGGGCTCCATCATTTCTGTATAGTAGGGGAGACATGAAAGATGGTCTTGTACCTCCTGAATTGATAAACTAATTCACTTGAGCAAATGCTTGTTGTGAAGAAAGGGGGCACCCCAATTTCCCCTGCTCAGTACTTCAGCTCTTGCTGTTTCATAATTTTTATACACTGAAATATTTGGGTATTTAAAACAGACCTTTTTCTCAGGTTTCACGTCTTGATAATATTCTTCAGCCTACATGATAACAATCACAAGCAATAGTTAATCCTTCATTCTACTGTAATCTAAACATACAACTAAAATGTACAACTTTGCTAAACTATACAATATATACCAGATTATAAAAAGGAAAGAATGGTATAAAGAGGTGTGGGGTGTAGCTATTAATGATAAATTAACATGTGACATTTAGATAAGACAGGGAATATGCAGGAGAAATGATTTTGAGGAGATATGGAGGTTGTTTGTAGAATTTGTACTGTTAAAACAGAAAGGGGTCAAACCATCGCAGGAGGTGTTGAAATTTTGGGAGGTTGGATAGTTACAATGGAATGGTCTCGGTTGTTGGGTGCACATTTTTATTCTTATTTATTTATGGTGATTAGTTTGTCAAAATAAATTTATACACACACACACACACCAAAAAAAACCTGTGTGAGTACAAATTTTTATTTTAATACAGGTTCTTTTTATGAACAAGCTTCTTAGCTACATCTACTATCAAAGTACTACTACTACTAAAGTACTACTTTTAAAAGTACTTTAATAATCGAAAGGTAACGGAGAATGAAGCAAAATTCTCAAAAAGTAAGTTATGAATATGCTTAAATTGGAACCTCCATAATAGTGAAAGAGGAGGTTTGTTTCCGGAAGGTTATATCAAGAAATCTCTAGATATAAGTAAGTTTTCTTAGAGGCATTTGCATGGCCACATTTAAAACAGAGGACAGCACTAGATTGTGCCCCGCCACGCAAAAAAATCCAGCAGGTCTCTTACCCTCTCAAATTCAGTTTCAAATTAACTGTAAAGTGCACTATAACAAAATGGGGCTCTTACCCTATTTGCCCTCTAACCATCTGAATGGTATGCTAGCAATGCTTATGGCCGGGACATCATGGCCTGGCAGTTACTTAAAATTAAGCAAAGGCTTAATATTTGTGTTTACACATTGTGTTTACAAACAGGTAGTAAAGGACTCCAACAAAACCTAAATGTAGTTGCAGCCTGTCATAATGAGAATGGACATTATATCTTAGGAACTTGACACAATTCTGAGTGACAGCGACAGGAGCTCAGCCATTCCAGCTATATATGTACTTAGGGGTGGAGAAGTTTCATCTGATTATTAAAGTTGCATAAAGGAGAATTCCCTTATTTCATTCCCTGCAATGAAAGCATACTTAGTAGTTACAAATGTTTTTATTGTCTATGTTAAATAATACAACTACACCTCTAAATAAAAGTATTGATCTCAGCAGATCTGAACTAATGCCGTTTCCTGTGCTATACTAACCCATCTCAAATGCCACAATATGAATGGCTTTGGGTGTTAAGAAGTTAATTTGTTTGACTGATGTAAAAATTGGCAAGGAACACCCCAGGATCAAGATTCCATTTTAACTGTATAAAAAAGTTCTCAAATACTGCAAAAACAAAACTAACCTCTTCTTCTGTACTCCAATTTGCATAAATGTCTTCATCATGGACAACCTCAGCAGGAGCCTTGAGTATGATGCATTCCAATAAAGATTTGCATGAACACAAGGAAAGAAAGCAAAAATGCTCTTATGTAATTTTATCACAAATCAGAAAAAAAAAATCAAGCAATCAACTTGTTTCCCATTTCCCCACTCTTGAAAACAAACTAGTTATGCCTTACTGAAAGCTTGCCATCCTAAACTGGTGTTACAATATTAATGCTGGCTCCCTCGGCCTGTAAAGCGAGATGAGTGTGGCAACCTCAGAGTCGTCTGCGACTGGACTTAACTGTCCTTTACCTTTATTTTAATGTGACAGCCTGGAAATGGATAAAGTCCTCTCAAACAGTAAAGTGAACCTAAGGTCCCGTTTTTGCAAATGGTAAATGAGGTGGCAAACTTCTAACTAGACTGCTTCACTTCAGAGTACAGGTGAGAGTTCACAACTGAATGCTTCTTCTGCCCTGGACACAGTAAGTCAGCAGGGCTTTGGATGAGATGGTGGCTCCACAAAGGCATCTTCCATCACCTGCTCTGTAATGGTACATTGGCTTTCAATAAGTGGGTCATAAGGAGTGCTTCATCCGTGGCATCATAAAATCTGAGTTTCCTTTTAGAAAAAGAGTAGAAGGACTGAGCATATGTGGTTTGGGGGTAAGTATACGTTTATACAGCAGGGATGTTAAACATCTTTTGAAGGGAATTCTACTTCCTTCCCTCTTGATGCACACACAAGTGCCATCTCCCAGTTTTGTTAAAAGGAAGGAATGACTTTTAAGGTAAAGGTAAAGGTAAAAGGTAAATGACCCCTGTATGGTTAAGTCCAGACAAAGGCGACTATGGGGTGCAGTGTTCATCTCACTTTTCAGGCCGAGGGAGCTGGCGTTTGTCCACAGACAGCTTTCCAGGTCATGTGGTGAGCATGACTAAACCGCTTCTGGTGCAGCGGGGCACCGTGATGGAAACAAGAGCACATGGAAACGCTGTCTACCTTCCTGCTGCAGCAGTACCTATTTATCTACTTGCACTGGTGTGCTTTCAAACTGCTAGGTTGGCAGAAGCTGGGACAGAGCAACGGGAGCTCACCCCGCTCTTCAGATTCGAACTGCCAACCTTCTGATTGGCAAGCCCAAGAGGCTCAGTGGTTTAGACCACAGCGCCACCCATGTCCCTTACTGACTTTAAAACCAGTATATCCACAGTGCAGATCTGTTCTGAGCAAGACAGTGAGTGAAGGGGGAAATACAGAAAGAGAAAAAAGGGACACAAACATTTATTTATTTTAAAATTAAAACTTCGCCTGACATTTCAGGTTGGGGCTAAAGGTGCTTCCAGAATCTGGAAAGACTGAAAACAAATGGTTTAACAGAACAGGAAATAGTGGTCTACTTTTGGCAGAAAACAAAAACACACATTCAAATATCCAGAACTACAATCTAGCCAGATTTGAGCAATTCTGTCTTACCAATTGCAATAAGCTTTAAGTATATACGTAAGATTTCCATTGAAATTAACAGCTGAAATCTAATAGCTGAAATCTAAAGGGCACTTCTAAAGGGGACGCAGGTGGCGCTGTGGGTTAAACCACAGAGCCTAGGACTTGCCGATCAGAAGGCTGGCGGTTCGAATCCCCGTGACGGGGTGAGCTCCCGTTGCTCGGTCCCTGCTCCTGCCAACCTAGCAGTTTGAAAGCACGTCAAAGTGCAAGTAGATAAATAGGTATCGCTCCAGCGGGAAGGTAAACGACGTTTCCGTGCACTGCTCTGGTTCGCCAGAAGTGGCTTAGTCATGCTGGCCACATGACCCAGAAGCTGTACGCCGGCTCCCTCGGCCAATAAAGCGAGATGAGCGCCGCAACCCCAGAGTTGGCCACGACTGGACCTAGTGGTCAGGGGTCCCTTTACCTTTAAAGGGCACTTCTGCATATCACCAGGCCTATTCTATTCTTCATCCTTCCCATTGAAGCCCCTTGCTCTACCCAAAACCCAACACTAGATGCTGGAGGACCCTTGAGAGATGAATTCAACATAGTAGATGGGGAAGCAGCCAGAAGGTAAAATTGCAGTCACCATCCTTTTGTGTATGCAGAACTGCTTTCTGCCCTTACACAGGGCAGTCTGCATCCATCCTAGTCAATGGGATTTAAATGCACTGAAATATGCTGGATTGCGGCCAATCAATCATGCCCAATATTTGTTTCTATGCGCAGGCAGATGGAAGAGAGAAAGAGGTGTTATAATCAATTCATTCAGAAGGAAGAAATGTACTTTAAATCTACCTGGTCAACAGGTACTTCCACTTGCAAATTTTTATCTTCTTGTATTTGCTGAGCCTCTTTAATTTCTTCTGGGGGTGTACGAGCTTTATAGACCCCACGTCCTGAAAATAAACAGGATTAAAATATATCTGTATTAATCACTATCTACCCCACACTGTGAAAACTACCAGCATAAATAAATTATAACAATATTTAGGCGTAGCTAAAAAGCAATTACTTCTTTAAGGGCAATGTTTGTATACAATAAATATTTTCGAATAACAGCAGTCTGATAAATTTCATCATTTTGAAATGTTTTACTTCTGTATTAAGTAATAATAAAAAGGAGGCAGAAGATGATATGATGCGAAGTTGCAAGAGTCGTGTTATAAATAAGAGAGACATTAACAGTTACTACATACTGAGCTTTTATCTAGTAAAAGAATATGGAAATTATGCTGTAATTGTAAATTAAAAAACTTTTTCACTGAGAACATTGAAAAAGACCTGTAATGTCTGCAAATATGCATTGGTATGCAATTGCTTCTTAATAAGCTTCTTCTTTTTTTAAGGCTTAGTTTCTCTTAGTTTCTCTGGTGCACAAGTTACACTGAATACAAGTATTTTGGCTGAAGCGACTATGTACCGTATTTTTCGCCCTATAGGGCGCACTGGCCCATAGGACGCACCTCGTTTTTTGAGGGGAAAATGAATAATAATAAAAATTATTCCCCCCCCCAGCCCACAGAACAGGCTGCTGCCCGCGAGCCTGTGGGAACTCCCGCCGGGCGCGCAAGGCTTGCAGACACCTGCCCGAAGCACGGGGCGTCCTCCGGAGGGCACCCCGTGCTTCGGGCTGCAGGCTGCTGCCTGCAAGCCTTGAGAGCCCGCGGGAACTCCTGCGGGAACTCCCACCGGGCTCGCAAGGCTTGCGGATAGGTTCCTGAAGCCTGGAGAGCGAGAGGGGTCGGTGCGCACCGACGCCTCTCGCTCTCCAGGCTTCAGCGAAAGCCTGCATTCGCCCCATAGGACGCACACACATTTCCCCTTCATTTTTGGAGGGGAAAAAGTGCGTCCTATAGGGCGAAAAATACGGTACATTTTACAATCGGAGAAAGATAAGCATAATATGTAAACCAGGACATCAATACCAAATCTGCCTGCATTTAACTATGGGGTCTTAGGTACCAGATACAATATTTTGTGTTACCATCATCAGATGTCAGGTGCTTATTAGCCTCAGCATCACGACTTGCCTTCTTGGGTTCTGCGTAATAAACTGAAGACCTATCTCCTGCTCCTCGTTTTGATGGTGGTATGGCAGGCTGCATGCCGGCTCCCCGTTTTGCTCGTTCTGTAGGAGGCTAAAGGTAACACACTCAATAAACATCCAAAGAACATCTATTCCTTTAGATCTGCAGCAAACGACTACTCTACCAACATTGTTAAAAGATTCAGAAACTAATACAGTTCAGTATTCATGGGCAGCAAAATATCTCAAGCTGCCTCTGGTTATATGAGCTATTCCGGAAGGCAAATGCCCTTTCCCCAACACTCTCTTTTCCTTTTGGGTCGGGGGCTTGTTTCAATAGGTACGCGGCTTTCAGCAACATTGCATAGGCAACCTTCGGTCCTCCAACTGTTTTGGACTACAATTCCCATCATCCCTGACCACTGGTCCTGTTAGTTAGGGATCATGGCTGGCATAGATCCTGGAACCTACTGAGCACAAGTCTTTAGTGAGTTGCCTGGTACAGTTTTTCTTTCTCCTATAAACTAACATTTTATGGAACAATGGACTGATCCAGAAGCTGCTATGTGACAATTCATAGCTTTGCAGCTGACGGAGACATTGTACTTCAGTGTTTGAAACTCCCATTGTTCTAGGCACATTTTGCGACAAGGAATTTTGCCCATAACCTAGGTTTAAGGTGCCATTTAGCTCCTAGCTTTCATATCTCAGTTTCTAACACTGCTTCAAACAAAGCACAGTTGTTATACAAACCTACAGTGGTACCTTGGGTTACAGATGCTTCAGGTTACAGACTCCACAAACCCAGAAATAGTACCTTGGGTTAAGAACTTTGCTTCAGGATGAGAACAGAAATCATGCAGCGGCAGTGCAGCGGCAGCAGGAGGCCCCGTTAGCTAAAGTGGTGCTTCAGGTTAAGAACGGACCTCCAGAACAAATTAAGTTCTTAACCCAAGGTACCACTGTACTGCAATAATCTCAATACATTTTAAAATTATCAATCAGTCAATCAACCATTTTATTTGTATGCTGCCTATCCAAAGTTAAGACCATGCTCAAGATGGCTTACAACACATTTAACAAATGCATAATGACAAGCATAACAAAAGTAGCCATAAACAATTCAAAACATCAAAAAGTACACAAAGCTTGTATGAGATACCAAAGTTGTACAAGACAGCAAAGAAAAGTAGCTTTTCAAGGGCCAAGTGACTGGGGTATTCAGCAAGCCTACATGAAGGAAAGTGTCAGCCTATTCTGAAAATCAATCTCTCTCTCGCCATAACAAAGTGGAAGGCGAACCAGAAGACATTTGGCTGTTTTCCCAAGTGAATCTCATCATTTGAGTGGGAGCCTACATACTTCATCATACAGTGCACATTTAATCTGAGCATTTATTAAAATGGAAGACTGGCTAACATTTGAACTCTAGCGCAGCCTCTTCGTGATCTTGACTGATGACAGGGAATGTTTCACATTTATTGTGAGATACAGCCCTGTCCCTGGAATTACTAATCTGAAATGTCAGCTCTGAAGCAAACATTCTTCTCTGGACTTTACGTATCTGGCATAAAGCATTAAACTGCTGGGTTTTATTGGTTAAGTTCCTATGATATAGCTCTCTTCCCCAACTAACTGAAACGGAAGCTTCCCTTAATGTTATTTTTTTCACCTTCTACAGTTTCTCTTTAGTACTTATGTTATGTATGTATGTATGTATGTATGTATATACCGGTACGTTTGTGTACAAACACATATATACTTATACTGAGAGAGGCAGGCAGGCAGGCAAGTGTTCAAATTAGGTCTAGTATTTAATGTAAAAATGCATGAATTCAATAAATCATCAAAAGTGTTAAAATATATGCAAACACCACTATTTGCATTTTTATTACAGGTTTTAATATTAACAGGGACATTTTGCAGCATCAGAAGACATGTAAACAAATTATTCCCTGTTGCTGTTTCCTAAAGCCTTTTTTTAACTACTGTTTTATTACTCTTCTACTAGCTTCATGGCTCTAATACCTATTACAAAACTGAAATAAGCAGGTAAACAAATTAGATTTCGATTCGCAAAGAGAACGTGCTGCATTTATGTTACCCTCTTCTCAACCTCACAGGCATACAATTCAAAGAATGCATGAGAGCCCAATACCACTTTATGCAACTACCAACACATTACAATCCAAAGCCAGGAGCCACAGAGTGAGTCTATAACAGATTCACTGCCTGTGAGCTGAATGATATCTGTCTCTTACATATGCCTGGGATTTGCCTAGGCTTGGCTACCTGCACTGGCATGAGGGAGGGTACAGTAGTATCAGTGCTGTGGCACATAATACATCACACCATGCGGAGAGAGAAAATTAAAGGGCCCCCTGATACACAATATAAATCACCACCATCTTTATTACATAGTTTGGAAATTCTTCTCATGACTCAACTTCAAGACAGAAGATAAATTTACTTGTAAGAGATCTTTTGCATTAAACACACACACATACAACCTTAACACATTTATTGTGGCATGAACTACGACCGACATATTCTGCAACATGAGCTACAGCCTGCTTTATCCATTGCAAAACCTGATGAAGATCTCTATCATTTTCACGATCTGTGACAATGCGGGCCACATTCCAGTGGTGAGCAGGGCGAAACAAAATGAATCCTTAAAAAAAAGAAAAATGCACACACACGCACAGAGCACATTTCCAGCTCTTTCTCCACTATAGCACATGTCTGCAGGTGGCTACAAAGATCTCTCTGCCAGAGGAATTTTCTCTCCAGATCTTAGCACTATGTTCCCACCACTCTCATTCTAGCGCTTATCTCTCTTATCTTAGTGCTGTGCTGTGGTGCTTAGTGCTAAGATCAGAGATAACATTATTACTTTGCCAGCTCTTTAAGGGCTTGTTTTCAATCTAATGATTAAAACATGGTAGATGCACCAAATGATCCATTAGTCATGGCAAGATGACTAATGGTAAAAGCCATAAAACGAACCCCCCCCCCCAAAAGCCATAAAATCACATGGGGTGATTAATAGGTGGGTGAGGCTCTGGGACAGGCCTGGCAGAGCAGCTTGAAAGATGTGGCTGGCTGGATTAGGCCTGCAGGCCAGAAGTTCCCCACTGCTGCTCTGAATTTAATTATATAACTTTTAAAACCTAATACGTTACTATCCATCTTAAGCCCATATGATAAGAGGGCTATATATCTGAACATACAAACAAGCAAACAAGTTGTAACTCTTTACTTCCTTTCCAAGAAAATGACAAAGTGTTATATTACTACATTATGTTACTATTTTAGTTAATGACCGCTCCCCGCATAAAACGGGGGGCGACTTTTGCGTGGACGCGCGCAGCCCCTGGATCTGGAGCGGCTCCATTCAGCATAGGCTTGGCTTTGCCTTCCCTCAGGTGGGATACCTGGAGGTCTCCGCCTACCCCAGTCAGTTGTCCAATCCCACCTGGGGGAAGCGTTGCCAAGGAGATCAGGCCAGGTGTGGGAGGGATTACCTGCCCACACAATAGAGGGAGGATCTTACCTGGGAATCCTCACTTGGCTCCAGAGCTTCTCCCACCCTACCCACCCTCAGTTAATGCCTTATTTTGCAGGTTAACTTTTCTTCACAGGTTTTGCAAGTTAACTTTTCTTACAGGTATGCGGGCGCTGCTACGTTAAGGTCGCTGTCAAAGGGCTGGAAAGGAATTTCCCTGCATTGGCAGGTTTCGCCTTTCCTGTAGCAAAACGTCACAACTTTGGCGGTATCAGGCCTTGGGCGGAATCCTTTAGTCTATCTTCCTCTTGCAGCGGCGATACCAGGGTTCCCCGTTAAAGGGGTTTCTGAAGGGAGGCTTTGACCGTACGCCGAAAGGTCGTCATTGCTCTCCCCTGCGGCGGCGGCATAACGGGGGCTTGAACATATGTTCTCCAGAGCCGGCCCATCCCCCACACAAACACTAGATAACCCTGATGCTCCCTAGGTCCCCCGCTGGGGACTGGGGAGGGAGAACGCCCAATGCCTGAGCCAAGGTCTACCCACATTTGAAATTTAATAAAGTTGTGGCCAATTTAATTCCATAGCACGTTGTCTTGAGTCATTATTCCACATGACGGGGGGGGGCCGCTCGGTACCTGGGGACTCCGCCTGTCCACGCAAATGTTGCTTTTTGGTGAAAAGCAGTATACAAAGGTTAAAACAAAATGTGAAAACAAGCAAATATTGGGTGAGAAGACCTACAACTAGCCTTCCTTTCAGTCAATAAAAAGCAATATTGATAAGGATGTCTTTTATAGGACAAATAAGGTTTCACATGCAAGTCTGACCCAACAAAGCAAGCAAACCTATATATCAAGTCAAAAATAAGCCCCACTGAGTTTAGCAGGGCTTGCTCCAAGGTATGTGGATACAGGATTGCAACTACCGACTGTTCAGTCATAGCATTTTCAGAATGAGGTGGGTGTTTTTGCTTTGGTGGCTGTGAAAACATATCCCAAATGGAAGACTACAGGTGTATGATTGACTGCTAAGGGCTGACTGCTGGCTAGTGCCTTTATGACATCACTAGAACCAAATACCCTCATCACTCTGAAGGCACTTTAAAAGTGAGGCTTTTGAACACCAGACAATACGAATCTCCACAAAAGGCAAATGTGATTCACTTTGCAGAGAGCTTTAGGCAGCTAAAGACCAAGCACTCGTTAAGTATTCACTGTACAGTTAAGTTACAGTCCAATGGTATCCAGGTCTACTCAGAAGTAAGTTCACGTTTTACGGGGATTCCTCCCATTTAAGTGGCAGTCTGGACTTTGGTTCAGAGTTGGCATTGGAGAAAAGCGGATTTGCCTTTAACAGCTGTACAGGCAGGCAGAAATTCAACAGGTTAAGCCTCTCCTGGTATAGAAATGCAATTAGGGGAAAGCTTTTTTTTTTTTAATGATATTTATTAAAATTTCAGAAAAGAGTTACATAAAAACAAGAAAAGCAAAAACAAAAGACAGAAATAAAAATACAAGAAAAATACAAAATACAAAATACAGAATAAAAGAATAAAAAACACTTTAAAAAAATAGATCAATCTTTCCATGCCTTACATTCATATCCTTGTTTCCCTGACCTCCTCATACCTCCCTTTTTTGTATTCCAATTCAATTAGTTAATTCAGCAATTTCTTTCCCTCTTTATTTTCTCTTAATCCTTTAACTTAATATACTATAACTTTAAATTTTCACCTGTTATCAATCCATTTTTACATACACCTTTATAGCATTACTGCTTAAACCACCTAACTTCATTCTAACATCATTCTAACATTCATTAATTTTGCAATATTTCTGTAGATAGTCTTTAAATTTCTTCCAATCTTCTTCCACCAACTCTTCTCCCTGGTCTCGGATTCTGCCAGTCATTTCCGCCAATTCCATGTAGTCCATCACCTTCATCTGCCATTCTTCCAGAGTGGGTAGTTCTTGTGTCTTCCAATACTTTGCAATAAGTATTCTTGCTGCTGTTGTGGCATACATAAAGAAAGTTCTATCCTTCTTTAACACCAATTGGCCGACTATGCCCAGGAGAAAGGCCTCTGGTTTCTTCAGAAAGGTATATTTAAATACCTTTTTCATTTCATTATAGATCATCTCCCAGAAAGCCTTAATCCTTGGGCACGTCCACCAAAGGTGAAAGAATGTACCTTCAGTTTCTTTACATTTCCAACATTTATTATCGGGCAAATGATAGATTTTTGCAAGCTTGACTGGGGTCATGTACCACCTGTATATCATTTTCATAATATTCTCTCTTAAGGCATTGCATGCCGTAAACTTCATACCTGTGGTCCATAACTGTTCCCAGTCAGCCATCATTATGTTATGTCCAACATCTTGGGCCCATTTAATCATAGCAGATTTCACCGTTTCATCCTGAGTATTCCATTTCATCAGCAAGTTATACCTTTATGACAAAATCATAGTTTTGGGTTCTAACAGTTCTGTTTCTAATTTTGATTTTTCCACCTGGAAGCCAATTTTCTTATCCAAATAATATGCCTCCATTATCTGATAATAATGAAGCCAGTCTTGCACTTTGTTTTTTAATTTCTCAAAACTCTGTAGTTTCAATCTATCTCCATCTTGTTCCAAAATTTCCCAATATTTCGGCCATTTGGCCTCCATATTGAGCTTTTTCAGAGCCTTCGCTTCCATCGGTGACAGCCACCTTGGGGTTTTATTTTCAAGTAGATCCTTATAGCTTATCCAAACATTAAACAATGCTTTCCTGACAATATGGTTTTTAAATGCTTTATGTGCTTTGACCTTATCATACCATAAATATGCATGCCATCCAAATACATTGTTAAAACCTTCTAAATCCAAAATGTCTGCATTTTCAAGAAGCAGCCATTCTTTCAACCAGCAAAAGGCTGCTGATTCATAATAAAGTTTAAAGTCTGGCAGGGCAAATCCACCTCTTTCCTTTGCATCAGTTAATATCTTAAATTTTATTCTGGGCTTCTTGCCCTGCCAGACAAATCTAGAAATATCTCTCTGCCACTTCTTGAAACAGTCCATCTTGTCCACAATTTGCAATGTCTGAAACAAAAACAACATTCTAGGCAATACGTTCATTTTTATCACAGCAATACGGCCCAGCAATGAAAGCTTCAAATTTGACCAGATTTCTAAATCTCTTTTCACTTCCATCCAACATTTTTCATAATTATCTTTAAATAAGTTCCCATTTTTGGCTGTCATATTAATCCCCAAGTATTTCACTTTCTTTACCACAGTCAATCCTGTCTCATTCTGAAACCTATCTCTTTCAATCGGTGTTAAATTTTTCTCTAAAACCTTAGTTTTTAGCTTGTTCAATTTAAAACCTGCCACTTGACCAAATTCTTGAATTAATTCTAAAACTCTTTTAGTGCTAGACTCTGGCTCCTGTAACGTTAATACTAAGTCATCTCACAATTTGCAATGTTTGAAACAAAAACAACATTCTAGGCAATACATTCATTTTTATCGCAGCAATTTGAAAGCTTCAAATTTGACCAAATTTCTAAATCTTTTTTCACTTCGGCCCAGCATTTTTCATAGTTGTCTTTAAATAAATTCCCATTTTTTTGCTGTCATGTTAATCCCCAGGTATTTCACTTTCTTAACCACTGTTAAGCCTGTCTCATTCTGAAACCTCTCTCTCTCAATCGGTGTTAAATTTTTCTCTAAAACCTTGGTTTTTAACTTATTCAGTTTGAATCCTGCAACCTGACCAAATTCTTGAATCAGTTCTAAAACCCTTTTGGTACTAGATTCTGGCTCCTGTAACGTCAATACTAAGTCATCTGCAAATGCTCTCAATTTGTACTGTTTAGCTCCGACTTGTATACCTTTAACCAACTGGTCCCTTCTAATCATATTCAGCAAAACCTCCAGGACCGATATAAAAAGCAATGGGGAGATTGGGCAACTTTGTCGTGTCCCTTTTTCTATCTTAAATTCTTCCGTCACCACATTATTTACAATTAGTTTAGCCTTTTGTTCTGAATAAATTGCACTTATACCGTTTTCAAAGCCTTGGCCTACCCCCATCCCCTGTAGGTTCTTCTTCATAAAGCTCCAGGAAATATTGTCAAAAGCTTTCTCCGCGTCCACAAATATCAAAACTGCTTTAGTATTTATGTTCACTTGTAATTTTTCTAAGATGTTAATTATGTTTCTCACATTATCCGATAAGTGTCTACCCGGGAGAAAGCCTGCTTGGTCTTTATGAATCTCTTCCACTAACACTTTTTTTAGTCTTTTAGCCAGAATGTCTGCAAAAATTTTATAATCCACATTAAGCAATGAGATGGGATGGTAGTTCTTAAGTTGTGTCTTTTCAGTCTCTGTTTTCGGTACAAGTGTAATATACGCTTCTTTCCACGACTCTGGTGCCCTTTTCCCATCCATTATTTCGTTACAGACTTCCTTCAAAGGTTGTACCAACCATTCTTTTAAGGATCTGTAATATTTAGAGGTCAGTCCATCCGGTCCTGGAGATTTAACTAGTTGCATATTCTGAATGGCACCTTCTATCTCCTGTTCAGTTATTTTATAGATCAACATTGATTTACTTTCCTGAGAGATTTTTTGTAATCCATTTGTTTTCAAAAATCGATCTAGATCAATTTCTTTCTGTGGTCCTTGTGTATATAGTTGTTTGAAGTACCTCTGGAAACAATTTCTAATCTCGGCTGGGTTCTGTATATTCCTTCCTTCCACTTCTAAATTTGTAACTGTATTTAATTTTTGTCTTTTTTTCATTTGCCAAGCCAACAATTTCCCACACTTATTAGCCGACTCAAATGTTTTTTGTCTCATTTGTTTAATTTTCCATTCTATCTCCTGATTGATCATTTTCATATATTGTACTTGATATAATTTTATTTCTCTCAAAATCTCTTGCGACTTCGGTTTTGCTCTCAATTTCTTTTCACCTTCTTTTATTTTCTCCAAAATTTTATCCTTCTTCTCATTTTGAATTCTCTTCTTTAATGCGTTCTGTTGTATCAAGAACCCTCTCATAACAGCTTTGCTAGAGTCCCAGATTACTCTTTTTTCCACATTGGTGTTCATATTTATCTCAAAATAGTCTCTCAAGGTTTTTTGGGCCTTTTTATACACTTCTTCATCTCTAAATAAGGTGTCATTCATCCTCCATCTGAAGGAACCAGTTGGTGTTAGCTTCATCTCCATCTTTACAGCATTATGGTCGGAGCAGGTTTTTGGGCAGATTTCCACTTTTCTTATCTTTGGTGCCATTCCTCTAGTTACCCATATTTGGTCAATTCTTGTCCATGTCAGTTTGGCTTCAGAGAAGAAGGTTCCCTCTCTGGTCAAGGGATTCTTTGTTCTCCAAATATCAACTAAGTCCAAGTTGTCTGTCATCTCAAAAAAAGTTTTCGGTAATCTGCCATCCTTAGTGACTACCTGTCTTTGTGCCTTATCCATATGTGTAGATACCACTCCATTCATGTCTCCCATCAAAATCACATTATAGTCCAAATAGTCCATCAAGGTCTCATGCAACTTTTAAAAAAATTCAGATTTCCCCTCATTTGGTGCATAAACTCCTACTATCAAAAATTTCTCTCCTTGTGTTTGAATTTCAATTGCCACGAATCTTCCTTGGTCATCTTTAAAGATAAATTTCAGTAATAGTCTCTCCTTTGCATAAATCACTACCCCTCTTTTTTTAACCTTGTCCGAAGAAATAAACTCCTGACCCAGTCTTTTATTAATCAGTACTTTCCTGTGTAGCCTTGTTACATGTGTTTCCTGTAAACAAATCAAGTCCAATTGTTCCTTTTTTAATAAATGAAACACAGATTTCCTTTTCTGAGGGGAGTTCAAACCATTACAATTCCAGCTTAATAGTTGCAGAGCCATGATGTAGTTACTTTGCTTCTCCTCCAACTGCACCCAGTGCCTGTTCCTGATCTGTCGGTGGTATCACCTTCTCCAGGCGGTCTTTTAGTTCAGGAGGTAATCTTGGTATGTCTAAAGTTTCACTTACTAGTGCTCTTAACTCTTCTGCAGCTTCCTTCTGCAAGTCTTCTCCGTGGTCTCTCCAAAATCTATCTTTGTCGTCCTCTGATCTTATTTTTATCTTCTTCCCTTTATAACTAAAGGATAGGCCTTGGGGGAATTCCCACCTAAAAATGATTCCGTTGCTTCTCAACAGGGCGACCAAATCTCTATAGTTGGACCTAAGGTCCAAAAGATATTTCGGAATGTCCTTAAATATCTCTACTTTTGACTGATGAATTTCCAAAGTCTTCTGGAAATGCAGACTCAAGATTTTGTCTCTCTCCTCTTTTGTTTGGAGGGTGATCAAACAGTCTCTCACCCTGTTCTTCTTCCCTCCTCTTCCAAGCCTAAAAGCACTCACTATCTTGAAGTTGTCCTTCTCCAAATCTGGGTTCCAAAAGTCTGCAAATTCCTGCGTAAGAAAATCAATCAAGTTGTCTTTCTCAAGTTCAGGTACAGCCCTGATTCTTAAATTGGTTTGCTTCTCCTTCAACTCAATCATAGACAATATTGACCAGTGATCTTCAAGTTGTTTGTGTATCGGTGGTATCTTCTCTTCTACAGCAGTTGCTATATCCTTTGCCTCTTCAGCTATCTTTCGTGTCGAGGTAGATTCCTGTAGTAATTTCTGAATAGTTTCTGTGTTGGTATTTACCTTCTGTCCCAAATTATTAATACTTGTGGTATTTTGGTCAATTTTGCCCGATGCTTCGGCTACTTGTTTACTTATTTTTTCCAAAGATTCGTTAATTTTACCAAGTGCCTGAGCCAAAGCATCTTCAGCTGCCATTCCTTTGGGTTTAGGTTGTGCCGATGAGGCTCCTGTTGGTAATCCAGAAGGGCCAGATGTCGATGCTCTTCGCTGCAGCCCACCGTCTGTACGAAATAGTCTGCCAGACCTCGTTGCTTTTTCCTGTAGCAAATCTATTTTCTCCTTTCCATCTGCCATAACACTCTAGATAAGGTCCAAGGTCAGTCTCACGATCAGAATTTGTTTTGAAGTGGAAAATTCCCCTGGCCCAGCTGCTATTGTAACAATTTCAAACTTCCTCTAGGGGGACACAGTAGCAGTCAAAAATGTCTTAAAGTGATTAACTTTTTTTTTCCCTTTAGCCCCCCAATTCACAGAAAGGACGACAGTTTCAATCTCAATTGATTTCTGTTACTTTAAAACCAGGAGAAGCCAGTCAGAAATATTGTATCTTACTTGTATCTCAGATGCAGAGTTAACTGTCAAAGAGTACTTTCAGCAGCAGCGCATTTCACAATACGGCATTCTTACTGTTCACTGGCAACCCGTTCCCAGGTTTTTGAGCGGTGGATTTTAGCTTCTTTTTCTCTCTTTTTGCGGGGAAATACAGTTCAGACCTTTCCCCCCTCCTCCCCTGCAATCAAGGGGGGAAAGTCGCTTATTTGATGTTCGAATTATAATCCTTTTCCAACGTCTTTCAAGGTTTCCGCTTACAAGTTCATTGCTTTACTCCATTTACAAAGAACGGAAGGCAGACTTCCTGTTTATGCCTCTCCGCTTCAGTGCCAAATTATTTCTTAGTTCCTTTGTTTCCGAAATTAGCCTACTCACGGATCGTTGTTTTGCAGCCAAATTGTCCCAGGAAAAAGGCAGCACTCTCCGGTAACGGCTGTGCGGCTTCGCTCCACGGAAGAAGCAGTTGACTCACAGCACCGCGCCACTTCCCGCTCCGCTCCGGAACCCGTAATCGGGCTCCTTTGCAAGTTGGGGGGGCGCAAAAGGTGCCCGCCGAGTCCCACGGTCACAGGCTTCACCCGCCTGTGATTTTTGAAGGGTCCCCGCTTCGCCGTAGCGGTGCAGACCCGATTTCCGCAGAGCCGGTTCCCTCCGAGTCAGAGGGAATCCGCTATTACCGATGGCGCCACCCCAGAAGTCCTCCACAGATCATTAGGGGAAAGATTTACCATGACCGTCCCCTCTCTAATTTTGTGTGAGACACCTCCCAACAGCAGCCATATTGAATTATTCCCCCCCCCGCCGCCATTTTGTGACTGGAGCCCACAGCAGTCTCTCAAAACTCAGAATGTGCTCACTGGTTCAAAAAGTTGGTGACCCCCTTGTATAGCGGCTGGGCATGATTAGGACAGAGAAAAAATACCTCACGCAAACTCAGTTCAACCCAAAACTTGGTGGCTTTAGGCAACTCACATTCTTTAATAAAAGTTGCTTCTTTTTACTGTTTGCCGTCTCACATTAAAAACATTTCTTCTTCATGTTTTACTTCTTCTTATTACAGATAATTCCAAATTCAGGTAGTTCTGATAACTATAAGATTCACCCACATGAAAAAAAAAATGGCCCAAAGCCTATAATAATATAAAGAACAAGACTACAGCGTTCGAACACAATTGAAGGTATTTTAAAGAGATTTTTTCCTTCTTATTTGCGCATTTGCTATTAAAAGGAGACAATTTTGAAATAAAGTATTATTGTAGCGCAAAGAAATTTTGCAGGGAAACAGACTGTGATAAATGTACTGCAAATCACACAATACAAGGAAAATGAAACAACAAGGTGGGGGGACAGACACCCCCACACACACATACCAGTGGAGTATGCATAAGCCTGCTCTGCCCCCGTCCCACCCCCTTTTCTGGCCACTTCCAGGTTGCGGTGATGCGCACTTGAACGGTTGCACACATATTGGAGAAGCATGAATGGTCATTGCCTTTCTTGCTAATGACAATGGATAGGATTCAAAGAGCTACCATATTTTTCTGTCTGTAAGACGCCCCCATGTATAAGACGTCCCCTATTTTGGGGGACTCTGATTTAAGAAAATGCTATCCATGTATAAGATGAGCCCAGATTTTGAACATTATTTTAAGAGTAAAAAAGCATCGTCTTATACACGGAAAAGTATGGTACTTTAACCACACTTAACAGTTTAAGCATGCCCTAGGATTTTTGATTCCACGTACACACACACACCCCTTTGAAGATGAGATCTCTGGCATATCACAATCTGCTGTTCAAAGCTACCTGAGTAATGAACGCAGCTGGCACTGTGGCGAGGGAGGAAATATCTCCTTCACAGCACAGACTGAGCCATGCAGTTCACTGGATCCCAACTACAGTGGTACCTCGGGTTACAAACACCTCAGGTTACAAACACTTTGGGTTACAGACTCCGCTAACCCTGAAGTAGTACCTCGGGTCAAGAACTTTACCTCAGGATGAGAACAGAAATCACACACAGGCGGCGTGGCGGCAGCGGAAGGCCCCATTAGCTAAAATGGTACCTCGGGTTAAGAACAGTTTCAGGTTAAGAACGGACCTCCGGAATGAATTAAGTTCGTAACCAAAGGTACCACTGTATAGTAATTCACACACATTGTCCATGCAGAGCTCCATGTAGACTGCAGAGGCTTGCAAATCCTTGAAGTTGGGCCAGAGATTGAAATCCATTTGGATGTGCCCAACTTGAATTCATCCGAAACTTGTTTGTTCAACAGTGAGCAGCTTTTGATGCCGCGTTTTTAAATGGGAGGAGAGGAGAGCATATAAGAATGTTTAAAAGCCATTATAAATAATCTTACCTTTTTCGGAGGGGGCCTTTCTAGAGGTCCAGGTGTGTTAGAATAATACCTAAAAATATAAAGTGTAATTTACTTAATGTGAATATTTATAAGTGTAAAGCTCAATATTGTTAGGACAACCATCTTGTTTTAAAATTATCTTTAAAGGTAGTACAAACTTAAGTATTGCCTATATGGATTCTGACTCACATCAGCCCTGGCCAGAATGACCAATGGTCAGGGATGATGGGAGCTGTAGATCAACAGCATCCGAAGAATCACAGGTTAGCCATCCCTCGTCTACATGATAACTGCAGGTCTATCTCAGGCAATAACCAATTGCCCACAGACAAGCCAGGACGTATTGCTTGGTTTGATGTTTTGCACTGGTCTGAAAACAGCCAGGATGGTGGACCAATAAGATGGGCTGCCCCTAAAGACTCGGAAATCAAGCGAATTCAAAACTCTGCAGGCTGTAAGCACCTGCAGCTCACGCACTCCTGGTGATAACAACTAAGGAACTATTGCCTGGTCTCTAACACTCCTGGTTCAAATCCTTTGGTGCTTGGTGCTTAACTTCCATAGTCCACAAACAATGTGATGAGTAGTTATGGGTAGAAGCTTCCTTCCTACAACTTCCCCTAGGCATGTTCTTTCTGCTTAGAAAACTGTTTATCGATATCTGGAGGCATGTAAATGCTTCCACCATCATTTATTCCTCTAAGAGGCACCAACATCCAGTTGGCTTCTGGAAGTTACAAATGTCACTGAATTCTCAATGGGTGTTTGATATACTACTTTTTTAAGGGTGCAAACATTTTGCTTCTGAAGGGAGTGATTACTAGAGACCGTGCCAGGTAATGTTTAGACACTTGTTAGGCAGCAGCAATTAAAAGAACAAAAAACAAAACCATCTTCTAACATTTTCTTTATTCCTGAAACTGAACACAAAAGTAGGGCTGCAATAATTTAGGGCAGGCAACCATGGTTTCTGGCTTCAAACTGATAGACCAGTGAGACAAATGTCTGCGCAGATAGGTACAGCATTACAATTTATTTATCATATGCAGTGCCAAAAGCAGGGAGTGACTACACACAGTCAGCCTATGTATTCTGTGCCTCAAATTTTGTAAATTCTGCAAGAAAGGACCCCAAATTCTGCAGTTGGAATAAACTGTGCAAATTAAGAATATTTCATACCATCTACTGATCAGGCATAATTGATTTTATATCCATGATTCATTTTTTTTAATAAAAAAAATGGGGCAGGGAAGTTGGAGAAACAGGAAAAAGGAAGGTTGAAGGAAGATATATTCAAAAGCTTCTCTATAAAGTATGTATGCTATATATTTTTTAACATGAAAACAAATTTACTCAGGATATTGGAATAGATAACAGACCAAACTTTCTGTCTAATGCAGCAAACCTGTGGTTGTAAAGAAGGAATACTGCTCTATTTTATAAGAGAAAGAGAAAGCTGTTGACCTCTATGTCAGAAGCATTTGCTAGGTGAAGCAGATCTGCTGTCAATAATTCTGCCATAAGTTTTAAACAAAATAAAAATAAAAATGCAGCTCTTATTATATTTACAGAAACAAGGCTACTGCCTGCCTGGATCCTGTACTGTCGCTCACTACTGCAGTTTCTAGGAAGAGTTTACACTCAGCTGAAGCAATAAGCTTAATTGGTGGGACAGACTGCCTTTCTATTTATAACCATGGCTGAAAATAGTATGGCTGTAATCTGCATAACTGTGCAACTCGGCCCCTTTGTAGCTTTCTACAAAGTCCAGAGCTTATGCACAAAAGTTGCGCCCACAAAAAAAAAAACAAGAAACAAAACAAAAAAAAAAACACACTGGGCATAACCCTGAGTACAAAACGAATGAATAACCATTACAGTGGACGCTCGGGTTGCGAACGTGATCCGTGCGGGATGCATGTTCACAACCCGCAGCATTCGCAACCCGCAGCGGTGCATCTGTGCACGCACGGGTTGCGATTTGGCGCTCATGCGCAAAGCACGATTTAGCGCTTCTGTGCATGCGCAACCGCCAAAACCTGGAAGTAACCCATTCCAGTACTACGGGTTCTGGCGCATCCGTAACCCGAAAAAATGCAACCTGAAGCGTCTGTAACCTGAGGTATGACTGTATTTAAGTAGAGAGTGAGAGAATGTGAATAACTTTTACAAAGAAGGATCTAAGTCAAGGCCTATATCAAGATAAGAAGGCTTAATGAAAGTGTGGGCAGAGCTCCAAGAAGTCAGTCACCTGATGTCTCTCAGCTAAAGGAATCTGATAGAGAGTGACTGGGGCAAAAAAAAAAAAAAAAGCATTCTAACAAGATGGTCTGACTGACCTTCAGGAATGGACCTTCAGGATTTAGCTCTTGAGCTAAATCAGAGCAAATGGAAATACATTAAAGAATGCTCTATGACAAGTGTTTCCTGAAAACGAGCTGCCCTCAACCATAACCTCATAAGCAAAGAGATGAAGGCATTTAGGTTGGGGAACAAACACTAAGAATATCTGTTTTATTTTACACAAGCCTAATTGGATCAGTATGAAAGCTGGGGGGGAAACCTGAACCACAGACCAAGAAAACTCTCCCAACATTGTGGGAGAGTTATTGACATATGATGCAAGGATGCCTAATCACTTCAAAACCAGCTTCAGACACAGAAAGTAAACTGTGGTGAGATAACAAACATTACTGTGGGATGGAATAAAAACAATGGGAAAATACTTGGCCATCTGAACTACGGTAATTCAAGTCAACATGGCTAGATAACAGTTGCTCAGGGGCAAAAGAGCAAAGAAGAGCTCCCACCAGGTGCCATCTACATGTGCTGAACCAAAGGTGGACTGTTCCAGGTGCTCCGCTTACGCCATGTTGGTACTCAAGATGACCCCATCCTTAATTGGTAGAAAGCTGTAGCATGGAGCTCATACACAGCTTGCTTTGATCTCCACTAATTGGCCTGCTTGGATGGTACCCTTATCTGTGGGCCTGGGAGGTTGGGCACAGAGAGGAGAAACATTGGCAATGTTTGGGCATTTGCCACCTGTTTTCCCGTGTGACAAATGCTATTCCATTGTATAATGAATGTATGCATCTTAGCTTGGGTGCGGACAGTCCATCTCTAGACTAAGCCATCTCTTGCTGTGGAGTCCGTCCCACAGGTGCTCTTCAATAAAAGCACCAGAAGTGGTCACTCTGGCGTTTTAGACTTTTTCCTTGGTTCTTCTGCAAAATCAAACTCCTGTGAGCCCTCTGGCTCTGCAGGGCGCAACACTATAGACACTATGGCATAGAGGCTTCTAGAACATGCCTTCAGTGTGCCTGCAAAGGATGCTGGCCAGGTTGAAAGAAGCCTACAAATCTCTTGCACATTTCTGTTGACTTAGGTCAGGCATCCCCACACTCGGCCCTCCAGCTTTTTTGGGACTACAACTCCCACCATCCCTAGCTAACAGGACCAGTGGTGGAACTGGAATTGTAGTCCCAAAACATCTAGAGGGCCAAGTTTGGGGATGCCTGACTTAGGTGGTACTTTCATAAGCAGAGGCTGAATGGTCATGTGTTATGGATGCTTTAGTTGAGATTACTGCACTGCAGCGAGTTGGACTCAACAACCCTTGGGATCCCCTTTCCAACTGTTCTGTGAATCCTATGTTCCTCAAGCAAGTTCACTCAGAGAGGCGGCCAGGCCAGAGCAGTGAACACAAGAGTTGTGCTATGCTTTCAACACATCCTGCTCCCTTTCTGTGTCCTGTCAGAGCAAAAGCTCTGAAAAGGGGGGAGGAGCAGCCGCAATGGCTCAGACTCACTGCTTGATTCTTCCACAAAGGGGAAAAAAGGAGGGTAGCACTGAAAAGAAAACAGAGAAGAAGAGATCCTAACAGCTGCTGGCTAGTAGACAAATCCACTGAAATGAATCCAACGTTCTCCAATTCTTTCACAAAGTAGTATCTCTTGTGCTGCGCTGTCTGCAAGATCAAGTTCCCTCTAGTTTTCTGGGTTTGTTTTGCACCCCCTACCCTGTTACTTTGATGGTAGTTAGTGGTTTCCACTAACTATGCTCAGTTTAAAAACTTTTAACAGTTTAAAAACTTCTTCCCGCAAAAATAAAAAGGGGGAGGAATCAAACCATGATGCACTTTATTCATTGAAGATTTGCACTGAAGTAGATCTATAATTTACTCCTCATCGATTTTACTATCATGCAGGATCTATCACCTCTATGATATAAATCAGGCTTCCTCAGCCTCGGCCCTCCAGATGTTTTTGGCCTACAACTCCCATGATCCCTAGCTAGCAGGACCAGTGGTCAGGGATGATAGGAATTGTAGTCTCAAAACATCTGGAGGCCAAGGTTGAGGAAGCCTGATATAAATAGTAAAATGTAAGTTCTCTGTAAGAACAAGCCAGCTTCAGAACCACAGAGGTTAGTGGTAAACCACAGAGCTTAGTGGTAAAACCACGATCCTGGGTTTGAATGCAATGACTAAATTTAAATGCACCCAAAGCTGCCAAAGTGCTCCTACTAGGAGTGTGTACACACTATGCCTTTAAAGCACATTCAAAGCACATTCTCTCTCAAAGAATTCTGGGCATTGTAGTTTTCTCTTCACAGTTACAATTCCCATAAATCCTTAACAGACTACAGTGGCTGGATTCGTGTGTGTGTTTTTTTACGGGTGGATGCAAGAAGTGCAGGAAAGGCAGGGGTAGGGCAGAAGCCCAACCAGAGTGTGCAGTCCTAAGACATGGTTTAGCATGAAATGTAAACATATCCATAAATGGGCTAAGGATTTTGGTTATAATATTCAGTTAGAGTCATGGGGAAAGTTATGGAACGAAGGAATTCAATTTATTGCCTGTAGTGCTTTAAAAGAAAAGGTTATGATAATGATGTATAGATGGTATATAACACCAACTAAACTTGCTAAAATGTATAAGACTAGAAATAAGGAAATGTAAAGAAATGGATGGAAATTTCTATCATATCTGGTGGACATGCAGTAAAGTAAAACTTACTGGGAAATGATATATAATGAGTTAAAGAAAATTTACTAAAGTACATTTGTTTAAAAAAAAAACCAGAAGCATTTTTATTGGGTATAGTAGGTAAAGAAATCCCCCCAAAAAAGATCAGAAATTATTTATGTATGCAACAATGGCAACAAGGATTCTTTTAGCCCAAAAATGAAAGCAGCAGGAATTACCAACAATAGAAGAGGGGCAGATAAAGATGGTGAAATACGCAGAACTGGCGGAACTGACCGGGAAAATCCAAAACCAGCATGAACAAGCCTTCCAAAAAGATTGGAGTAAATTTGTACAATATTTGAAGGAAATTTGTAAACAATTAACAACAGTTAGGGAATTAGGGAAACCATTAGACGGGAGGGAGGGAAGTCGATTAGCTCATATGAGTAAAAACATATGTGAATAACAAGGATGTATTTAAATGTTATGAAATGGAAATGGAAAATTAATAAAAATAAAATAAATAAATAAATACCACTGGTGCAAAATAGAAGTGCTATGAACCAATCATTTGAGGCAATGAGATTGCTGTGGGCTCAAGCTGCTGCTTTTAATATATGTAAACCTTTCCAAACCATTTCATATTTCCTGTGCTTCTCAACTATTATGAAGTCACTTGTCCTGTAGCGTTTGCCCTTTCCCATTAAAAGAAACCCCAAAAAATGTTTAGCACTTAAATCCCAAGTGACATGAATATGAAAGTGAATCTATCGAATGCCTAAGAAAACAAGAGTTCGTCCTGTCCCTAAAAACTCCCTACAATAAAGAAAGCAACATTCTAAGATGGTTTCACAGGACTCAGGTGCTTAATGTTTACAGATTTCAATAGAATTTGGAACAATTTAGCAACAATTTAGCAACACTAACTTCTACTAAAAGGGCTGAAATCCAAATTAGCAAAATACTTATACTAAACCCAGCAAAGGGGGGGGCGGGGTTTGGGGGGTGACAGGAGGTATAATGTCAGTTTTTAACATCCCAGCAATGTAACATCAATTAAGTTAAATTATTAATATTCTGCTCACCGCCGAATATCTTCTGGAACTCTAGGATGCTGCCAGTACGGCAAAGGCTGAAATTTTTCTTTGCCGCATGCAACGTAGAAATGGTTATGTTCTAGCTCATCAGACCCATGTACAGACTGGCCATTTAATGTAAACAGTCTGTAAGAAATGAATATTGAAAAAGTAAGTATATTATACCTATCAACAGAATACAGTCCCTCCAGTGTGCATAATTATCAGCTCCACTAGCAGCTTGTTTAATTATAACTTTGGAAAAACCAAGAAAATCGGTTCCATTTTTCTGAAGCAATTTTCAAAGACTACCAGGGCGTAGCCAAGGGGGAGGCAGGTAAAGGCAGCTGCTCCTCCTGAATCAATACAAATAAATAAAAATACATAACTGAGGTTCTGCCCCGTCCCAAACAAGAGTCCTGCCCTCAATAATCAGCTCCCAACTGATTAAAAACAGAATAAACATTAAAAAAATCCCTAAACAGGGCTGCCTTCAGATGTCTTCTAAAAGTCAAGATAGTTGTTTATTTCCTTGATATCTGATGGGAGGGCATTCCACAGGGCAGGCGCCACCACCGAGAAGACCCTCTGCCTAACAAAAGGCTTCCCCCCCCCCCAAATCTTGGCTACACCCATGAAGACTACACTGGCCCAGTGCAGACCCAATGCTGGCCACCCAAATAACTATAGAAAGCCCACAAGTAGGGCATGTGGGCAATATAACTCTCTTGCTGTTGCTCCTCAGGAGTTGGCATTTAGATACTTGCTGTCTTGCTTCAATAGCCAGTAGCCACTATGAATGTGACTCAGCTGCTTTTAAAGTAATCTAAGGCTGTGTATACAATCCCATCTACTCTGCATCTGGTGTACTCCCACCACTGTCTTCAGAAGTTGTGTACACATGACATTAGCCACATAAGCACTGCTTACCTGTGGATACCCCCAGAGCGAGAAGATACTTTTTCATTTATCAATCCAAGGACACCGTTCCAACTTTTCAGCGTGAACTTGGGGAGGAGAATTTTCACAGGCGGTATCAACATGTCTCCGTTTGTGAAAACACTATCAAAAAGACATATGAACAAACTATTTTAAGTAAGGAAACTTCTGGGGGGAAATATTGTATTTAGAAAATTACTTTGATAAGGATATGTTTCATTAGGAATCCAGCTAGTTACATTTCAGGGACAAGCTTCAAATCTCAACCTCTCTGAGAAAACATTTTAACTCATCAGATAGTATTGTATATTTTCACCCATTTCCATCTGACATGATAGGGGAAACAAAAGTGAAATACGTTCAGTTGGAGAACCCAAGGAAGATACAGCCTTTGAAAATTCAATTACTTTCTCCTATACCGACAAAAGATGTCCTCAACAATTCCCAGAGGAAATAAACCACAATCCTTTTAAAGAGATAATAGAATCAATTGATTTCTTCAGTGAAGCTCACATTAGAAAATGGCTCTTCCTCCACCTGCAAAGATCCATGGAACCACTTTGAGACTAAAGCTGTAATCTTAAGTATACTGACCTGGAAGTTAAGTATAAATGAAATCAATGGGACTTACTTCTGAGTAAATATGATTAGGAACTGGGCTGCAAAAGCTTTGAAAAGAAGCAAAAGTTTGGATAAATCACAGACAGACACTAAGCCAGTTGAAGTACCTATATATTTTTGGAGAATGGCTATTCCAAATCTCCACTTCCCTATTTTCCCCTGCTTAAAGTGTGTCTGTGTAGTGGGGCATCATTCCTCCTACAGTAATAGTGTAATCAAACGAAGAGCCAACACACACAATACAGCAACAAGATTTGCTGAAAGGATTTTTCTTAAACACTGCTGTTAACTTCCTTAAAGCATGTTACTACGAAAGGGCAACACAAAAGGGGTAGTAGTTCTACTCTCTCATATGAAAAGCTAAACAACACATCTGATATATAAGGCTGGGTTAACTATGACTACAATAATATAAGCAGTGCTAAAGATCTGTATACTTGACCCCAACCTACTTTCACATCCTGCTTTAGCATCACAGAGTGTATCAATAAAACTACATTATGGCAGTGGTTCTCAAACTTTCCCCCACAGATCACTTCAGAATTGCTGAGGGTCTTGGTGGACCACTTCATTATATGCTGTTGTAGCAAAAGTAACATGTTGTGCTAGATGCTGCCTGGTTTTTAATTGTATCTTTACAGGCACAGTGTTGATCATCACCTGGATAAAGCTCCTCTTTAAGTCTGTCAAGTGCTATGGTTCATTACTTTTGGGGTGAGAGACTGACTCAGAGGTGTTCTTTCCAGTCTACAGTATTCCCATTACAGCCGACCCTGCTCCAGAAGTCTTTTATGCATAATCTGGCTTTTCTTGACAGAAACTAAGAGAGGTGCAAAGCTCAAGCTTTTAAGATTCTGCTAACCATTCAGCTGGTTAATTTGGCTTCTAATAGAGTATTTCATACTTGCTTCTAACCTGTTACCCCCTGGCCTAAAGGCTGCAGAGAGATAAGACAGAAAATGAGAAGGTTCATTCTGGGGCAGCAAAGATCACAATCTGGCTAGTTAGCAGTATATTTGAGGATTTGATATTACAGCTCTCTGCTTCATTCCAAAGAATAGCGCTGCATGATTTTCTAAGCTAATAATTTATCACAATTATATTCCACCTTTTCCTCTAAAGAAATTAAGTCAGCATAAACGCCCCTGCCTCTCCCATTTTATCCTATTTACTAAATCCACTGAAGTTAACAGACATGATGATTTTACTCTGGTTCTTTTGTGCCACAACCACTCATTTTTGAATCCGTGTACACATAAATTTGCCCAGAATTATCCTGTAGTTTCTAGCGAAATACTGTGTATTGGTGTTCTTTCTCCCAAGCCACCTTAAAGGCAACTTGAACACATTGAAACCTGGGTCTGTACATTTGAGGTTTCCTTATGAATTTCCAGGGGTGGAAACTGTGTGGGGAAACAGTTCGGCAATTTCATAAGGTGAAGACATCACTACCCAGTTTCCACTTACTGGTGTGGGCGTACAGCACGTGGCTTCAATACACATCAAGCCATGCTAATTTGCACAGCAACAGGCAAACTGAACTTGAAAAACACAGAGAGAAAGCAACCTTGATGTGTTTTAAGCCACTAATGTGTGCACAGACTTAAGTTCATTAATTTCAATGAGTCTACTCTGATTAAGGTAACAACTTAGTTGAATACAGTTCCTAAACATCACAAGTAACAGGACCTCAACAGATATTTAATTCACATTACAAGAACTGTTATTGTGTGTGTGTGGTTACAAGTGCATTTTTATCTTATAAATATTCAAATATCATCCACAGCACAGCTATGTACCCAAAATTACAAGGTACAACCTCCATGATCTGATATACAATTCTGGTCTCGAAACAAATAGGTTTATTGTTCAAGCAAAAGGCAATGAGAGACTTGTAGCAATAGTATTAACAAAATAATACAGAACATCCATCCATAAATATGAACCACCATCTATTATGTAAGAGAGAGACGTTACCAGAGACACCAACAAACTCAAATGCAGCTTGATTTCAGATTAACTCTCAAGTCAAATATTTATATTTGGCTGCTTATATTTAAAACAAAATTCTACAAGCCACAGAGGTTGCTAGCAGAGGATATTTGGGGCCATCTAGTGGAATTCTCAGGGCATAGATACAAACCATGGACCCTAAATTAAAATGAATTTTATTTACAAATATATTGGGCCAATAATAAATATGAATAGTCTAAAGAAAGTATTGTTAGTCCTTCTGGTCAAGGATATCCCAACTCATTTTCAAGTACTTTTAAACACACCCATCCCTGCCATTTTTCTTTACATAACTCAGAAGTCTGAAAAAGTGAGAATTAGATCTTCTTTACATGATCCTCGTCAATCCAGATAAGCAATACAAATTGTTCAAATACTAGTTGCTGTGAATGCTGAAAGTCTGCTTACTTTCCTTGTCCTACAAAAGAACTAAAGACAGCAGCTTGCTCTGCAAAACCTCTCTCACATGGAGACAAACTTAAGTTCTGTAATTTATTCCGTGTATTTTTATCCCACCCATTCTCCAAGGAGCCCAGGACGGTATACATGATTCTCTCCCCACAACCAGTGCTTTGATTTTAAGGGACACTCAAGGGTACGCAGTACTGGAACCTCTGTTTTGCTGTTGTTAAAAAGAGTAGAACTTACTGTAACATCATGGTGAGTTAGGTTTCTAGGAAAAAAGCACTGTCCACAGCAATCCTATGCCATCCTAGGCTGAGAGGTAGCAGCCCCATCTGCATACCATGGTAAACCACAGTTAATCGTTTACCATGAATGTGCCCAATAGTTTTGCTCCTTCCCACTAGCACACAAAGGGAGCAAAGACTGTCGTGCCCATTTGCAGCCCTTGTTCTGAGGCAAGTGTGGGAAACTTCAGGCCCTCGGATGTTACTGAACTACAACTCCCTTAAGACCAGTGCACATGGTCAACAGCCAAGGATGATGCGAATTGCTCAGGGACATCTAGATGGCCCAAGATTACCTGCACCTGTTCATAGGTAACATTAAGCTGGGGGTTGTTGTTTATTTGTCCCCAGTCTTTGTGCATGGCGAGCCATGGTTTATGCCACGCAGTGGGTGTCTAAATTTTTTTCAAAGAGGGCCAGATTTGATAAAGTGAAGGGCCGTGAGGGCCAACCAAAGTTGTTGAGGATTTAAGTTGTTGAGGTTTTTTTTTTAGGATTTTACCCCAGGAAATAAACTGCCACAGGGGCCAGATTAAACTAGCCGGCTGGCTGAATTAGGCCCCCGAAGCGGACTTTGGACGTGCCTAGCGGTGATGTTTCGGACACAGGCAATGACTAGGCAAAGGTCACCTGGTTAACTTCATGCCTAACTAAGGATTTGAACACAGATCCTAGTCAAACACTCTAGCCATCTTTATAGTTATTTTTTATTTCAGAAGAACATTGATAACATCTGAGGATTTGTTAATAATATATGCACTACTTTTAAACAACAACAACAATAACCATATACTTACCTAATATTTAGTGGCTTATTATAGTTTGATTGCCATTTGGAAGGTACTTTTATATTACTGTGGACCACAGGTCGAATCTGCAAAAACAGTGAAACTCAAATTGTATGATGCAACATGTTTCTAAAATTTAATAATTAAAGCAGGCAGTATATATAAGTAAAATGATATAATTTAAGCTGCTACACTTGGTCAGAAGTTGGAGAAATCTACCAGGATTCTAAAGTCCCAATTTATATATGATTTGCACTTCGTAACACACTGTGTCACAACCACTGCCTTTTCAGCAACCTTTGAAAGTTGCTGTTTGTCACAGAAGGAGAGTCACTATCAGGCAGAATGAGGAAGTTCCTTCCCTTCAAGGCAAAACAGATGTTCCATGCATGTGAACTATCTGGATTGGGACCACAGGTATGCGGGAGGAGAGAGGTTAGCCTTTCCACCCCAATACTGTCTTCCTGATTATAATCTCCCTAAAACAGCTATCTATTTACTTCATGGCCAAACTTATAGGTCTCTCTATGGGCAAACAACAGCATCGAAAGGGAGTAGGGGTTCTTTTCTTTGCTTCCAGTTTTAAACTACCCACTGTTTGCAGTTTTGCATAAACTCGAGCAAATCATGGTTAGTCTAAACCAGGAGTAGTCAACCTGGTCCCTAGTGCCCACTAGTGGGCGTTTCAGGATTCCAGGTGGGCGGTAGGGGGTTCTACACCACATGTTACTGCAGCACTAGTGGGCGGTAAGGAAATTTTACCATCAAGAAAAAAGCATTAGTGGGCGGTAAGTATAAAAAGGTTGACTAAAGGTAAAGGTAAAGGGACCCCTGACCATTAGGTCCAGTCGCAGACGACTCTGGGGTTGCGGCACTCATCTTGCTTTATTGGCCGAGGGAGCTGGCGTACAGCTTCCGGGTCATGTGGCCAGCATGACTAAGCCACTTCTGGCGAACCAGAGCAGCGCACGGAAACGCTGTTTACCTTCCCGCCGGAGCGGTACCTATTTATCCACTTGCACTTTGACATGCTTTCGAACTGCTAGGTTGGCAGGAGCAGGGACTGAGCAACGGGAGCTCACCCCGTTGCAGGGATATGAACAGCCGACCTTCTGATTGGCAAGTCCTAGGCTCTGTGGTTTAACCCACAGCACCACCCACGAAAAAGGTTGACTATCCCTGGTCTAAAGGAAGGGTGGGGAACCTGCGGTCCTCCAGGGATTTAAAAATCACTGGTCATTGGGGCAATGCTGGCTGGGGCTTATGGAAGTTGAGCATGACTTTAGCATAACTTCAAAGGTGCCTTGAACTTCTCTATTTAAATGAGTTGGTGTTAGGAAGACTGAGCAAACGTTTCTTGCTGCCAAATAAATGAAAACGCCACTGATCAAATACTCACCACCTCATCCCTCTTCTTTCTTTGAGGTTTCTTTGCCCCTATACTGAAATAACTTAAAAGGAAAAATATAATCAGAATAAACAAAATGTTATTCAACAGCTTGCAAATTCAGTTAAACATTTTGGCCTCACGGAATACAGGACCTTGATTTATCTGAATCTTCTTAGTCCAAATTAATACCAGAAACAGAGGCTGCTGTACCACCAGATACAGGCATCTGACTTTGAAAGAGCAACTCGTTTTGAAGTCTCAGAGCAGGAGAGAAAGGGTTTAAGCTTTCACTGACTTAGATGAAGTAGGGATAAGTCCACAAAAGTTTATGCCATTATATGCCATCCATATGCACCTACCCAGACCCTGAGATCATCTTCTGAGGCCCTTCTTCGTGTGCCTCCTCCAGAAGAGGTCCAGAGGGTGGCAACACGAGAATGGGCCTTTTCTGCAGTGGCTCCCCATCTGTGGAATGCTCTCCCCAGGGAAGTTTGCCTGGCGCCTTCATTATACACCTTTAGGCACCAGTCAAAAACATTCCTTTGACATCTTATGCCCTTTTGAAATGTGTTGAGGGGGAGGGTTCCTGGGTGGTTTTGTTTTTATTTTGATTATGTATTTTGTGGTATTTATATTCTGATTTTATTCTGTGAACTGCCCTGAGACTTGGGAGTATAGAGTGGTATATAAATTCAATAAATAAATAAAGTAAAGTAAATAATAAACTTGTTACTCTTTAAGGTTCCACAAGACTGTTGTTTTAGAAACATTCAAGTTTTCCACAAATGACTGCCTCATAGAAAATGCGTAAGCATAAATAATAATAAAAAATGATGCTGTAAAGTTACTGTACTTTACCATACCCATAAATAGAATGTGCTTGGGATCTTTCAGTTTATTTTAAATCTACTGTGGTGTGGTGTCATTTTCAATTCTTCAAATGTATAAGAAGAGTCACTTCACAGGCATCCAAGTTCACAAATTTATAGGCACTTTACAAACTTGTAACCTACAGTGAAACCTCTGCATTCCATGTTTACTCCAAATGTATTGAACTCTGAGAAGAGCAAGGAAATGGATTTTATTTCCTCTGCCCTGAAACACTAATAAACAAATGCAAACAGCAGTCATCCTCCATTTGTGAGGGCATAAGTAGGTTCAAACAAAAATCTGATCAAACGGGTTTGCACTTACAACACAGAGAGGAATGTAAACACAGCCTACTCAAAACCGCTGCTCAGAATTAAAATAAATGGCCTTGAAAGCTGCATTTCAGTATTCAAAGAATTGTTATCTGTGAGTGATTCCAATTTCTGCCTGCACTTCTCTCCATTAAATTCACCAAGCAAGAACAATGTCAGGAACACGTTGGTATAATGCTTTTTACTGTTGTATTCCAGACAGGAGATTCACATTTAAGTTGGAAATCTTAGATGTTTTTACTCAATCACCCTTTAGTGAAATAGTAAGTAATCATAAGAGTCTGCAGACTTGTTTTGGGCTCGTAACCAAGGGAATGAAGGAGGGAAGGAAAGAGGATTGGCAACGGAGAGCAGAATAGTGAACACCATCAAAGAGCACTGGAAAGGGAGAAGACACAAAGCAGGAAAAGAAGTTGTTTGCGTTAAGAGTAATGAACAGGGAGTCCTTCAGATGTTATTGGACTACATTCAACTCTGATCAGCCCTAGCCTGGCAAACAATCAGGAGTGAAGGAAGTAGCAGTCCTGCAACATCTGAAGCGCCACAGGTTCCTCAGTCCTGTATTAAGAGGCCAGTCCTTATTTGGGTATGTCTACACAGGGACGCGGGTGGCGCTGTGGGTTAAACCACAGAGCCTAGGACTTGTCAATCAGAAGGTCAGCGGTTTGAGTCCCCACAACGGGGTGAGCTCCCATTGCTCGGTCCCTGCTCCTGCCAACCTAGCAGTTCAAAAGCATGTCAAAGTGCAAGTAGATAAATAGGTACCGCTCCAGCAGGAAGGTAAACAGCGTTTCCGTGCGCTGCTCTGGTTCGCCAGAAGCGGCTTAGTCATGCTGGCCACATGACTCAGAAGCTGTACGCCGGCTCCCTCGGCCAATAAAGCGAGATGAGCGCCGCAACCCCAGTCGGTCACGACTGGACCTAATGGTCAGGGGTCCCTTTACCTTTATACATGTATGGTTTGGATGCATTCAGTCTCTGTAAAGAGTGTAAGCTATCTGAAAGGCCAGAATTGCAAAATCAAATCAAGGTAGCAACATCCACATGATGTAAGGGGGAGACAAAACCTTTTGCAACATAGGCACTTTTTTCTGGTGTAGTACACTCAGGTGTCAAGCCTAGGTAATGGAATGTGGCTGGGCTGTCAACCTCAGAGATTCCTTAGCTGTGATTCCTGCATTGCACAGGAATGATCCTTTGGATCCCTTCCAGGCTCTACAATTCTATCTTTTTAGGAAATACAGGGACAATCCTTTCATATGCAAGACTAACATCTGAAAATTCTCTACAATATGCATGTCTTGGAAAGCCACTCCGGTTTCCAATTGAAGAGAAATCTCACGTTCCTGCGCATTTTGATACACTAGACTACAGGATCTGCATCACCCAAATTGTTCCTGATCACCTCCGTTCAAACCTCTTCATACTTACTTCAGTTTCCTAAACCTTTCCCTGCCGGCAACCACGTATCTGCCTCCTTGCTCAATGTCGGTCAGGTCAATAACCGAATGCCCTTGGCGGGGTGTGTATATGTTCCTCACCCCAAAGGGTGTGGCCACGCCTTCGTTGAGTTGTATCATGAAGGCTTCGAAGTTAGGCACGTAGCGGTGGTTTATCACAAACTTCCTTCCCAAATAGAAGGGGTCGCCATTACGGTACACCCAAATCGTCCGGGCAGGGGTGACATCTGTCAAGCTATAGACGGCTCGAGGCCGAGTCGCTCCCACCATACTGAAGTCACCAGTTCAGACAGACAGCGAGGGCTGGGGAGGAGTGGCGTTTGGGGAAGAACATAAAATATACAGCAGTGCATTTAAAAAAGAAAGGAAATCCCAATAAACAAATCCAGGACCCCTCCCATACACCCCAAAGCAAAGGGAACTGGGGCAGAGAAGAGAAGGTGGCTGCAGATCTCCTGTTCAGACCTCTAACCAACTACTTCATAGTGGCACCAAAGTGGGGACACCCCCACCCCACCCCAAAGTCTTCCAGGGGGCAACTTTCTCTCTCTCTCTCTCTCCCACCTGAGCCTCACACCCCCAATACATAAAAGCCTGACATCACGCTGTGTGTAGCAGGATTGTGACTGCAGCCCTCAGCAAACAAAATAGGTCCCCACAAGGGTTTCCCTGGAAACGCATTGGGAGAGGGAGGGAGGTGGCTCAGGCTGCAAAGGGATTCCCAGGCGCGCCCTGAGGGCTGCGCGCGATCCCGAAGCCTTGGAAGGCGGGAAGCGCGAGACTTGTGCGGGCGCGCGCCTCCTCGCACGGCGGCTTTCCTTTGGAGCCAACCGAGTGACCCGCCTGCCCCACTTATTATGGGTCAAGGAAAATGGCTACATGCAGCAGCAACGACCAGCTTCCCTCAAACCAAGGACTCTCCCGTTCCTCGGGAGTTTCTCCATTATCTAGAAGTCCTCATTCACCGCGCGCTTCATATCCAGTTTAAAATAAAAGGGTGAAAACCCCGCAGCGCCTTCCTCTTCCTCCTCATTGCTGTCTCCTCGGAGAGTTGCAACTACGCACCCCTCCTCTTCTGGGGGTGCAAAGTTATCCCCTCTCCTCCTGGTCACCGTCTCCTGATTCTTTTCCCCACACAACACAGATCAATTGCCGCCTCGCGCCCCGCCTAGGCTTATTGCTATGCCCTCTCCTTGATGCAAACAAAACAAAACCCAGGTTGTGTGTTTCCCGCCTTCGTTGAAAGAACCGAGAAAAGAACCGACGAGCCAGCCCTGCTAAATCTGCACAACCTTCAGCAGATCTCTCAAAGCAACGCAAATGCACTTGTGAGAAAGGGAGCGCATTTCAAAATAAGGAGGAAACAGATCTTCCGCCCTTTTTTTCTTCTGCAAGCATCAGCTGGGACCTGATCGTTTGGAAAGCAAGATATTGGAAGGGGAGACCGGCTCAGGGCGTGACTTTGTGAGAGAGAGGGATACAAGCAATCAAACGTTTTTTAAACCTCCCAGTGCGATGCCAAATCGTGTTCATTGAGGCTGACTCCTAGGTAAACTAGCATAGCCCTATCTGAAGAAGTGTGCATGCACATGAAAGCTCATACCAATAACAAACTTAGTTGGTCTCTAAGGTGCTACTGGAAGGAATTTTTTTATTATTATTATTATTATTATTATTATTATTATTATTTGTTTCGATAACCGCATAAGCTAAATGTATAGCTAAATAAGCTATAGTTTAGGGCCCCACTCTCTTGGGGGACCCCCAAAAAATTTAAAGGAAAAAATCCTCGATGTACAGTTCCAAAATATAAGATAAAAAACAAATAAAATAAAACACATACAGCAACAGTGGCAAATGGCTTTAGATACCTATTAGGTCCATAAATTACCATATAGCATATATTCAACACAAAAAACAGCGACAATTTGTTGTTGGCAAAGGACAGCTGGACATATAAAGCGTCCCATTATCTTCAGTAGCTTATCAAACCTAAATCCGGCCCTGACTGCTTCCTCCAATAACTCTGGGTGGGAGGAAGCCCCATTGGAGATACGCTTCTGTGTAAATATGCCTAGGATATCACCATGGGTAGGATTCAACTCTGTTTTACCCAAAGCGAGCCAAGCTTAGTCCTATATATTAATTTCATTGGGTCTACTCTTAAATCAAACCCAGTACAATACCACCCTGAGTATCTAACCATGTTTTTTTAAAATATATTAATTTTATTATTACATGTGACTTGGCTCTAAAAAGGGGCGTTGTTCTCCCATTCACTCAGAGAAGCAGGCCTATTTCATCAAATCTTTTCATTTATTCTTACTAGAAATGGGGCAGGGGTGTTATACATCCTTTTTCCAACTCACACCATTGTTTTAGCTCGGGTCAGCAAACGTTTTCAGCAGGGGTCAGCAGGACCACTGTCCCTCAGACCTTGTGGGGGGCCGGACTATATGGGGGGGGTGAACGAATTCCTATGCCCCACAAATAACCCAGAGATGCATTTTAAATAAAAGGACACATTCTACCCATGTAAAAACACCAGGTAGGCCCCACAAATAACCCAGAGACGCATTTTAAATAAAAGGACACATTCTACTCATGTAAAAACACACTGATTCCCGGACCATCCTCAGGCTGGATTTAGAAGATGATTGGGCCGGATCTGGCTCCCGGGCCTTAGTTTGCCTACCCATGTCTGGGGCAAAGTTAACCACAAAGATGATTGAGTAGGAGATCTGCTAGCTTGGTGGTGTGTCCCAACAGCTGAAAAGCACACACTCTCCAAAACAAAACAAACAAACAACCAGAAGTACCAACAAAAGTTAAATAAATTTGGGTCAATAGGAAAAGATGGAAGCACAGAATATAAAGTATGCAATGTACGAACCAGGAAGGGTAAGTATTCTTTTATTATAACATAATTCAATTTTAGATGGCAAAAGGAAAAGATAGGCACAACTATCTAAGCAAAAAATAATAATAATGCAAGATTGATTCTTAGCACACAATCTTCAAACATACTGAAGCATATTCTTGCACAGATGTTCAATACAGTTTTGCTCTGTTTTTATAATTAATAGTTCCAGAATCTCTCAGCTATTTGTGATCAGCATCACTTAACATTGCACTCCTAAGCACACTTGCTCAAATTCTTCAATCAAATCAAGCAGGAATGACTTCCAAGTTAACATAGAATAAGGCTGTGATAAATGGCATCTATGTGATAAATGGGATATATGAGGACATATTTTGGATATTCCGGACTAATGTAAGCAAAACTGAAAATTAGATTACACATAGGATTTTATTTTATTTTTAATGAATAGGGCTGGTCCTCACACAAGGCAGAATGAGGGGAAAACCTCAGGTAGCTGATTTTGGGTGCCATTAAATTCTTAGTTTTTAAAATTTTATTCTTATTGCCAGGGAGGGGAGAAGTGCGATTTTCTGCTTTGGGTACTATTGACATTGACAGGGCAGGGGATGCCTTTTGCAGTGCCACACATCAGGCAGCAAACTGCCTTGGGTCAGTTCTGGTTATTTATTATTACATTAATATCCCACCTTTCACCTAAGGAGCTCAAGGTGGCAAATGCAGTTCTGCAGCTTCCCTGTTTTATCTTCACAACAACCCTGCGAGGCAAGAAACTAAGAATGTCTGACCGGCCCAGTGTCAACCTGTAGGCTTCATGGCTGTGTGGAGATTTGAATCCGGGTCTCACAAATCCTAGTCCAACACTCTAAACAATATAACCGGCTCGATATGTAACTGCGCTTTAAAAAACAAAAACAAAACCTTTCTACCTTATGTGCTCTATCTGTTCGAGAGCTGCATTCATTGCCTCTTAACATTGTTTAATAAATAATACCATTTTCCAAATCCGATAACCTGTTAGCAAATATATATGTAAATTATTCATTCAGCTAGAGAAATGATGTTATTGTACAACCGTAACAAATTGTTGCATTTGAACCAATGATGTGGAAAAATGGAATAATTCAATGAATGCAGATAGATGAATTGTATTCGGGCTTGTATTAACCATGAGTGAAATTCTGCAGAGCCTTTTTTCCTGAGAACGTTTTTACTTCCTCATGTCTGGCAAGGCCCGTGGAAATCCCCAGAGACGCATCCTACTTACACCTCCATCAGGAGCAAAAGTAAGTTTCACATGAGTAAACACATCCAGCATCTTTATGGCAGTACCATCAAAAAAATGTCTCGTATGAGGTTTAAGCTGGGGGAGAAAGAACACAATAAATTTGGTAATAGTAGTTGCAGAAAAGATTCTCATTCCAATCTTATACTTTTTGTCTACTTGCGTGTCAAGGTCCCCAAGCCACCCCCTAAATAAATCACAATTCACACAAAATTTTTGTTTAAGGCTTTTGGCATAATTTTGGCCACAACTTTATTAAAATACATAAATGTGAGTGGTTGTGTAGGCATTGGTTCCGACTATCTGTCCCCGTCCAGGGACAGAAGTGACTTCCAGATTCCAGCGAAAGCCAGTAAGAGAAAACAATATTGGGGAGAGAATGGAGCCGGGCACCAGACCCTCACCTCTCCCCTCATGCTCCCGGGGGCTTGGGCGGCCCAAGCCCCAGACTAGGGATTTGGATGAAAGCATGGCAAGCCCCTCAATTCCTTTAACGGAATTCCCTTGCAGCAGCTGCATTGGAGGGGCAGGCACTGCCAACCACATCCCCTCCACCAACCAAAAATTAACCAATTCCTAACCGCAACCTTACGAGTTGTGACGATTTGCTACGCAGTAGGCAAAGACCAAATAGCACCAGCCAATCTGCCAAATGGACAAAATTCCTACCGGGCCCCTGCCCCAAAAACCGGACGACCCCATGACAGGCATAGCAATGTCAAACGCAACAACCCTAAATTAGGGAGGGTGGGCGGGCGATCCGATGCACGCAGCAAAAGAGACTGAAAATGGCTACATGCCAAGAATACATAACCTTCGGGCCAACCCCCTAAATGGTAGCATCAAAATCCCCCCAACAACCCCAATTGGCCCAATCACAGTCATTGCCATCCAAATGGTCCCGCCCAGCAACCAAGAGGGGGTGTCCTGTTAGACCCTACTGCAATACGTGCTCTCCATGAAGGAGAACACGCTTTGTGGGTGTTGTATGTTTGTGGTTTTTGTTTTTCTGGAACTCATATTGCTTTTTGTAAAGTGCTTCCCACCCATAATACAGATATATTCATATTCAATTGATCTAGAGATTCATAGCTGACCTTTGTTGCAGGTACCAGCGTGTTCCATTTTGGACCTTGCTTCAAAGTCCACTTCTGTGCATTATATTCATTTTCTTCTTCTGTACTCAAAATACAGGCCTCAAGTTTAAATGTATCTGGAAAGTTTCCTAATAGTAAAATATAATAAAATAATTGAATGTGATATACTAATAGTTCCTTCCAAATAAATTAGGGCTGCAATCTTATATACACTTACCCAGGAAGAAGTCCCATTCAACTCAGTAAGTATTACTTCTGAGTAAAGAGATATATGGTTGCATTTTAAGGTTGGAACCCTTTGCACACTTGCTGAGGTAAAACTCCACTGAATTCAGTGATAAGAGGGTCCCCCCTCCCCCAAATAAACATGCTTAGGATCATACTGCACAGATTATATAGTAATACAGTGGTGCCCCGCAAGACGAATGCCTCGCAAGACGGAAAACCCGCTAGACGAAAGGGTTTTCCGTTTTGGAGGTGCTTCGCAAAACGAATTCCCTATGTGCTTGCTTCGCAAGACGAAAATGTCTTGCGAGTTCCTGCAGGGTTTTTTTCCTTTCCCACCCCTTTTTCCCAAGCCGCTAAACCGCTTATCAGCTGATGGCTAAGCCGCTTATCAGCTGATCTTTACGCCGCTTAACAGCTGATGCTAAGCCGCTTATCAACTGATCTTTAAGCTGCTTAACAGCTGATGCTAAGCCGCTTATCAGCTGATGGCTAAGCCGCTTATCAGCTGATCTTTAAGCCGGCTAAGCCGCTAATACTGTAGCGCTAAGCCGCTAAACCTCTAATGGGCTTGCTTCGCAAGACGAAAAAACCCGCAAGACGAAGAGACTCGCTAAGCCGCTAAACCTCTAATGGGCTTGCTTCGCAAGACGAAAAAACCCGCAAGACGAAGAGACTCGTCTTGCGAGGCACCACTGTACCCTGTGGCATTTTCAAAGGTGAAATATGAATATTACCCACTACAGTCTGCTTCTTAAAACATCTGCCTGATTGTTACAACTTGAAAGGAGGGACAAATTTTTAAAACATTCATTATGCTCGATTTAAAATAACAAAATCTGCTGAATTTTAACAAAATCTTCCATATCTATCTATCTATTTGGACCAAAATCTTTGGAAACACATTGAAGAGTAGTAAACTTTTCACAGAGTTATCTAGGTAAAGAGGGTTTGACATAAGACTAACATAACAAGAAATTTGTACCTTTAAAGTGACTGGTGTCTATTTCTATGTGCGTTATAACACCTGAATGTCCCAATCGAAAGACTGCCCATTCACTTCCTGGTACAAGTAAGATTCCTTTGTCACCAAGCTGGAATTAAAAGGAAGACTTTTTTTTTTAGTGGTTGATTCCCCCTCATGATCCACTCGTATATTAATATCCATTTGTGGGGGATCCCAATACGCAGCAGTTTCAATGTTATCTCCTTCGCTCAAAAAACTGCATTTTGTCTGGAAACGTATTGTTTCAATATACTGTTGTGTGGGGGGGGGGAAGCATCATAAAGATCAATAAAACACTTTAATGACAGGAAATAGCTGAAGAATACTGAAAATCTTACATTCATTGCAGCTTCTAAAGATCAGTGTTCTTCTGTGTATGAATTATGTTTAGGAATTGGATAGGAGTTGTTATAAATAATTTGTTTCTTACCTTTAAAATGGGTGGCCTTTGCAGACTTCTGCTTGTTTCCCATCCATCTTTCATGGACTTTGCTCTTCCTGGTCCTAACCCATCACCAAAACAAAAGAATAGAGACACTATATAGAGAGAATAACTCAAAAGTCTTAACTATGAATCACCTTATTCCTTAATTTTATATGTTCTAAAGTGATTTTTTTCTGAACTTAGTAGGGCTATCTATTGATGAGATAAACCTCAGCTAATTAACTGTAAATATTGTAATTGGTCACTTAATGATGATTTTTTAATTAAATTTCTTTAACAATAAAACAACAGTTTCCAAGGGAAAAAATGTTTTAGCCAGGTTCCAAAGAACCACACAATTAGTTCTGCATACCCAATAGGGATTTGGACTTGTGCATATTGAACATTAATTCGAGGGAAGTTTCAAAATGAGTTTCTGATATGGCATATCGACCTGCTGTTCAAATACAAGGGTGTCAAAATTTTCACTAAGCACATTCCTGTACTTATGGGTTCCCTAATTAATAAGAGGCATGTTTGTAGCTGACAAAACCATTTTCAATTAATTAATCAAACTAATTCAATAACTAAATATTGCAACCCAGAATTTAGTGTTCGTGGCAGATCACATTTGATTTTCATCCATATTGCAGATAGATATAAATACCTTATTTAGCTGGGTCTTTCTAATACAAATCCTTCATCTAGACATGATTTTTACTCTGTTCCTTTATATATATATATTTTCCTTCATTTTCTATGACCATGTGTTTGGAATTCTACTATAAATAGCAAAGGAGTCTGAAGATTTATAACTGCCAGGCAAAAAGCAGTCATGGGAAACAAGAGGACTCCAAGAACAGGCTGTTTAGGGGAACCAATACAGTGGTACCTCGGGTTAAGTACTTAATTCGTTCCGGAGGTCCGTTCTTAACCTGAAACTGTTCTTAACCTGAAGCACCGCTTTAGCTAATGGGGCCTCCTGCTGCCACTGTGTCGCTACCACGCGATTTCTGTTCTCATCCTGAAGCAAAGTTCTTAACCTGTGGTAATATTTCTGGGTTAGCGGAGTCTGTAACCTGAAGCGTATGTAACCTGAAGCATATGTAACCCGAGGTACCACTGTACTGTGTTAAAGACTAGTGGTTCTCTGTTCCCCTGCTTTGTAATAAGTCTTGGGAAAAAGAAATACCACAAATTACATTCTCCTCAGAAGGAAGCTGAATTGTTGAACCACTACCCACTGCAATTTCCTGATGCTAGAGGAAATGAGGAGTGTGGAAAAATAGATCTGAAAAATTATATCCAAAATTCTCTGCCTTGCTCTGCCCATTCATCTACTGTACCTATAAACTGGAGAAACTTATTTTCAGCTGGGCAAAATATCATGCTTAACCAATGTCATTGGACTCTCAGCTAAAACAGAATGGAATTCACCAAACACTACTGCTTGCACCATGCCTGTTTATTTCACTTGGGTTTACTGAGCATAAGTGCCATTAATGGGCATAGTATTTCATGGATTATTCCCATAAACAACAATTGTGAGGGATTGTTTAGCGGTTCACTAAAAAGTTGACAGCTTAATTTCACGAAAACATCACGTTCAGACTGCATTACATGAAACCAAATCAGTGGCTATAAACAAAGCCTGGTGTGATTCTTACCTAAAATATTCCCAGGATGGCCTAACTGAGCATCACTGTATCCAACACAGACACCTCCGTTCACCATTGCCACCAAATCACTCAAGTGGTTCAGGCCAGAGAGTGGCCATTCTCTCTGCATTGTACCGTACACTTTTAAACGTGCAATTCCACCATCTGGGAGGGGGAAAGTGTTTTAATTCTGGTTTCATGCCAGAAGAAAAGGATGCACATATTTTGATTAGAGAAAATAATGCATATGCACATTTCTATATTTTTTAGTAGTTACATTTTACAATAATATACGGCGGATATAACTTAATATATGCTATGATTATTGTTAAGGGAGAGACAGAAATAACAAGGAAAGAATGTGAGCAAATGGTGTTACATATACAGCTGTGGTACAGCTTCATCGCTGTGGTTCTCCAGATGTTCATTGTCTTCCAACTCCCACCAGTACCAGCCAGCATGGCTAATAGTCAGGGATAACTGACAGCAACATCTGGAGGGTCACAGGTTCATTTCCTCTGATAGGGATCTTACCTGGATATATGTTGAGTCTTAAGTGTGTCCATTTTTGCTTCGAAGTTGCCACAAAATAGTTGCGGGCAGCCTCAAGGTTTCCTGATTTTATCTTTGAGATGGGAACTAAGGAAGTCCATTCATCTGACCTCATCTAAAAATAAATATTCATTAGCTGGTTAACTTTCAAGGAAATGATAACTTTACTTAGATTTCTTTTTAATACACCTGAGCTGGTATAGAGGTGGCCCCACGCCCATAGCAAGACTACCTTTAAAATATTTAGGGTGCTTACGTAACTCAGATGTAAAACTTTTGAAATGTGCAGTGCCACTAAAATTGGCGTCTTTAATGCAATCTTAAAGGTAAAGGGACCCCTGACCATTAGGTCCAGTTGTGGCTGACTCATCTCGCTTTACTGGCCGAGGGAGCAGGCGTACAGCTTCCGGGTCACGTGGCCAGCATGACTAAGCCGCTTCTGGCAAACCAGAGCAGCGCACGGAAACACCGTTTACCTTCCCCCTGGAGCGGTACCTATTTATCTACTTGCACTTTGATGTGCTTTCGAGCAAGCTTAGTAGGTGACTAATGTAACAAACTTGTAGATAGGTGTGATCTGGTAAACCAGCCATTCATAGCACAGCCTCGTAGGCCACTTCTCCCCATCCTGTTTACTTGTTTACTCCAGGGAAATTCCAAATACCCGTTGTTTATAGCCCTTTCTCAAGTATAGAAATATCTAAGGTCTACATAAGTGCATCAAAAGCAGGAGTGGTAATAGAAGAATGTTTTCATCACAGTTTACATGCTCTCTTTTATGTATTTATTCTGTGCATAGTGAGAAATGTTCCTGGACTCCCCTGCATTGCTCTCTCTGTTAGCCCCACCCCTGATATCCACAGACTGAAGAAGAGCCTTTGCACATACAACAATTGTATGCACATAGGCTTATACCCTATCACAAACTCTTGTATATTCTTCTTTACAAATGTTGCATTAATTAAAAAAATGGCATAGTGTTATGTGTGAACCCAGGCCAGCAGCTTAACAATGGTTTGTTTACTGCCAACAAAGCACATTCTGAATCTATGGTTTGTGGGTAGCTTACTAACTTTGGTTTGTTTTAACTATGGCTTGGTGATATGTATGAACCCATCACCCTACCTTAACCTTGGCTTGTTTGGCACCCCAGGCACTCACTGAATTATAAAAGCCATGAGGCATGAGGCAAGAGCAGCTAGAAAACAACCCAAACTTTGGAGAAACAAGCCATGAAGAAGAAGAAGAGGAGGAGGAGGAGGAGGAGGAGGAGGAGGAGGAGGAGTTTGGATTTGATATCCCGCTTTATCACTACCGGAAGGAGTCTCAAAGCGGCTAACATTCTCCTTTCCCTTCCTCCCCCACAACAAACACTCTGTGAGGTGAGTGGGGCTGAGAGACTCCAGAAAAGTGTGACTTGCCCAAGGTCACCCAGCAGCTGCATGTGGAGGAGCGGGGAAGCGAACCCGGTTCACCAGATTACGAGTCTACCACTCTTAACCACTACACCACACAGGCTCTCTTTGGAGAAACAAGCCATGGCTTGTTTGGTGGTCTGGGATAACTCATAGTTAACTTGTGGTTTAACAACTCATTCCTTATCATTATTTGTAAAGTAGGCTTTAGAGATTGGGGCTGCAGAGACAGCTGTGGGTAAATAAATTGAGAAAGAGGGGATATGTGGGAGATGGTTCAGAGAAGCAGAAGATAGTATAGAGTTCAGAAGCATAATAGGCCTTTATCCCCATTGGTTGCTGCTAGTCACTCCCTATATGTGGCACCTACATCGTGCAGCCTATCCCCTTTCCCCACCTTCGTATTTTGCAGATGCCAAGAGGCAATTTCATTGGGACGCAGGTGGCGCTGTGGTCTAAACCACTGAGCATAGGGCTTGCCGATCAGAAGGTTAGCGGTTCGAATCCCCGTGATGGGGTGAGCTCCCGTTGCTTGGTCCCTGCTCCTGCCAACCTAGCTGTTCGAAAGCACGCCAGTGCAAGTAGATAAATAGGTACCGCTCCACACTAATAGGTGGTGAAGGTAGTCTAAAATAATGTGCCTTAACATTTTGATAAAACACAGCAATTTTAGCGCAATAACTCAGTGTTATCTGGTGCTTTTCCTACACAGGCATCCCAGTTACCTCCTTGACAATCCTCAGCTCTTCATCCGAAGCAGCTGTGCCTATTCTGTTCCCTCTTGCTAGCAGCGCTGGTACCTCCTCTGCAAAGACAATATGCCCAACAGAAATTTAAGTAGATAATATGGGCATAATCAAAACCTCTTCCACATCCACTTCTGAAAAGCTAATTGTTTAGATTCACTATTTTTCTCGTAATATATTATATTAGCAAAAGGATATCTACTGTAGGGCTAAGGGGGAGGGGGTCCTTTGGGGAGTCTAAAGAGCAGACTAAACATGACTTTGAAACCACGTGCAGAAACATAAAAAATGAAAAGCTGCTGATATTGTGAGAGACAACACCCGCTTCCATCATTGCCAACACGACCACTGCCGTTTACTACACTGATACTGTTGGGATAAAGAAAGCTTCTGTCAGGATGTCCCTGTGATACAGATGAGGTTGGGATTAGCACAGTGTAGCAGCATGTGGGATGAATGCATCATAATCAGTACACACAATCCTAATCACATATGTGCCATTTCAGACGTTAAATCGTAGAATTGTATGGTGGGAAGAGACCATCTAGTCCAACCCCCTGCAATGCAGAAATCTTTTTGACCAACGTGGTGCTCGAACCCACAACTCTGAGATTAAGAATCTCATGCTCTACCAACTGAGGTATTTGGATACCCTTGCTGTTCATTTATAGTCAGCATAGCTCTGTGCCAGTAACTATCCACATAGAAGATTAGAAACAAGCAGTCATGAATGGTGAAACATTACTATGGCTTTTTGATCTCCAGTGCCTATATTAGCCCCTAGATATCCTGTGCCTGGCAGCTAAACCTGAAAAAGTCTCCTTCACACTTTCCCAACAGCCAATCCCTCCTGCTGAGGGTCCATGTTTGGCTTTCCTTGCCCCCTCCATGACTTTTCGTAACCTCTAGCCCAGGCATAGGCAAACTCGGCCCTCCAGATGTTTTGGGACTACAATTCCCATCATCCCTGACCACTGGTCCTGTCAGCTAGGGATCATGGGAGTTGTAGTCCCAAAACATCTGGAGGGCCGAGTTTGCCTATGCCTGCTTTAGCCCTAGGCATAGCTGTCAACCTTCCCCTTTTTTGCAGGAAATTCCCTTATTCCAGCACCGTTTCCCGCTGCTTCCCACTGCTATCCTGGATTGTTAGATATCCTGTATACTGTCCCTGGGACAGGTGAGGCTGCTGATCCCTTATTTTCAAATCTGAAAGTTGACAGCTATGGCCCTAGGCCTTGAAGAAAAGTATGGTATCTCTCAATGATGCTCATCACCCACTGGGTTTCAGGCAACGTGACTGTTCTCCTGATGTTGCTCCCGCTAGGATCCCTTTCCTGTCACCTTTCCATGTTTTAATACAGCATCATCAGAACCTCTACAAAGTTCTTGAGATCTTAAGTTACCTGGCTTCAAGCAAGCAGCTTGGATTGATATCTGAGGAGCGCAGTTTCCAGCAAAGTAAGATGTGTCTGCCTCAAACCCATAAATCGTACCTGGCACCCCCAGTTGAATGAGGCACCAATCATGACCTAAGACGCAAAGGAAGAAGCTTTAAAATGCAACACCCAACCAAAGTTAATATATGTAGATTTAGGAAATTTTCCATCCTATTTATTTATAAGATTCCTTACCCACCTTTCGCCATAATCTCAGAAATTCTCTCAGAAAAGAAAAGTCTTCTAAAAATAAATAATTGTCGGTTCAGCTGTTTTACCTGGAATGCGCTTCCTCCTGGTTTCCCATCCATCCCTCCACTTTCCAAACTCGGTGAATAGGTCTGCATGATATGCTGGTCTTTGTTTCTAAGCAAACAAATATAAAAAAGATCAAGGTAGTGCTTGCATTATGCCCTTCATTATAATAAGTTTTAAAGCTGACAGAAGTACAAACCTATATGTTTATAGTACAGTAGTACCTCGGGTTAAGAACTTAATTCGTTGAAGGTCTGTTCTTAACCTGAAACTGTTCTTAGCCTGAAACACCACTTTAGCTAATGGGGCCTCCTGCGCCGCTGCTGCGCGATTTCTGTTCTCATCCTGAAGCAAAGTTATTAACCTGAGGTAATATTTCTGGGTTAGCGGAGTCTGTAACCTGAAGCGTATGTAACCTGAGGTACCACTGTAGATGCTTCAGAATGCCTTGATTCGGAGTTTTGTGTTTGTTATGTGAAATGAACCCAATTAAAAGTGAACTGGGCAAGGGAAGGGCTAGTGGGCTGGCTAGCCGCCTATGGCCATTCCCTTGAGATTGGTGTCAGTCTGAAAAAGGCCTAGCACTTGAACAGCATCTACCATATAGTGGTGCCATTGAGGATGGAATTCAGTTCAGAAATCCGGTGGGCTACAACCCCAAATGAAGCAGAGCTAGTTTATAAGGGGAGCCCTTGTAATGTAAGGCCATTTGAAATAAGTGACATTGCACACCATTACCACCTAAAGAGACACTCTTCCATGTACAGCCATTAAGGCCAGAGTCTGAAAATACCTAACTACTGTATATTATCACTACCACAATTGGCCAAATGCTTATTCTTATACAAAGGAAACGAAACTCTGTAGTGTGTGCCCCCTCCAAACTTTTCACAGCTTGGAAAAGGCAGTTGTGCAGCAATACCTTAAGCATTGAGGGACGTGGGTGGCGCTGTGGGTTAAACCACAGAGCCTAGGACTTGCCGATCAGAAGGTCGGCGGTTTGAATCCCGGCGACGGGGTGAGCTCCCGTTGCTTGGTCCTTGCTCCTGCCAACCTAGCAGTTCAAAAGCACATCAAAGCGCAAGTAGATAAATAGGTACCACTCTGGCAGGAAGGTAAACAGCATTTCCGTGCGCTGCTCTGGTTCGCCAGAAGCGGCTTAGTCATGCTGGCCACATGACCCGGAAGCTGTACGCCGGCTCCATCGGCCAATAAAGTGAGATGAGTGCCGCAACCCCAGAGTCGGTCACGACTGGACCTAATGGTCAGGGGTCCCTTTACCTTTACCTTAAGCATTAGACTGTTAATTGGCCTTTATTTATCTATTAAATTTATACACCACCCTTCATCAGAGGATCGCAGTGGCCTTTATCACCAGAATACAGCTGCAATCCAAAGAGCAATATAGATATTGCATACCTACCTTTAAGAGATTTTCTGCAGGGGCAAAAAAGTCATCCGTTGCAAATAAAACCTTTACAAAATAAAAAAGAAGCATGAATTACAGCTACAATTTACATGTAACTACTAATTTTATTTTACATGCGACATTGGAAATCTCTCTTCGAGTTTAGGCAGGCTGGTATGAGGGACAGGGCCTTCCCAGTGATGGCCCCCTAAGTTATGGAATTCCTTCCCCTGAGACATACTATCAGCCCTCACCTTGGTTTTTTACGTGAGCTCTAAAACTGCATTTGTTCAAAATGACTTTTAGTGTGTGAGGGGGGGGGATTCAATGAGTAGTGAATTCTGTTTTTTAATCTTTACCAGAATGGCTTGCTGGATACATTGGATATCTTGAAATGAATCAAATGCTACATATGAATTATTATTATCATTATTATTATTATTGCTATTATACTTATTGTGTTCTATATTTGATATGGTTTTAAATTGCTTAAGGTGCTGTAGGATGATATCCAATTGCACCAGCTTGATCACGCCACATAACACAAAAGGAAAATCCAATAGGTGTCTTGTATGTGAGAAAGAGGCTACACAAATCCTAGTTCAACTGCTATTATTATTGCACTCAATAACACTTAAACTTGTGCACCTGTGATATCATTTGCACAAGAACACCAACATTACACTTGAAAGTGTGCAGTTGTGTCTGTAACCCTGCAGGAAGGAGCTGCTTTTGAATTACGTAATATTTTATGCAGCACTTTTATTTTAAAATGCTATCAAAATAAATTATGGAAATCTATTGTTTCTATTACCAAAATATTTTCAAACAGACAAACATGTCTTGGTATCATAAATAATTAGGATAATGACTTTATATCTCTAGAAGTTAGATTTTATTTTAAAAAATAAATTCAAAATCCCTGCACGAAAGCTAAACATCATCTACTTTTATGAACCTCTGTTGTTTCGGTGAATTTCTTTGAATTTACCTTCCCTCCTACAGATTCACATCCCAAGTCATTCAGATGCAGAAAGTCAGGTAAAACATTGCCCTTCTTTTCTGAGAGATGAACGGTCATCTTTCTTCAAAAGATCACACTGAATTTTGTTTAAAAGATATTACTCTTCTAAAAGGAAAGAGAAATAAAGTAAATCAAAAATCCCCACCTTATCACATTAAGCTCCCCCTTTCTTAAAAGCAAACTTGTAATTTGATTAAATAAATAATAGTGATCAAATAAATAACTCCAGAATTTAATGGTTGGAGGAACACTAAGCTACTACAGGTATGGATATTTTCTCAGTACAGACACAACCCACAATTTGTGTGGAAAGGAAAGCAGCATACTCACTCGCTAATAACAGCGATATGTGCCCAAAAGGAGCAGGCAAACGCTGGATCAAACAGCAACTACACCACTATAAATGGTAAATGCAGAATGGCCCCATGTGGCTGGCCTTCTGCAGTTCCCTTTTAGCTGTGGCCATTAGAACTGAAGTATCATTTCACCTCATGGATTTAAATCCTCTTTGAAACCCATTTCAGCCAGTGGGCTGTGTCACCATATCTTGTGGCAGCAAATTCTGTACATTTATTGTAATTTAACAGCAGTTCTGAATTTATGGCGAACTGGTTTAACAGGGTGACCCCCCACTTTCTAGGTTTAAAAGAGAGGGAGAACAGTATTTTTTCTACCTACCTCATCAAAACCGTGCCTAATGTTCTAAGACTTTATTCACGATCATCTATTTGTTGCCTTTTAAGAAAAAGAGCCCCAAGCACCTTAGGCTTTCCTCCTATGAAAGAAATTCTAACATTTGCTCATTGGGTTTGCCCTTTTCTGCTTCCAGCTCAATTATATTTAATTTATGCGTGCCCAGCATTCCACAATTTGGCAACTCAATAGATATATATAAATGTCTTCCGATCCTGGCAGTTTTATTTCTAATCCCTTTCCTAATGATCCCAAGTATGGAATTTCCCTTTTTCACAGCTTTCTTACATCCCATCAGTGTATATATGAAGTTGGTAATCGTTCCCCCTAATGAGTGTTACATACTTACTTGCACTGAATCTTGTTTGCCATTTTGTTGCCCAGTTATTCAGTTTGGAGAAATTATGTTGGAGCTCTTTCCTTGAGTATTCACCTGAATAATCAAGTGTCATCTGCAAATTGGCTACCTCACTGTTCACTCTTTAACCCCAGCTCATTTATAGGTGTTAAATAAAAATACTGGTCCACATCCACAATACAGATCCTTGTACAGTTCATTGCCTACTTGCCTCCATTTTGAAACAAGTTTATTCCTTCCATCTGCTTTATGTTTAGCCAGTTACTGAACTAAAAAGAACAGCTCTATTTACCACGTTTGCTAGGTTTAGCCTGCAACCCAACCCCACTTACCTGGGAGTAAGCGCCTCAGAATTCAATAGGACTTACTTCTGAGAAGATATTATTACTGCTGCAGAGTTACTCACGAGTCTTTTGTCAGTATCTTTTTTCGAGGTCCAAGCATATTATGTTTATATACTTGGACGTCCTCCTGACCAAGTGGAACTGCTGAAAGGTTGCAATTTCTTTTTTGTAAAAACCGTTAAAAGGTTACTTTTCTTCAGTTATTAATATAAAACCATGCTGATTTTTGTTTTTAATTACAAGGTTGCAAATAAGATGTGATTAATTGTGCTACCATAATTATTTCAAAGCAGAGCAATGGCATTTCAGTTGTAAAAGCTAGTGCTATATATTCTAATAACTATATGCTAATCAATTACAGGCAAAATAGCCAAGTTGTGTCGTCTTGGCACACCAGCAAAAATGGGAACAAAATAGTTAAATTATACTGAATTGAAACTTTTCACAGTTCACTGGAAAACATGAAATATGGACATTCCTGTGGATAATTTTAAATAATTCAGTCTAAAATATCTTTGCCATAACATCTCAAGAGAAATGAATAAAAATCAATTAGTCTTACTCTATTAGTAGTTTTGGTCCACGACAGCCGTGAATAATCTGCACCGTGAAGAGACTACTAGTGTTTCAAAAGGATTGGTGGACAATCCCCGATAAGCAGGTTACACAACCGGTAGACAATCATTAGACTTTATTGATTCTGTAAGGGATCTATGTAAACGCCCACCCCCTGCCTCAAACAAACATACAAAAAGAATGTGCAGTCTCTTTATGAATCTAAAATATATATTTTTCTTAAGCAGAGTATTTTAAATTAACCTCGCAAATTGCACGAAGCATGGTGTTTGTGACACATTTTAAACTCATATTTTCTACCACGATCCTGGCCTTCACAAACTTTGCTCCTGGAACCATGCCTGGAATGGAAGGTCTCTTTTGCAGTATTAGCAGCACAACAGCCAGAGGATGATCATTCTCATGTAGGGTGGACTTACCCTGGCAGAAAGCCTGTAGTAATACTGTGTGAGTGTATATATGCACAACATCTCCCATCTGCTGAAACAGGAGGCATGGGTAGTTTTTCTCCTAATAGCAAATTGACAGCATCAGAAGCTGGTCAGTTGCCAGGGCCCTAAGACCATCAGCATGGCAAATGGTTCCCTGCATGCTCCCATTCTGTTTGCAACGAGCAATCCCTCTTGATTTCCAAGATTTGTCCAAGGTTCTTTGAATTTATTAATGTTATATTATATATTTTTTATTTCTTCTGAGTTTGCCTCTAAAGCAGACAGCTTTTTTTAAAAAAAGGCTGGGGCAGGCAGGGAGAGACTTACGTTTTACTGACATAAAACCAAAAATTGTCCAGGAGCTATGAAAAGAGAAGCCTTCATGCTTCTATTTTCTCTTCTCTATTCACATGTGCCTATAAAATTTAATTGCATGTTTTAAAAAAAATCCAGAAATAAATAAAATGAAAAATTTAACACAAACAAAATTCCATCAGAAGCTAGCTAAGAGCCATTAAAGGTAAAATCCAACCACTTGATGAAATACGAAATATTAAGTCAATTATATCCTCCACTGCCTGTTTTAAATGAAAAATGGCTAAACTAAACAGCTTATCGTATTGCATTTCTTTTTCATTCCTCTTTTCAAAGCAACACCTATGCATAATAATGGGCTTATTTAATTCTGCTCCTTCCTGCTGAGTGTTTGCCTTTAATTCATCCTTATTTTTATGGCATACTCCTCTGTAATAAGCCATGCATAGGTACTCTCTATCGTGCGCCAACAGATCTCCTGAACTGCCGTAACGGGTACAAATGGGCTCCTAAATCTATTTTATATTATATTAAAACTAATTTCCAAATATTAGTTTAGTGTTAACTATGATTTTTTTGGAGTGACTCTTGGCTTTACTTCAGTTCTTTAAACCTGCCAAAGGTCTTCCAGAACTGTTTTAGGGTGATACCTTGCAAAGGAGTCAGTGTGGCGAATCCAGAGACGAATAAGCTCTCACGAAAAAGGGCTTTCCTGACTCCCTCTGCCCATTATATCCTCCTGTGCCACTGCCACTTGAATGGTGTGGAATGAGGTGGAGTAGGGCTCTATGCTGAACGAATTCAGAGGGACCAGGCTTGCGCAAGTGGAAGTGCTTTTCTGCCAACAGCAGACATCTCTAAATCCAAGCCCATTACCTGAATTTGGTTTCTTCTACTTACAGAAGGTCGGCGGTTCGAATCCCCACCAGGGGTGAGCTCCCGTTGCTCGGTCCCTGCTCCTGCCAACCTAGCAGTTCGAAGGCATGTGAAAGTGCAAGTAGATAAATAGGTACCGCTCCAGCAGGAAGGTAAACGGCGTTTCCGTGCGCTGCTCTGGTTTGCCAGAAGCGGCTTAGTCATGCTGGCCACATGACCCAGAAGCTGTACGCCAGCTCCCTTGGCCAATAAAGCAAGATGAGCGCCACAACCCCAGAGTCGGCCATGACTGGACCTTATGGTCAGGGGTCCCTTTACCTTTACCTTTTTACCTACCACCAATTCCGTGTCTGCCATCAATTTTGTGCTGTGTCTCCTTGAGCAAACAGCAGACATTTTTTATTTACTCTGGCAGCTTGAGTAATTCATTGGTTTCTTTGGATTGATGTGAATGACAGCTGATTCACTTTTTTATTGGGCACCCATTTTGCATATATATAAAAAAACAGTGTTTAAGAAATGTTGTTGCATAATTAATTTTAAAAGAGCTCTTCACACTTACAGTAACATTGGAAAGGAAATCAGAATTTTTGCTGCTTCCCCTCCTGAATATTATGTGCCTCAGCCTGCATTTTAGAGGCTCCCTCACTCATTTAAATCTAGTAATCTTTGGAGCTTGCAAAGCACCACGCAGAGCGCTGTATGAAAACAGATCACGCGACATCGCTGTGACGTCAGGAGGGGTGGGCCTCACTCACCGGCCAAACCTGGCCTACAGTGGCTGGGAGAAATAAGGATGCAGTCTGCCTGCCTCATCCAATTCTTCACTCCTGGTAAAGATGGCCCCTACGAAACAATGCAGAGGCTAGGATGTGAAGAAAGGCCTGTTTCAGGTTCAAAATCAGTTGGGGCTGAAGAGAGAAATATTGTTTTGAGGAGAGGGACTGGTATGCAGACCTCTAGACCAGTGGTTCCCAATTAGCTAAGTGCTGCAAACCCCCTGTTTTTCAAAAGCCGAGCCATGGACCCCCTAGTTTTTTTAAAAAATGATCTCTTTGGTAGTCTTTGCTATGTGAATGGTGCCACGGACCCCCTGGGTGGGTTACGATGACTATCAGTGGGGAACCCCTGTTCTAGATGATCCATTGCCTTGCAAGTTCCTGAGGACCAGAAACTACTGCTGAGTTAAGAGTTTCAAAGCATAGTTATATTGCCGCTAGAAATGCTTGCTTGACAACAGTAGGCATTAACTGGCCCTAACTCGTAACTTGAAGGTTTCTTCTGCCATTTAGAGCTTGGATTATAATAGTACCAGGTCTGTTTCTGGATTCAGACATAAATGTGTCTGCCTGTGCCGTTGTTGTTGTTGTGTTAGTTATTTAAGTATACCATCTTACTTACTTTCCTTTTGAAAGTTGCTGCTTAGTTGCACCACATATCTGTGACTGTAGCAGGTTCAAAAGGGTAGGGGTATATGTGTGTACACATTTGCAGGAGAGCAGAGAACAGTTAGGACACTTATTAATCCAGGCAGTCGAAATCTTGCCATTTGCTTAGAATGAATAATTTAGCTTTCCAAATAATGTGTGCGTTTCTGCATTTGAAACAGACTAGTGTTTTCCTCCCCAACACACACACACACACACACACACACACACAAATATATATACTGGCCAGAGAGACAGCATAATGCATTAGCAGCCAGTCCAAGTGGCACTTGCAACGAGGAAAAACAGTGACACAAGGCTAACACCACATTTCAAATCAGTGTTCTGGCTGCCTTGCTTGCAATATAGCAAACTCAAAAAACTGCTTCCAGTACAGCACTAGAGGGCAGCATGGTAGTGCAGAGATGATTAAACTGCATGTTGGACAAAGATGATTAAGTCAGGGCTGGCACTGCTGACATGTTTGTAGCATATAAGACAGATGTGTCGTGACAACATTATAGTCTCTATGGGGGCGGGAGCAGTTACCTGCCAACACACAGGGACACATAGTACTAGTGTGCTAGTACTAGTGTGCTGGGAAGACGCAATTGGCTACAGAGACGAGGTGCGTGTCCACCACCATGTAGCCACATCTCACTTTGAAACACAGTGGTGTGCATTGCACAGGCATTGCTAGAAAACCCTCTGCCATATAACTTCTAAAGGGACTTTTTTTCAGTAGTGCATTATCTCTTGGAATGTTATCAAAGCTTTTCTAGACCACTGGTGTGGCAGGAGAGGGTGGCAAACGTTCAGGGGCAATCAAAGAAACATTTACCTGTAAGGCGCACCTAATTTTTAGAGGGGGAATGCAAGGGGAAAAATATATTTAAAGAGAGCGCTGAGCAGAGCCTGTATGCATTCCAGGCTCTGCTCAGCGCTCCCTTTCACAAGCCGCGTGGAGCGTATGTGTGGCGCTTGCAGGCTTTTCCCCGAGGAGGGAGAAGGGCAGCCCGTGCGGCTCTTTAAAGGGAGCGCAGCTCTTGGGGGCTTTTGAGGGAGGTGGGGGAAGTGAGAAATCCGCGCTCTGTCACTTCCCCCACCTCCCGCAAGAGCCGTGCGAAGCCTCCGCAGGGCAGCAGGATGAAGGCTCCCCACTGCCCTGCGGAGGCTTCATGCGGCTAAGCCAGAAGCTAGACCAGCGTGAGGGAGCGCTGCGCAGTGCTCCCTCTCACTGTTCTGGCTTCTGGGATAGCCCGCAAAGCCTACATTCGCTTCATAAGACACACACACATTTCCATTTACTTTTTAGGATAGGAGGAGGAAAGTGCATCTTATAGAGCGAAAAATACGGTAAACATTTTAGTGTAGTGTAGTATCAAAATATTTTTAATTTATTTGTAGGAAAATGGATAGATATCTTTTCAAAATATCTTTTCTGACAGATATGAAAGATCAGAAAAAGAAAGGCTTCTTTGTGTTTATGAAGAGCTGAGACCTAATATAAATGCTAGGAGTTGTTCCTTTTTGTTTTCCAATGTGCTTCTTATCAATTAAAAACTTGGTGTGGCACGAGCAAATATTTATTCTGAAAGTGTGGCCCACAGAAAAAAGTTTGAGAACCGCTGTCTACTAAACAAACACATTTCAGACATGGCAACCTATGCACAGTGGTGAACACTGCACCTCTCTAGAGGGTGGGGGTGCAACACAGGGGTGTTTCTGGGGGAGTAAAGAAACACCCAAAATTGGCAGGGTGGGGGAGTCCACAGATAACTTCCTGGAAGCAGGGAGAACTTCCTCCCATTAATTTATTCAGCTTAACTTTATCTGAGGTTCCAAGGCATGGTACCTGTATATCTGCAGCCAATTTACGTCCTAACAGAGAAAAAGACCCTACGTAGAGTCAAACATATTACGCCCCCCCTTAAAGTCTTTTAAAATTCTAGAGTTGTAATTAAACTGTAGGGATTCCACCTCTTTGGGGAAGCTGGTAGAAACAAGGGAAAAGAAATTAAGCTCAGAGGAAACAAAAGTTGGGATAAAATTTATTTATTTATTTCCCTTAAACGCAAAACGATACACAATGATTTCAAATGCTTGCCATACTTTTATTTTTGAGAGCAAAATTGCTACAAACAAAAAATCCTTTATCAATCCAGTCGCTATAAATTAGTTACGTACTTGCATTTGTGTGCTACCAGGAAGCTTATCGTTAGATTAAACATAAATATTGAAGAACGCAACAGGAAACGTATACCCTCAAAGCTTTAAATGTTGGGAACTACTGTAAATCAATGGGTCAGTATCAAGTTACAGATAATCCACTCTTGTTTTTGTCATAGTCTCTGGGATGTTACAGCATCAGGAAACCTATTATACACCCAACCCTGTTGTTTTTGCTTACATAGAAATCCCATTGAATCAACATTGGCAAGATTAGATTTGCAGTTTGATCCCCTGTGTATTGCCTTAGAAGGAACTCCTGCTTTCTTCAGCAGAATACACTACCAACTATGCATAAGACTGCAGTTATTCCAAGTTATCACATGGGCCAGTATTCACTATTTTATGCATGCCCCCACATTCATTTTTGTATCCAAGTTCTTTCTAATGAGCAAAGCAGCAGAGAGCTTTAAACCAGGGATGGGGAACTTGTGGCCCTCCAAAATGGTGTTGGGCTGCAAGTCCCATCATTCCTGCTGGCTGGTAGTGATGGGAGTGAAATCCAACAGTGTCTGGATGGGGAAAGGTTATTTACCCCTACCTGAAATTCTACAAACCTCAATGAGAAAGGGGAAAGGGCTTGAAGCATAAGTGACTTAGTGATGGATGGTCTGCTAGCGAATTCTGGAATAGCTCTGTGCTGCACAGAAGTTACAACATCCCAACAAGGAGGAACAGATTTAGAAAGCACTCTACCAGCATAGCAATGCAAGCCTAATGCAGAAGTGAACTAGTCATAACAAATAGCCATGTTTTTATATCTATTAAATAAGTGAATGCAGTTTATGCATAGGCAGGATTGGAAATATAGATTTGTTAAGTGAACTGCTGTCCTATGCTTCTGTAAAGTTTTAAACCAGTCATCCCCAACCTGTGGCCCTCCAGATGTTTTGGCCTACAATTCCCATGATCCCTAGCTAACAGGACCAGTGGTCAGGGGTGATGGGAATTGTAGTCCAAAACATCTGGAGTGCCAAAGGTTGGTGGTGCCTGTTTTAAACCAATGACTATCTCTGTGGGGAACAACAGCATAAATCTTGTTCCTGAAGTCAAAAAGAGATGGTGAACCAATTTTAACTCTTGTTCATGTGCTGGACTCAGTCTTGTAGTTCACCCATTATTAATGAACTTCTCAGTTTAATTCCAGCGCCAGCAATCTTGAGAAGCCAGCTGAATTAATACCCACTGCTTGAGTGCTGGGATTTGTATCTGGCTTCAGGTGGATTTGTTTGTGCAGATGAACTGGGAAATAAAATGCAAATTTAATTTTAACTTCAACTGTTTCATGTGCTACCTCCCTTGATTTGCAACCAGGCTAGAAGAAATTCAATTGGATTGACTCTATCATGGGATTAAGGCCTCAGTAATAATAATTAAAACTATAGAACTTCATGAAGGGCCAAACGTCAGGTGCACCCAGCTGCATCCTCTGTTGCAAATGGATAACATTCATTAAGTCTGTAGAGTCAACTTACTCCCACAAAATCTTAGCATTCATTTAGCTATGTGCCTACAGTGACAAACGGAAGGATGGGCAAATGAATTTTAAAGCATCTTTCAGAATATGAATAACTTAAAAGTTCTCGTGAGTTGCATGACAACTTACAAAGACCTGCTTGGATAATTATTATTATTTTTAAGAAAACAGTAATAGCATGCAAATATCTAAACACAATCATGGCAGCTATCTAGGTTGCAGTTCTGTGCAAAATGTACTCCTGATTTAATGGGACAATCTGATTCATGTGTAATTCAGAGTAGGATTGTGGCTACTGAGATTGCTTTAAACTGCAACAGGCTGGGACTTGATTAACTTTGCTAAATTGTGCTGGCCATCAAGCCACAATGTTCAGCTGTGCCAAAGGGTAGATAAGGAAAATGTAATACCTGTATTCGTGTTTTCTGTAAATAATTTTGCAATACTCAATTTATAATCTATTAAAATACTGCCTAAAGAGTTGAACTGGCTTACATCAGTGCTGTATTCCCGCTTTAGCAACTGTGTAATGGAAGAGCTAAGGAAATAGTTTATTAGGATTCAGAAAGTGATAAAAGATAACGTTTACATTTTATCATTATGAACCAACACAGGACTTAATAACCAGCAATAGAAGGGTAGGATTTTTAAAAGATAGAAATGGTGGCTATAGGTCTTCAAAAATAGCTTCCTAAAATCTACATTTATACCTTCCACTTTCATTGTAGATCTCCATTAATCTCAACAAGCGATTTGATGGATATTTTCTGCCTAAAGATCTTGCGCAGAACTGAGTTTAAGCCCAACGATTTCAAGCGGTTTACCTATACTTAATTCTGTGTTGGATTACAGCCATAGTTCTTTAAACCATGTCTCTGTTAACTCTGCTCTTCCCTTCTGAAGGGTGAATATTGATATTTGAAATACCTAGATTATATTTACAGCTGTACAATACTAATATAATATACTTCTAAAAAATACCACTATAATACTTTATCAACAAAAGTAACTAGGGTAGGTCTTGGAGTTGATTGACACCAGCACCCTGTGTTATACATCTTAATGTTGAAGTTTGTCCTTCATTAATTCCTGTGTCCTATTCTTAACATGCCTACTACTCTCCAGGATGATGTGCTGTTCTTTAATCTGTTAGGAAGATTTCCTGTGCCAGCCCTGTTAAAATGAATGAGTCTCATCATTTCAGTGAAAGGTTGTGCTTGGAGGCATTCTTCATTGCATGGAATAGCAGTGGGCATGTCCCTATTCCTTCCACAAGGTAGCTATCCTTATGGCTAAAACAAGCAAACTGTATTGGAATTCCTTTTTTGTGGAAGAAAAGGAAGCATGTGCTGTGAATTTCCACTTCATACATGAGGTCACCTGCATGACAGAAGGGAGGGAGCATTGCAAATATAATACATGAAACAGGGCTTAAAAGAAAAAGAAAGAAAGAAAAAGCTGTGCTGAATATGAGTGAAGAAAACCCTTGCTAAGAATACACACACACACACACACACACAAATGGAATGGGAAGCTTGACATACGCCATGGCTTAATCTTGGAATGTGTATGCATCTCTTTCTCTCTCTCACACACACACACACAGAGAGAGATTTTTATGTGTTTAGTTCAGGTTATGTGGATATCCATCCTGCAAAAAATCCTCATATCTGATCTCTCACTCACTCTCTCGCTCACACACACACACACACACACACACACAGATCAGATATGAGGATTTTTTGCAGGATGGAGATCCACATAACCTGAACTAAACACATAAAAATGTTGTGTTGCTTTTTTTTTGGTGATAGAAGAACTTTGTAACACTGGCAGAGGTGTTCTGGGATATTTGTCCAGACTAATATGAAGCTTGTTGAAAGATTAGCACCTCATCAACAAGGTACTAACTTTCAGATAAAAGGCTGATTTGCACATACTGCTAAACCACGATTTGTTTAGCCTAAATAAATTTGTTTAAACGGGTGAATCCAACCCAGCAAACAAACCCTGGTTTATTTTCTGCCAACAAACATGATATGCTTGTGAACCCATGACTCATTTTAACTATGGTTTGCTTTATGTGAAAACCTTGCTTAAGCATGGCTTGCTTGGGCACCCCACCCCAAATGCTCATCATACTACAAATCACAAGGCAGGAGTGGCTGGGAAACAAGCCAAGCTTTGGAGAAACAAAAGAAACTGAGACAACCCATGGCTTATTAAATAAATCATGGTTAAAACCAACCATAGCTTAGTGTTATGTGCAAACACACACACACAAAAAACACCCATAAACAGATAGCGGTTCAGGATTTGTGGACTGCACCAGCTTATAAAATAACCGATAGTGCAGACACACAACCTAACCTGCACACAAAGCTTGATTCAAAAATTGAGCTGGGAGTGGGGGGCAGGAATTATATTTCTACACATTTTCTTTGTCGAATTCACAAACAAAATTCATTGTAATATGACAGGCGACATCATTCCATCCCCCAGAGGCTATCATTTCTACACAGTCCTCCTCATCATAAGCATTATTTGGCTCTCCGTTGCTCCATTTGTTGAAGGTCTGCATTGGGGACCGGTCGGAGTAAACAAAATGGCCCTCTTTCTCTAGGTCGTTAATGCCAATGAAAACTCGGCTGAGGCCAGCTTGATTGATGTAAGCAGCAATTAGGCTATTGGTGTTTTCATCCTTGGGCATGCTCAGCGTTCCTCCCCTTCCTTGGCAGTAGAGCTGGGCGTCCATGTACCTCTTCTCTTCTTTCACCAGCAAGTAAGTCTTATTATCTGTCTCACGCACACCAGCAACAGCTGCGGGGGAGGGCAGTGCTGAAAAGTGAGCACTTGCATTTCTATAAACCAACTTAATGCATAGCACAATCAACCAGTGATTAAGCAAGCAAGATTTCCCCACATGCAAGGAAGGGGAGAATGTTTGTCTGGACATTCTTACCTTTTTTAATGAACTTCAACTCGGTCGTCAGCAAGGTCACTTGGTTATCCATTTTACCAATGGCTGTTCGTAGCTGGCCACATTCACAAGGAATGCCTGCAGAAAACCCGTGTGCAAGTTACATATGGGCATTTGCACAAAACGTCTCGCATTGTTTGCTGGCTACCCAAAATAGTGCATAAAGGTAAAAGTAAAGGGACCCCTGACAATTAGGTCCAGTCATGACCAACTCTGGTGTTGCGGTGCTCATCTCGCTTTATTGGCCAAGGGAGCCGGCGTACAGCCAGCATGTGGCCAGCATGACTAAGCCGCTTCTGGCGAATTAGAGCAGCACATGGAAATGCCGTTTACCTTCCCGCCGGAGTGGTACCTATTTATCCACTTGCACTTTGACGTGCTTTTGAACTGCTAGGTTGGCAGGAGCAGGGACCGAGCAACGGGAGCTCACCCCGTCGTGGGGATTTGAACCGCCGACCTTCTGATCAGCAAGTCCTAGGCTCTGTGGTTTAACCCACAGCACCACCCGAGTCCCAAAATAGTGCATATTTCACAGCTTTTATCCATTAACTTACTTACATTAACTAACTTACTTACATCCTCTTACTCCAACCCTCTGGAGTAGGGGTAGGCCCATGAGCCGGAATCAGCCTACGGAGGCCATTTAGCCAACCCACGAGCCACCAATGAACCGAGCCGCCCATTCAGGGAGGCGCTGCGCTAAAGTGGTGCAGCACGGCGCAGGGACTCTCTTCTGCGGCTCCAGAAATTGCTTCTGTGCATGCCCAGTCGCCGAAAATCGCTTCTGCGCAGGCGCAAGTTTCGGCGTCTGGGCATGCTCAGATGCAATTTCCAGCGCCGTGCTGGATCTCTGTGGGAGTGATCCGGCCCATGCCCGGTAAGCCTTGCAGACCCCTGCTCTGGAGAAGACCAGTAACGCTGCATTGCAGGTATTGAACCCCCCAGACTGGCTGCTGGTACATACATATAAGACAGTTGTTTGTGTTCAACACGGTCCATCCCAGCACAAAGGGATCACAGGGGATGGTCTGTACATCACAGTAAACCATAGTATGGAATAAACCATGGCAGACTATAAACGAACACCTTGCTGGTAGATGCTGCTCAGTTGCTCCCACTTTGCAGCCAAGTAATATAAACCACAAGGCCTGCTCTTAGCATGATATGCAAACCATCATTTTTTTCTCCTGAACAACCACGTGTAGTAAGCCAATAAAATCTTGGCTGCGCTCAAACAGAGCGCACAGTTTCCTGCAACTATTTAAGATCATAGAAATGGCTGTTGAAAATCATATCCATTCACAATTGCATTCAAACTAAGATTCTGCAGGGTCATCCCATACAAAGTAGGAATTATGCTGGGGTGGGGGGTGTGACTGGTTCATAGACATGAGCTGAATTTGAGAGAGTGTAGTACACATCGGTACAACAAAAGATGAGTTGGACTGGTAAGGGCTAATTCACATCTGTATGCATATCACTCGAGTTCAGTGGTTAATCTAATATTATGGCTGCTGAAATATTCTATCTTAAAAAACCATATTATACAAGCTTATACAAACTATACATAACTTCACATTTATTAATTAGGACCTTAAATTGGATGTTAATACATTAAAACCAGTGCTAATATGGTTGGTTTACCTGGATCTCCATTAGGACCAGGTGGGCCTGCATCCCCGTTATCTCCTTTTTCTCCTAAGAAAGGGAAAATAAAGTTAAGCTTCTCAGCAGATAGCTTCAAGTAGAAACAATAGCCTTTATCTTATACACTGACACCAGAAACACTAGTTGTATGGGTTTTTTTAAGCCTTCCCAATGCTGACCTATGTGAAGGAAACTCAACTTCATTTATTTGTCATGATCGTCGCATATGGCTTTGTCGTAATCATGGTCAATCATCTCTTGTTCCTTGCAGAAAAAAACTCAAAATACATGTAATTTAAACAACTTTTCAGAAATAACCGCCTAACAAATATTGAAAGAAAACATACCTTTTGAACCAATGGGGCCAATTTTTCCATGTCTCCCTATGCTTCCCTTCTGTCCTTTGTCCCCTGTTTCTCCTGGGGGAGGGTGTCAAAACAAAAGACAAATTAAATGTAAATTTTTACATATACCCTCAGTAGTCAGAGAGCCTTGAGAGACAATGGAGTGTGCCTCGAGGGGTGAAATCAAACTGCTGTGTTAGCAACACGAAAGTGATCTCCCTGGGGGACAAGCCTGGGCAGTATGTATAGGGGTCCTGGGCTACCCAGACCACAATGCCCCCCCTCTTGGTCTCACTGATGCATCAAAAAAATACCCGAAAGCATCATGTAGTCCTCAGTCAGAGTTGCCAGAGACTAAAATTAGTTCACTGAAATCAATAGATCATGCCCTCACAACCACAGGTCTGAGATTACAGCCCTTTCATTTCATCTATGCTAAGCAGACTACACGGCTGATCTTTTCCCTGTATGCATTCAAAGTCTTTATTAACAAGGAGTGCACAGCAGCCTCAGGAAGATACCACAAAATAACTATCTGGAGCCTCACAGCGGGAAACAAGAAGGTTTTTCAGTTTTAATGGCAGCGTTATACAGCATTTTACAATGGAGCTGTGGCAAAACGAGCCTCTTTAAAAATTGGCTGCCTCAGCAAATTCTAATGAATAAGAGATAAATATGCACGTTGCAGCACAAATCAGATATAAATATTGTCAACAACACTTCAGTATCTGGCCATCTTTTTCATTATTTGCCCAGGTTTTCTATTATGCATGCAACAGAAATGGTTGCAGGAGCTTAGATTCACTGTGTGTGTGTGTGTGTGTGTGTGTGTGTGTGTGTGTGTACCTTTAATGTATGTTATTGTATCAAATAGAAGGCTGATCACCAAAGAATTGATTTTTATGGTGCTGGAGGAGACTCTTGAGAGTCCCATGGACTGTAAGAAGATCAACCCTATCCATTCTTATGGAAATCAGCCCTGAGTGCTCACTGGAAGGACAGATCCTGAAGCTGAGACTCCAATACGTTGGCCACCTCATGCGAAGAGAAGACTCCCTGGAAAAGACCCTGATGTTGGGAAAGATGGAGGGCACAAGGAGAAGGGGACGACAGAGGGCGAGATGGTTGGACAGTGTTCTCGAAGCTACCAGCATGAGTTTGACCGAACTGCGGGAGGCAGTGGAAGACAGGAGTGCCTGGGGTGCTCTGGTCCATGGAGTCACGAAGAGTCAGACACGACTAAACAACTAAACAACAACATGGTTCAATAGCACCCAAAATGAGCAGAAGAATGAAAAAACATGGATTGTTTTGTGTATATCTCATTCCAAGAAGAGCACACACTAGTACAGAGGTAGCCAGTTTACACAAGTTGCCTAAGAATAACCTCCGCATGCTCAGAAGCTCCCAGCAGGCTGTAGCAACCATGGATTCTGGTGAGCTATATTCCAAGAACCCCCCATTACAACCATCTTGTTTCTTATTTGGTGCTGCAGGGACAAGACCTGTAGTGGCAGATTGTAAGTGAACAGGCAGAATGTGCAAACAGAGCGCCTGAATGGTTTTTTCCACTTGACCAGTAGCTGCTACAGTAATCCGGAGGCTTCTGGGTGCATGGACGCTTCCCTCCTCAGTCTCGAATTGTTTTATAATGCAATCCTGTACATGTCTACTCAGAAGTATGGGGTTCATTGCCAAGTAAGCATGTATAGGGTGCAACCTCAGGCCCCGAGTCAACCTGGAAAAAACGGTGAAAAGGACACAAAACAAATACTTAAGCATTGCTAGCAATATTTGTATCCAGTTTGTGCCTTATTCTGCATATGTCCCTTATTCATGACAAATAGCTGAGACAGCCAATTTTTTAAGAGGCTCGTTTTGTCACAACTCTGCTGTAAAAAGTGCTGTACAGCATTGCCATTAAAACCGAAAAACCATCTCAGTTCCTGCTGTGAGATACCAATACTAATTTTGTGGCATCTTCTGGCGGGCATATTTGAGGCTGCTGCAATGCTCATCATGAACGCAGGAAAAATTCACAACAGTCTTCTGTGACTAGATAACAGAAGCAGCAGTCTCGTCAGCCAACATTTTGGAACCCAGCTTGAAGCTCTCATCCATGCGTGGAAAAATTAGAGTGATTATATAGGACGCTTGTGTACATATGACAGGGTGAGTTGTATGTAGGAAGACGGAAGCTCTTATGACAGATACAACCAAATAATCCCCATATTCAATACAAAATTGAGTTGTGTGAAAGAGTTCAGTGCCTTCGACCAGTGGTTTTCAACCAGTGCGCCATAGCACCTTGGGGTGCCTTGAATGATGTTGAGGGGTGCCACGGGCAACACTGGCCTCTGTCTCTCTTTCCTTCCCTCTCTCCTCTGATGCCTTCTCGCATCTCTGCCTCGCACAGCTGTTTGTTGCAGCAGCCTTGGCTACAAGTTCCCCAGGCAACTGCTGCTTCTGGGGCTGGTCAGGGAGTGCTCGTTGCCAGGAGCTGAGGTTGCCTCAGAGTGAGCAAGCAAGCGGGCGAGAGATCCTAGCCAGCCAGTCTGCCAGCCCTTGCTGTTGAGATTAGATTAGACAGACAAGTCCCAGGCCCCTGTGGGGCAGTATGAGGAAGCACCTCTCGTTGGGGCAGGCATGGGGCAGCTCAGAGACCAGGGGCGGCAGCAGCGGCTGCCCAGAGGACTCCCAAGGAGAGGGGAGAGGAGGCTGAGGGAACACTCCACAAGGGAGGATGTTTGAAAAAGGGTGAGAAGCTGCCATCTCTGCAGACAAGAGATGAAATAACTCGGCTCCTGAGCCCTGCAGGGGTGCTGCAGAAAGAATGTACAGTGGTACCTTGGGTTACATACACTTCAGGTTACAGACTCCACTAACCCAGAAATAGTACCTTGGGTTAAGAACTTTGCTTCAGGATGAGAACAGAAATCGTGCAGCAGCGGCGCAGCGGCAGCAGGAGGCCCCATTAGCTAAAGTGGTGCTTCAGGTTAAGAATAGTTTCAGGTTAAGAACGGACCTCCAGAACGAATTAAGTACTTAACCCGAGCTACCACTGTAGTTGGTCAAGGGAGCTGTGGGCTCAAAAAGGTTGAAAACCTCTGCATTAGACAATAGAACAATATACTAACATGATCCTTCATGGATCTCTGGCTTAGAAACATCCCCCTCTTTAAACAAACAAAAACCATTATAGAAATATCTTGCCTTGTCTGTCCAACCTGAGAGTTTGCATCATGCATTCTGAACTGTGATTGATCTTAATAAAGGACTTGTTTTTCAGTAGTCCTATGTTTTCTGATCCTTGAGGTCCACTCACGTCTTTGGGTCTCAGCATAAAGCACTTAAAACTCGTATCACTTATTGATTTAAGCCTAGGCAGCTCTTCTGTCAAGCTGAAATGTGCAATGGAAATTCAAAAGAAGGAAGGCAGGAAGATTCCCCCATCCTTAGACCTGTCAGAGGGTCACCTAACATTCTCTACATTGGAACTCTACGCAGAAGCAGCCTTCACTCTTCTTAGGAGTAGTACCCAACAGTAGGTGTTAAATTTGCAATTAAAAATAAATAAGAATAATAATCAATATCATTATTATTGATGGTGATGAAATCAGATGCCCTGTGTTTTAAGATTGCTATTTACTGTTTTATCCAATTTCTTTTTAAAAATGGAACAATTATTGTATGTGTATTCTTAAAAAAAAAAAATCATAATGCAACAAAATTGACAAGTATAACATTAACTGGTATTCAGAGGTTCTTAACTATTTCTTTCGTTTCTTGCAAAGCTATTTGCCATTGTTATGGTGAGCTTGAGTGTGGGGGGGGGCAGAAACTTTATACCTTCTCTAAAGCCAAATGCCACATTTAGTTTTTGTATTTATTTTCTAACTACTCCTTCCAGGTCTCTCTCAAAGAGCTCCCAGTGCTCTAAGTCCAGAAGAAAGGTCAAATAAAAGGGGTCAGACAAATTGGTTTCTGGTGTGCAATTGTTCTCTCATACGATTTCTTTGCAATGAAAATAGCCTCTTATGTCTTTTTAATAATACTCACAAAGAGCCTAAGTATTTTAGAACTTACAGGCCTGGCACAAATGGAATTACAGAAATGCTTGTGCAAGTCCCAAAGCATCATTATAAACATAAACCATTGCCAGATCGGCCAAGGAATTACTTTCACACACCCTTCCCTTTGCTCCAGGCATTACTGGCCCCAGCAATACAGTCTGTTCACTCTGGCTGCTTCCTGAATGTGAAAAATACCTTTCCTTAGCTAAGTCTGGTATTACAAGAAAGCAGGGTCCTGCTGGATCTTGGTTTTGAGAACCCTTCCTCATGCCAGAACTCCGCAAAAAGCAGAACTGAAGTACCTGCTCAATCAGTTGATGCACACAGATCCACTGGAAGTTTAGTTCTGCTTGGTCACTATCTCCCACCACACCTATAGGTCAACTTTGATAAGTGGGTGGGACCACTCATGTCACTCAGCTGACATCAGGTGGGGTGTGTTTTTTAAGCAACAGCCTGCCAGGCCAAATTGGTCTGTGGACCAGAGGTTTCCCCACTTTTGACCTAGCCCAGTATCCTGATTCCAACAGTCGCAAGCCAGATGCATCCAGGAAGCCAACAAGCAGGGCAGTGGCATAGCGTGGATTGCCAGCACGCAGGGCCATGCGGAGGGAGGGAAACAAGACGGAGTATGCATATGCGTTCAACTGCCTAACGGCATCCATGTCGCCCAGGAGATTGCAGCCGCAGAAATAAGAAAAGAGTCATTCTGGAGAGATCACTTCCTGGTTCACATGGAGAAGCAGTTTTCAATGGAGCCTAGCGACAGCAGTGGGCAGCTGTATTGAGGCAGCACTGGGTGTTGAAATTTTGCGCCCGGGGCAACCTCCCCTGTGGCTCCCCGCCAAGCTACACCACTGAGCAGGTGGTTTGTTCTCCACGACTGGTATTCGGACCATCTCTGAACAAGCTCTCATCACAGATATTTAGGATTCATGATGAACAGCCATAATTCCCATATGCTCCAGGAAAAATTTAGATGGAAACCGTATTCAAAGAAAGAAATATTTGCTCCAACGGAAAGCAGCATCATTTCCACATATTTTATAGCTTCTACAGGTATAAGCGGCTTTATCTAGCAGCACTCCCTCTGGTGATAGAGGACAGGGCAGGAATTCCCATGGTTTTGATTGCATCACAGAAGATGGAATTATGATGCCAGGAAAACTTAAGGCAGAAGAAATGTTAGGTTCCTGGCTCTCAGATCTTCCATTTCCTGATGCTATGAGCCTTTTCTTCTCTTCTGAGAACACTGGACCCAACAGTACTGCCAGAAAGCCTGATATACATGATTACCCTCTACTCAGCACTAGGAAATAAACAGTTTTGTGAAGAGTAACCTCCATCACCTCCCTCTTTAAAAAATACTGACCTTTTTCTCCTGGAGGTCCAACTCTTCCTGGGCGGCCTGGGGCACCTTTCTCCCCCTTTTCTCCAGCATCCCCTGTTTTGTAGTTAAAAAGGAGATACAATAATAATAACAACAACAACATGCTTGAATTCTCAATATGAACAAGCCTCTTGATTTGTAGTGAAAATTACAATAAGTAATAGGAGTGGACAGCATTCAAACTCAGTGCAGATCCACTGAAATAATTTTGCAGTTGATACCAAAGGGACCACTCTGAGCATAACTGATTATAAGATCACTCAATGTCATTTGGGTGTCAGTGTGTGCATATATGTCTAGATATAAGAAGAACCACCTGGTGTCAAGGGTCTGGTTGGTTGTGTTTGCTCAGCAACCTCGGCTTTTGAACTCCACCATTTTTTAAGTTTTCAGAGGGATTTTCCAGATAAAAGTTAAAAAGATATAATGAAGACTAGGTCTCTTCCCTAAGGTAAATACACTCAAGCCTGGTCAATGGGAAAAGGTGAAAGGTAAAGGGAGAGAGTACAAATGCAAGAGGAAAAGAACTGGCTTGTCAGAATCTAATGAGGTCTTGAGAACGGCAAAAGAGAATAGAAAAAAAGATGCAGAAAGTTCAGTTTCGGAAAACAAGAACAGCATGGTCACAGAACATTCAGATACATGTTACCCATGCAATGGGAACGCAGTTAGTAAACTTCGGACAGAACTTCTGCATTTAGTCATGGTTTCCATTCTATTATCAACTTAAAAACAACAGCAACAATACATGATAAGACATACGGATACACACACACACACACACAAACAAACAAACTAATATAAAGCACTAACCACTAGACAAATGCAACATTTAAATGGTACCATAGGTCACTAGAAAATGTAGCAGTGGAAACTCCGGGATGTTCTCAAATGTCTTCATTGATCAATAGCCCTCCTTGTGAAGGAAAATGTGGATAATGTACTGCTGTGTATACAGTACATGCCCTTAGAAAAACTAGCCATGCCCTTAGCCACTGCTCCAACAAGGTTACCTGACACTTTTTGCCTTTGTGTGAATGCAGCCTCTGCCATAGGGCCATTCCAGATGTGAAGTGGGTACTTTTTTGAACTTTGCTGTAGCATCAAAGGCACCTCACCGACATCCTCCAGAAAAAGAAATATGATTGCTCCAAAGTACTAAGACTCAAGGCTGCGGAGAAGCTGAGGGCATGAGCTGGATTTCAGCCAACAGATGAAAGGCTCCACATCTCATTAGCACTCCTCTAAGCTAGCCAGCTACCCCCCCTGACAGTTTAGATCAGGCACTGATGGCTTTTTAGAGATTTTATATTAGCTGTGGCCTTCGCAGGCCATTTTGTGCTTCACTGAATTTCTTCATCAATCTCCTTCACTATTATGATTATAGCTTCTAATTAGGTAGGATATGTGGAACCATGAGCAGATTTGGGACCCATCTCCCTTTCTTTCTCAGGCAGAGATAGACAGATAGTTCAGTGTTTTCTGATCATTTGAGGAAAATGAGATTGTTGGAACTCATTAAACAGTCAGACCTGTGCATGCTAACAACCATCATTTTTAGCATTTGTGCGACAATATATAGAAGGGTTTTCCCCTGAAACGTAAGCTAACTGTTCATACTCTGTGTGGTTTTGTAGTTTTATCTAGTGGTAATGCTTTGACTTTACAAACAGGGAAACTAAGATAGAGTAGTTAAGATGCTCTTCCAAGGTCAAAGAAGGCATCAGTAGATCAAGATTAATGCCCCCATCTACCTAGTCTGTGCTCTGCAGAATAGACTATTCCTTTCTATAAATATGCACTGTATTAAATCTAGTTAAGAGACAACCAGTCCCAATTTAACACTGCTCTCCATTTTCTCTAGGGTGCTGTGCTACCTGTTTCAATAAAAGCATCCTACTAAATTCAGACATTGCATTTGGATAGTTTCATCCCCAAGGTGTTGAAAACAGGATTTTGGCTTGGGCAATGGCATTCTGAAATATAAAGGCAGAATGGGCAAGGTCTCTGTCTCTTTGTCACCCTCTCCCCCCCCCCGCACACACACAATTTCAGTATATACCATTCTTCCTTCACAAGAGTGACCCATACCCCAGCCCAGTTTATGCACAGTAGGCAGGGACAGAGCATTGCCACCTTTTCCTCCTGCAGAAGGAGCAGCCACATTATACTCAGCTCTACCTTTCCCTGTCTTCACTGCAAAAGACATTTGTCTTCCACTGCATAGTGTTTTAGGGGCCTTTCTCATACCTATATAATGCATGTGCCATTATGCCAACAACCACATGCTACACATTAGGTAAAGGTAAAGGGACCCCTGACCATTAGGTCCAGTTGTGGCCGACTCTGGGGTTGCGACGCTCATCTCGCTTTATTGGCCGAGAGAGCCGGCGTACAGCTTCCGGGTCATGTGGCCAGCATGACTAAGCCGCTTCTGGCGAACCAGAGCCGTTTACCTTCCCGCTGGAGCGGTATCTATTTATCTACTTGCACTTTGACATGCTTTCGAACTGCTAGGTGGGCAGGAGCTGAGAGAGAGCAACGGGAGCTCACCCTGTCGCTGGGATTCGAACCGCCGACCTTCTGATCGGAAGTCCTAGGCTTAAATTTAGTTGAATAATCCTTCCCTCTTGAACTGTAGATCTGTAAGGAGTACGGTAACTCGAGCAAAACTCTGCCTCAAACTGCAATTCCAAAGATCCCTTGTGGCAAATCCATAACAATGGCATAACAGCGATATAAGCTTACGGCACATATATGCCCAAGGGGTACACACTGTAGATGTAAGCTGCCTTTTTGTGTGCTACCTTTTTATTGGCTTGAATTTGTTTTATCATTTGCATGAGAAGGCATTAGTGCTTAAGTACACTGGGACAACAAATTAAACTAGGTGGCAATTGGCAAGAATAGCAATGCAAAAAAATGACGTCCTTATACTTTGAGAATGAAATGTTGACGACATTAAGCAACCAAAATGTAAATTTCCTTCATTTGCTAAAATACCAAAGCATGAATATTTAACAACTGCTGCAATGCTAGCTAGGTGTGTTTACTTCTTGTAGTAGTAGTAATAATAAATAATAATATTTTTATTATTTATACCCCACCCATCTCGCTGGGTAAAAAAAAAGCACTCAGCCATAATGCTTAAAGCATGGGATCTGGCATCACATTTCTTAAATAATTCCAGTTTATTCCAACTGGCCCTTTATTTACTTTCCCTCTTTTTTAAGTGTAGCGGCCTTAAGGTCAGAGGCAGAATGTTCAGGCACGACAGTTCCCAGAAAATGTTTTGGAAATGTTAAAAGGAGGGCAGAAGGAGGGTTGGTAGGCCATACTAACTAACCCTAGGGAGAATGAAGTCAAGAGACATGCCAAGTAGTTTCTCTGAAAAACATGTTCCGCAAGCACTACAACTGTTGATCCAAAAGGATACTTCAGAGAGACTCGAATTCCTTGCGTTGCACCATCATAATAGGTTGTCATTCTTTACTACAGGTGACTGCAGCTGTGTCTTTAACAGCAGCTCAGTGCACAAACTTTAGAAGATGGTGCTTGTTTCCATGTAGCTTCATCTACTGTTCTATGCATATCAGGCCATTGTTAAATGCACTGAAACAGCCATGTGGGAGGCATCTATTTTTTCCTAGTCGGCGGGCAATTCTAAATCCCCAGAGATGCAGTCCAGGATCCGGTGGAATTAAAGAACGCATCAGCTGATCAGCAGTGATCTAAGTGACAAATTCACTTCAAATATATAAAGGTAAAGGGACCCCTGACCATTAGGTCCAGTCGCGGACGACTCTGGGGTTGCGGTGCTCATCTCGCTTTATTGGCCAAGAGAGCCAGCGTACAGCTTCCGGGTCATGTGGCCAGCATGACTAAGCCGCTTCTGGCGAACCAGAGCAGCGCAGGGAAACGCCATTTACCTTCCCGCCGGAGCGGTACCTATTTATCTACTTGAACTTTTATGTGCTTTCGAACTGCTAGGTTGGCAGGAGCAGGGACCGAGCAATGGGAGCTCACCCCGTCGTGGGGATTTGAACCGCCAACCTTCTGATCAGCAAGCCCAAGGCTCTGTGGTTTAACCCACAGAGCCACCCGCATCCCTTTTTCAAATATATAATGCAGGCCTAAAAGAAAATTCTACAGCATTCTTAGCAAGTGATCTGGAAATGCAACAACAAATTGGATTTAGCACCAGTATGCAGAATTCCAGAACAGGCTACATGCCAGCCTATATGGAAATAGGGAGGCACACCTTTGTGCAGGTCCCCTTGAAATTCTGCCATCAGGAAATCTTCCAAATTTCACAACACTTTTCACATTACAATCCTTGGGGGGGGGGGTGTTTGAATTTTGACAGGTACTAAGATTGTGGGATGAATAAAAAGTATGACGGTACCAGTATCTGGCAGGTTACAGCAAGCATGGGATGCCTGAAGCCAGATGCCACTGGACTACAGTTCCCATCGTTCCTGACCAGTGGTCATGCTGGTTGGTGCTGATGGGAGTTGGAGTCCAGCAACATCTCGAGACCTACAGCTTTCTCAGCCCTGGTTTGACAGAGAACTAAGGGTGTGGGTGTGCAGTGATGTTTAATCACCACCACCATTAAAAACTCTCCCAGGTCTTGCCTACAATTCCAGTGGTTGATTTCTTTACCTCCCTACCATAAGACTAAAAGCTCCTTCCCCTACAGAGGCGAAGCCTTAGAAAAACAAATATGCACATGTAATTTCATAGAATCACAGAATTGTTGAGTCAGAAATGACCCCCAGGGTCATCTAATCCAACCCCATACAATGCAGGAATAACATCTTAAAGAATCCCTGACAGATGACGACTAGTTTTTTTTAATAATAATAATAATAAACCTCCAGTGAAGGAGAGTCTACTACCTTCTGAGCTCAAGTTCAACTTTTTTATTCCCCATGTTCTGTGCATTAGTATAAAGACAACTAAAACCATAAATCATTTCCTCCAGCTGCTTCCTTATTGGTTTTTCCTGCCCATTAGCAAGTTCCTGTACTACTGACCCAGTTTCCTGTACACCAATGAAGTTATTGTCCCTAGTACTTGATGTGTCCTCTAAAATATTATCTCCCACTTTCAGGATTCAGTTTAACACTCTCTGATCAAGTTTGTGAAACTCCTGGTAAACGCATTCTAGCCAACCACTGTGAGGTACAACCCATTTTCTATTTAGCCAATGGAAAACACCTAACAATCCCGAAAGCAACCTCAGCAAACAAAAATATGACTGGGTGGGATCGGGGGAACTTCATTGGTCATGAAAATAGATACACCCATTACCTTTTAGGCCTGGAACCAGAATCTGAACAGAGCAGGATTCTTCTGCAATATGCTGAGCATATCCAGATGTTGGCAGAGACAGGAAGGCAAGGCTAATTACAGAGACAAAGAAAACCAGATCACTCTTCATAATGAGCTTGTCCCTTACTCCTAAAAGGAAAGAATGAATAAACAGTTAAAAGGAATTCCAAAGACTTCCAGTAGTTCCAGGCTGTGTTTGCAGTGTTCTACAGTCCAGTGCCTCCTACCTTTGCAGCATATAAGCAGCTTATCATGTACCTTGTGTTATGCGGTATATAGAGTAGAGTTCCACAGGACGTCATTTGCTTAACTGTGCAGGAAAGCTATATCGGGGGTTCTCAGACTTGGTCAGAGAGTCTTTGCAAAGCAAAGAAATATTCGAAACCTCCCAAGTGCAACTGAGAAAAGGGGCCTTTGCCAAGCCAAAGCTCACTCTTGTCCTCAGCCCAGGAAAAAAGTTCAGACTAACAGATCAAAAGAAATGGAAACGCAAGGCTGAAGAGGTTTTAAGGTTCCCCAGGGAAGAAGGGCGAAGAGAGAGCGGGACTCGCACACTATAGACAACACAGCAGGCAGTTACAGAGTCCTATACTGCACTGATTGGGAGGAAAAGGCTGGCAGCCAGTCTCCGAGCCCAATCAATGCATACGGTGGGAGAGGTCAGCTCACGGTTCCCTTAGGGAGGCCCGAATTGCATTTTCAAAACCGCTATGAGAGTTCAACTGAGGGAAATGAAAGCCGCTTAGGAACAGATCAGAAGTACAAATGCATTGGGTGAGACGAACCTAATGAAAAAACTGCCTTAAATTGTTTTGTTTTCCACTGCTTTTCTTGTTTGCAAGCTCAAGAGGAAGAACAAACGTCAATTTCTTCCTGAATTAGCATGGGAAAATGGATTGGGGCTGTCTTGGTTCTAGGTGGCCTCCACTGAATTCTATGAGATAAAAGAGGCACTGGCATCACTAATGGCAGGGAATGAAGATGGAGTAGGGTTTGGGAGAAAGGACTGGAACTCTCTGTTCTGCCTCCACCTGTCAAACCTGATGTGCATATAGGTAGTGTATATTCCTGAGGATTGCTATCACTTCTAGAGAGGCCCAGCTCGCTAATCCTAGATCTGTAAAGGGCTTGGTGCAGTTACTCACTACTGTTGCAGTTTCTTGATAAAGTTGCTTTAAGGTCTGAACCCTGACACTGAAACAGGCTTCAGGACTAAACTCTGCCTCCTACTAAACCTTCTACATTGCTTTAACCATTGTTCTTCAGCCTGTCAACAGATGTTGTTGGGACTACAACTCCCGTCATCCTTTACCATTGGCTGGGGATGATGGGAGTTGAAAAACAACAATTGGAGACCCAAGGTTGAAGAATAGTGGCTTAAAATATTGTTTGCACACAGCTGAAATATTATGTGAGCAGCATATATGGAGAGCTGCGCTGCTGCCCATCCAGGATGGTTAAGACTGTCCACAAAAATATAGATGGCGCAGGTGGTTGAATAATGGGGCTACTGACTCAGCATCATTGCTGCAGGGCTCAAAGTGTACCTAATATTAGGCCTGGCCATGAGATGGCTGGAAAGAGCAAGAAGCAACTTATTTTTCCTCCTTGCTTTTGTAGGAGCTGACCACTGCCTTCTTTAAACGCATCCTTTCCCAACCTGGTGCCTTCCAGATGTTTTGTACTACAGCTCCAACCAACTCCAGCAAGTATTGATGCACTGCCTGGGGCTGAAGGGAAATGCAAGCCAAACATCTGCAGAGCACCAGGCTGGGGGGAAGATGGTTTAATCCCAACTTCATTTCTTCCCCCGAGTCTGTTAGTTCCCTCGGCCCCACTGCACTTCCAGAGCAGCTTAACATATCAAGCTTGCTTTCTGCAAATGTGAGATGAGGAGAAGATTGCTAGGAGCAGAGCCCTGGATCCTACCTCCTTTCCTTTATAGTCTTCCTAGTCCAGGTAGCTCCCATCAGCAATGGCTACTAGACAGCGCCCAGAACTGGGAGATTATTCTGAGGTGACTTGGGTGCCTCAGAAATACTTACAGTGCCATCGCAGCATCTCTCCCACACCTCAGAGACCATTTAAGGGATCTTTGTTTGTCTTTTTTCCTGTTCCCACATACATTTGTCCTCTTCTCCTTCCACTTTTCAGTTCTCCACAACTAACCACCCCGCTGCCGTGGCCATTATTATTTTCTATTCTTCTTTGACTTGACACCACCACCAACCCTACTCACCCAGCATCCTTCCTCTTTAACTCTTTTTTTAATCTTGTTTTGGGGGGGGGTTCTATTAGGCCTTCCATCCCCCCTTTTTTGTTTCCATAGGTATTTCTCAGAAGCAGAGCTTAATTCAAGTCAGGGCTTCCTAGAACCACCTCCAGAGCTCCTTTCAAGCATTGGACTCCATTCTGGAAAATGAGCAGGATGACTGTGAGAGTTTCTCCCTCACTCCTAGATAGTTCTTCACAGCCAGCAACCACTCTTGGAATCATTTCCCAGTCAGAGGCTATAATTTTGAAGCCTGTCACTTTTTAATTAAGTACTGCCTGGAAGATGGTGTGCAGAGGCCAGGTCAGGAAGGGAACCCACCAGAACTCACCAATGGGAAAGAGCATTTTCCCTCTCCGTTTCCATCTCTCGCTCTCCCTCCAATCTGACTCTTAGAAAATCTCACCGGTTCCAAAAGTTTCCAATGTTTTTTGCACCCATGCAGATCACACCACGCCTTCCTCTAAGATGTTGGCCAATACCGTTTAATTACTGCCACCTTTTTTTCCTGGCAAGACTTAGCTGCCTTTAACAGCAGCGTGGCAGGCAAAAAATTAAGCCGAGCATATTCAATATGCCTTACTCTTTTTTAAAAGAAAAAAAGAAAATCAAACAGTATTATTTTTGCGGCTCAGCAATGTGGAGAACAGAGCTGCCATCCTTTTGCAACGGTAGAAGGACATATTACGAGTTGGGAAAGGTTTTGCTTAGCATTTATCTGTGCTATTTTCCCCTTAGATTTATTAGTTAGCTGCTGTGAAGACAGCTCATTTTTGGTCTGCTACCCCTCAACACAAACTCCACCCTATGAGCTTACTTTACACTCTCTACAGACTGCAGTAAATATTCAAGTGACTATTACGCCATCTGTAAAAAGACACTGCAGCATGCGTGCTTTTCAAAAACTGTTAAAAACTAAATCCAGAAACTATACTCCTCTACTGAACATAATATGCTCTCTCTTTAGCTTAGCTTCCATTAAAAAATTTAAAAATAAACGCTACACCACTGTTAATCCAGCCTTAAGTTTACCACCCACTCCACTGAGCAAGTGTATGTGGCCCCACAATCTATCTTCTTATCTCAGGCTTTTGAAGCCTCACTTACCTTACAGTTGCTGAGAAAACAAGCACCGTAGCACAACCTCTGCCTGGAGGGACACTGCGCAGATGAACCTCATTGCTACTATTTACAAAAGCCTGATAGTTTTTAATTTGAAGCGAACTCGTCTCCTGCTCTTCGACATCCAGCAAATCTGACCCAACAGTTGCAAGCGTTATCTATAAACAGCTTCCTGTTTGAAACAGCTCAGCTGTCCAGCAGGACAGTAATTAGGAGCAAAATGTGTGGGAACGCTACAGCGACCCATGATGTAAGCTGCTTCTTTTGGCAATGCGCTTTTTTTGGGGAATGCAGAATGCTTCTCCGTTCACAACTCTCCTTCCCATGAAGAGAAATCCTTGGTTAACCATTTAGGTCTGGCCAGTTGCAGTAATGTAAACAGGATCCAGCTAGAGCAAAGCTTCTGCTGCCTCCCTTTAGTTTTCGGACGGGATATTTAGAAATGCATCGTGGCCATGGTTCTCATCAAATCCTGGCACGTGGCTTAGAGACATTCTACACAGTAAACACAGCGAGGTAGTGGAATTATGGATTGTACCACTTCAGACCATAGGTGTTAAAAAGGCCCTATAGTGTAAAAACTGGAGGTAACTGAATTGTGGGGAAGGCTGTACTTCATCTGCAACTCTTGACCAGCACCACTTCTGCCTGGCCACAGAGACTTTGCAATTGCTGTTTCCCATGCTGCTTGCAGGACATTGTAACTGTATTCAGACTGCCTTCTCCCAACAACAGCTAAGACAAGGCAGTAGCAAGGATAAAACCTAATCAAGTGCAATAATCATATCATTACTGAAGCTTGTCTTGGCTGCTAAGAGAAGGCACTTCCTGTGGGAATAGCTGTTAGTTCTGTGCCACATGCAAACACACCACTTGTAGCTGCGTTTTCCAAGGCCAGTCAAAGCCTTTTCACCTCCCGAGATGAAAGCCACTGTCCTAATCAGTCCCTTTCTCCAACACAGTGGAGAAGAGTACTGCCATGATGTTACTAGTCTTATGCATTGGGTACAGGCCCTGGAACCAATATGGTGCCATTAATGTGTCTTGTCTTCCTGAATTTTGGAATGCTCAGGACAGATAAAATGAAGTAGAGTGGTACCTCAGGTTAAGAACTTAATTCGTTCTGAAGGTCCGTTCTTAACCTGAAACTGTTCTTAACCTGAGGTACCACTTTAGCTAATGGGGCCTCCCGCTGCCGCATGATTTCTGTTCTCATCCTGAGGTAAAGTTCTTAACCTGAGGTACTACTTCCAGGTTAGCAAAGTCTGTAACCTGAAGCGTCTGTAACCTGAGGTACCACTGCACAGTCAAAATTGTGAAACTCATTCCCACAGGAGGCAGCGGTGGCCAAAAACTCAAAATGGCTTTAAAAGAGGACTAGACCAATTCCTGACGATATGGCTATCAAGTGGCTACTAACCATAGTGGCTTTGCTCTGCCTCCACAGTTGGAAGGCAGTAATACTTCTGAATACCAGTTGCTAGAGATCTCAGGGTGAGGGTTCTTGTGCTTGGGTCAAACTTGCAGGTTTCCCACAAGCATCTGGTTGGGTGCTGCGAAAACAGGATGCTGGACTAGATGGGCCACTGACAGGCTCCAGCAGGCCCTTGGGTCTCCATCTGTTTTTGGACTACAACTCCCATCATCCCTAGCTAGCAGGACTAGTGGTCAGGGATGATGGGAACTGCAGTCCAAAAACAGCTGGAGACCCAAAGTTTGGGAAACCCTGTTCTATACTATAATAAAGGCGTGCTCCCCACAGTGCAATTTGCATGGGATGAAAAACCAATAAGCAATGCTGAAGCCCCCAGGTCTTCACAAGCTAGAATATAACCTAGAATAGAGAGATCCCTTTGTGTACTCGGAGGGTGTACTACTATAATGGCAACTGCTGGGAGAAAACGTTTTAAAAGGCCCCAGCGTATTCATATATCCCTAGTACTAACTGCTCTAGGACCTCTGGACTGGAGCCCAAGGCTCTTGCTATGGCCATCTAAAAATAGAGACACAAAATATTTGTGGAAAACTACTATTTGACCCTTTAATAAACCACACCCATTGCCATTTCTCCTTATCTTGAAAGAGCACAGTAGGGGGAAAACCTCGCTTATGCACCAAGAAACTCCCAGAAACAACTGATTATAGCAGCTCATATTCCACCATGAGCACAGTAAAATTATAGTAGGCTATTATCAGCAGGAGCGACTGTCCTGTCAGCAGCTGATGTTTGGAGACTCCTGAGTGGTATTAATTGATCATAGTAGAGACTTACATAAGAAAAAGGCCTTATTATACACGTTCTCTTGATGAACAAGGTTTCCAGTAGTTCATCTCTCAGAGTAGATGGATTAATAGTAATGATATTCTGGAAGGCTTTGAACTGCTAAGATAAAACTGAGGTGCCTTTGGTTTTGCGGTACCCCCCGCAAGGGGCTTAAGTCCCAAGTCTCCATCTGTCTTGTTTGGGGCCAGCACAGAACATCCAAGATATAACAGCCGGTGAAATGGAAGAGGAACAGAGATCTCAGTACTCTTTCTCACTACCATTCAGGAAATCTTTGAATCAGGTCCATTGCTTGTTGGCCCAAGAAAGTTATTATCTGCCCATGTGGATTCATGCAGATCGGTTGAATTGTATCTGCAGTAATGTGGAATTAGAAAAAGGATGTTACAATAAATAAAAACGCAAGTAAAAACTCTTCCTTACCGTCGTTATTTGTCTGGTAGCTGATGGTTGCAAGCCTGGTCAAAGACATGGTCCTCAATTAGGAGTCAAATAGTGTGAATACTTGTTAACCATATGCATCAGCTTACTGGAAGCATTCACTGGGGAGCTACTGTATTTTTTGGCAATTAGTTTCAAATACACAGGAACTCTGAGCCAAGCTGGAAAGCAACAATTTCCCTTTATTCATATAAGTAGTTCCTAAAGAATCAGAAGACACTCACAAGCAACCAAGGAATGTTTGATGTACAGAATGTGACAGGGTTATTTCAGTCCCCATTCACCCCCTCTTTGAAGACTCTGTTACATACAAATCACCAGTGCATTGATCTCTCTGCCCATAAACGGTGCAATAGTAGTGAGACAAAAATGTTTTTTTAAAAAATGTAGAGGGAACCAAATAAACAGGTTGACGTTTTCAAAGTAATGCATATTGTATTTTAAAAAATGATATACTTTGGATGTTGAAGGAACTTAAGAGAATATCTGGGTGATACTCAACCAAGTAGAATGAGTCTACTCACAAGTATGAGTACAATCCAGTATCACACATTTTGTTTGAAGGAGTGTCTCATTCCAGGTGGACTAGTTTTATCCCTCAAGAGAGTTAAAAAGCAACTTTTTATTATTAACAACCCTTATTATTAACCACCCAAAGGTTAGGTAGAGTTGATACCTCTATTTAAAGCCTAACAAGCTGAAATAAATTTGTTACAGGTTCAGGACATCCTTCAAAACAACCACCTTCAAAGAAAAGAATCTTCAGTAGGGCATATTAACTGTTAATGTGAGAACAACAGGTAGCTGGAGGTTACACGCAACTCTTCCACCGATCACTTGAACTTATCATGACGTAATGCTTTGACAATCCTGTGCATTTCAGTCCCTCTTCATAATGTACACTATCCAAACAGCACCGACTGATAATTCTGAAATGCAGAATTTGCACGGGATGTCATTATAAAGTTGCTCAAACCACCCATGTGCCAGGAATCCAATTGCTTTCCTTCAGATTCTTGATTTTGTGCCTAAAGATTTTATTTTAAAAAGGGTAAGGTCAAGGCACAGCTATGTAATGGACTCTAGGGTTCTGCAGAACAGCAGCATTCCCAGAAGACTTGGGCAGATAAATGACTTCCCACAGCGCCACCATGAACCTTCAGTGGATTTTAAGACTATGAATATTCGAGGCAGGTAATATGACAACCATCCAAGTAGGAAGATAACCCTTTACCCCATTTGATAAGAGAGATGTCACAAAACAATCAGTTTTACAGATTGAGAGACTGCCCACAATATATTCTTTTGCAACATGTTTTTTATTCAAAGATGTATCTTGACGGTTCCCACTGAAGAAGTCTAAAAAAAACACCAGCCAGCTGGGTTGGAAGAGTTTCTTTTGGCAGTGATTCTGGGAAAGATGACAAGTTCATGTTGCATGCATCTTTCCTTCTCCAATTCAGATACCCAGGATCTGAAATTCTTTGATCACCCAGTGCAGAGAGCAGGAGAAAACATGGCCAGCTAACCCTATTAGAACGATTAGCAGAACCCAAGTTGAAGTTCAAATTCCTCTCACATTCTTAATAGAACGTTCCTGGAAAGAATATAGCAGAAGCATCACAAGGGGAGTAGATTGGCCAGTTTTGGATAGCTCTATGGTACGTTTTGCTGTAACCTATCTAAATTCATGTCCAATATAAGTAGAATATTTAGTAAAGGCCTGAGAAAAGTGCGGTAGGGTAGCTACAGAGCTGAGAGTTTAGGAAGATCCTATATACAGAAAAGGGTGCCTGGGAATTTTAGAGAGATGCAAATCCTCCATATTGACAATCCAACATAAATCTTAGTGTCCGAAGTATTCCTGTCTTACTAAGCATATGTCAGTGAATGGTGATGACCTTGAGATAATTCACAATCCAATTTATTATGTGGGTGTCTAAAGACTTAAGAGACTGCTGATATTCACCAAAATTTTGAAGACACTAAACCCACAGGACAGCTCTTTGGATCATAGCCTGCTAATTCTATGTGCCAGGAGGGGTTTGTCTTGCCCTTTTTAAATAGTAATTCCCCCCACGCACACACAGCAACTTGCTTTCGATTCTAAGCTGCCTTTCAAAAGTAGCTTGTGATACAATACAGAGGTCCAACGTTAAAATAGAAAGCATAAAAAACCTCATTGGAGTGCGCAAATTTTTGGATGAGCCTTTGGATAGCAGCCACTATTTCGTAATCTGGTGAACCGGGTTTGTGTCCCCACTCCTCCACATGCAGCTGCTGGGTGACCTTGGGCTAGTCACACTTCTCTGAAGTCTCCCAACTCCACCCACCTCACGGAGTGTCTGTTGTGCGGGAGCAAGGGAAAAGAGATTGTAAGCTGCTTTGAGACTCCTTAGGGTAGTGATAAAGCGGGATATCAGATCCAAACTCCTCTTCTTCTACAAAAGTGTGTAGAACAGAATGTTGATATATCCCATTCTACTAGAATTACTTCAGAATTAAGTACATCTAGCCATAGATGAGATCTATGTTATATTGTTTTGACATTTATGGGATGCAGAATATATGCGAACAGGCTATAGACTTCACACTTTTAAAAGGCAATTTTCATTACTATAGAGACATTCCCCCTACATGAACTACATTCATGGATCATCTTAAACATGTCTATTTCAAGTCTCATTGAGTTCAATGGGGCATATTACCAGGTATGTGGGTACAGGATTGCAGCCTCAAATTCATTACAGCATCAGTTCAATAGTTAAAACCTAAAGCTATTTGCCATTCCGAACTGTAAAAATGGCTCACAGGTCAACATTCTTCTGTGAAGTTTGTGTAGCAAAACTGGCTCAGGTCAGTATCAAAGTTTATCAGCAATAATGTGATGCAGTGAATAAGGTAAGACAGCTCAACTCTACCCTAGGTACCCAGAGTTCTCCCTTTACCCAAGCCATTGAAGCAGAAATCTTGTTAGTGCTGCTGAACAATTCGCTTACTGTTAAAATGCCAAAATGACTAAAAATCAGTAAACATTTAAAAGTACATTGGCATCCTGCTGTATATCAGAAATACAGTCAGGCAGGTCTAAGGTCTACAGATCAAGACATGCTCAATGTCGTTTCATACAGAAACACTGGATCAGAAACTGTTCTGGTTCCTTTTTCTATCAGAAAAGCCAGGGATCAAGAGTCTTAAAGATTATGCCAGAACTCTTTTTCAGTTACCTACCTTGGGCAGTAGTAAGATTGTTGTGTGGGACATTAAACCTTCTACAACCAAACCCTAGCAGAGACTCCCATTCTCTCCAAATGTTTTTTTTTTCTTTCTCTCCAAATGTTTTAATAAAAACACATTACTTTTATGATATATGAACAACTGAACTGTTTTATTCAATCATTTGTTGTACTTTACAGCTGAAATTCTGGAAACTCGAAGACAACATCTTTGCCTGTGAGTTTCTTGTAGACACCAGAAAATGTTTCTACCTGCAAAGGGAAGGAACAGAAGTCATAAAAGTGGTAAACAGAAAACTATCGTTTTCTACAGACACAATAGTTCATGTACAAATATACACAGCGAGTTTCAAAACGGTGCTGTACATGGCTTTACTTCTTAGAAAATGTTTATTCTTTGAATTTCTATCCCATTCTTCCTCCCAAAAGAGCTCACGAAGCCATACAAAAGACATGGCACTGCCATATGGAATTTTGGAGGTGAAGTCCCTCTTCCATACCATACTGCGAAATGGAACTGTGTCACTCCACTTGTATAGAAGCACAGCATTTTAAACTCCAGACAAAATTATGAGAAAATCTGAACAATGCCTGTGTTGATAAATAAGTGGACCAGTATCACTCTGCCATTTGTGTTCCATCGTTCATCGTAAATGGCTCCATCTTGTGATGCCAGGTGCACACACCAACACTATTTTTTCTACTAACAATCAGGTAGTACAGATGTGCCAGCATGCCGGTTGTTAAAACTGCAAATTCTCATGCGGTACTGCAGTGTACTACAGAGTCAGCAAGGACAGCGCTGAACACCCAAGGAAAGCTGCACATTTCCCCAAGTTTTTGCTTCCTGTTTGAAGATACTGCTGGTGGAAAACCTGGCTCGTTTGAGCACCCCAAGGGGATGGGCTGTCAAACAGCTTGAACACAGATTAATCACAGCAGCCGGAATAGCAGTAATCTTTGCCAGTTTCAAAAAGGGACGCAGGTGGCGCTGTGGGTTAAACAACAGAGCCTAGGACTTGCCGATCTGGAGGTCGGCGGTTCGAATCCCCACGACGGGGTGAGCTCCCATTGCTCGGTCCCTGCTCCTGGCAACCTAGCAATTCGAAAGCACGTCAAAGTGCAAGTAGATAAATAGGTACCGCTCCGGCGGGAAGGTAAATGGTGTTTCCCTGCGCTGCTCTGGTTCGCCAGAAGCGGCTTAGTCATGCTGGCCACACGACCCAGAAGCTGTACGTCGGCTCCCTCGACCAATAAAGCGAGATGAGCACCACAACCCCAGAGTCGGTCATGACTGGACCTAATGGTCAAGGGTCCCTTTACCTTTACCTTGCCAGTTTCAACTCTGCTTGCTTCATGAAGTGCTTGGGTCCAAACCCCTGCAATGCAGGAATCCTGCCCACAAGCCATCCCTGGGTAGGCTCAAACTCACCAACCTTCTGGTTAGCAGGTAGACACACTGACCCACCGCGCCACAGAGATGCCCTTTCTTACCTTGTGTTCAACATTGTTCTGTTGCGCTTTGTCTAAGTGAACCTTTATGAGCCGGCTGCCATCCAGTTTTACGCGGATTCTCTTGCCCACAATTTCACTTGGAAAAACCAGATCTTCAAGAATGGCATCGTGCACCGCAGTGAGTGTACGGCTAAACAGAAATATTATGTACAATTAAAATGCTTTTACGAATGCCAACTTTCCCTTCATCTGCACCACAGAGAATCATTAGAGAAGCAGAAAGACTGGATACTTCTGTGGACTGGATACTAACACAGTAGGTAGCATGTAAACACCAACAGGATGAATTCTTCTACCCTCACCCAATCCCAGGGGTACAGCAGACAGATCTGGTGACTAAACCTTATGAAATGCCAGTAATAAGGTAGTGAACAAAATCTAGCAGCATTTAGGTTTTAGGTATAAAATAAATAAATATGGAGCTACCTTATACTGAGGCTAACCACTGCCCCACCTAGTCCAGGAGGCTAGGAATTTCTACACACAAAACAGGTCATCTATCAGTGAACTATGGGTCTACCCAAGATTAATGCCTGACAAGGATCAGAGACGCACAAGTGTCAGATTAAAACAGTCTTCTCCCTTGAGTCTTCAAGGTTTAAAATGTGCACTCATGGCAAACGGAAAGGAATGGATTAAGGCATGATTATTACACATATAATATAAATTTGAGATTACCTCCTGGGACGCTTTTGCTTGTTTTTTGTGCGGCTTTTTCTTGTTGGCTTCGGCAAAATTCTTCTCTGTTAAAAGACGAGAGCATGACATATATCAGCACATTTCTCTCATGTTTAGGAATGGAATTAACAAACCAGATTTAAGGTAAAGAATACCAGAGCCAACCAGATACCCATGGGAAGCTCACAAGCAGGTCTTGAACATAATAGTGCTCTCCCTACCCACTGGTATTCAGAGGAATACTGCCTCCAACACTGATAGGAACAAATTCATGGAGGACAATTCTAAAAACATATGACTATGACTCTTGTGATCTAGTTCCTGTGTGATGCTATGCTGCATATACAGAGCTGGAAGTAGGAGTCAGTTCAAGACTTGTGTCCAAGTATATACAAGGCTGCAGTGTTCTGATTCAATTCAGCACACCTTTCACAGACAAATAATTGTTCTACCTCCATTAACACTCCCCCCCAACCCAGCATTTTGTAGAAAGTTATGACAAGCTGCCACCTACCTGAGCAATGAACACCACATGCTTTCCACTGAATTTTTTCTCCAACTCACGAACTAGCCGCACTTGAATCTTCTGAAAAGATTTCAGCTGAGGGACTGGCACGAATATAATGATTGCTTTCCTACCGCCACCCACTTCGATTTCCTAAGCAAGAACAGAACTGGGAATGAACATGGTTTAAGTTTTTAAATACCATCCGGCGTTTGCAGGATTACTTCCAGTCATGAAACACGGATCTTCTTTAGACCATTGGTCCATCTAGCTCAGTTATGATCTGCTCTTGACCAGCGGTGGGTCACAGATAAGTGCTTGCAGCTTGGTCATTCGGCTGGAGATACCACAGACTGAACCTTGGAGTTTCTGCATGCAAGGCATGGGCTCTACCACTACATTATGTCCCCTCTTGGCTAAACTACCAAAGGTGGATGTGAGGATGAGATGGGGAGGAAAACCATGTAAGCCACACCTTGAGATCCTTAGAAGATAAAGATAGTATATAAAATAAATAAATAAATAATAAAAATAAAAGGATCAATAATGAAATCTTTATTTTTTTTGGAAAAACTCTTTGGCTCTTAAGGTAACAACCTAAGAAGCACTTCTAAGTATCACCATTTTGCAGTAGACCTAAGGCCAGACCAATAGAAACAAGCACCACTAAGTTTTATGGAAGAAAAGCACCACATTTATCAAGTTCAATATTAAATGCATTAATATCTTATTTTATATATATATATATATATATATATATATATATATATATATATTAAGAAATCAACTAGGAAAGCACACATGAAAACCTCCAAGAGTTTTAAGCGCTTGTCCAACAAACTACAGTGGTACCTCGGGTTACAAACACCTCGGGTGTTGTATAAACTCCAACAAAAAGTTAGACCAACATCCACTTGACTTATTAGCCGCCAACAGTGGCAAGTACTAGATAATTCAGAGGAAGTCACAGGATACGTAAGTATCAAACCCGGTGTAGCCTATTCCAGAATCCTTTAAGGCAGCCTTTACCACAACCCTACACATCTTTACTTTTATACAAGTAAGCAGGTATAGGATGGAAGTCCAATTTACCTGTTTAAGAAAAAGATAATTGTTCAGTTCCAGATATAATCTCCAGTGATTCTCAAAACTGGAACATAACCGATGATTGTGTGCATTTTTAGTATACATCACCAAAGGAAAAATAACAGTGTAATGTGATATATCCAACGGATGGAAAAACAACACAGCTCAGTGAACTCATGAAAGCCTGGCCATGACTTCATGAAATAGCCATTATTTCAGATTCCTCATCTGAGAGAAAGCTTATAATAGCTTATACTGCACATGACCAGGAATTTTTAAATTCCTAACTTTTGAGTGGCGTGTTGATTTTCCATACCTGTTTTCGGTGAGCAGCACAGCTTCCCTAATTTCTGCAAACACAACTACTACAGTGCACATAACAACATTCCTGGTTTTCATGAAATGAATGAATGAATGAATGAATGCAGCTCATCCTGAACACATCCAATTAGTTTGATCACTTGTGTCCTGCATGGTTTGTCTTCACAACAACTGTAAAAGCTGGGAAGTTATAGGAATATACAGGATGCCTCCCACACCAGCCTTTTCAGTCTGGGGGGGAAAAGCTTCATGTCCAACATTGTGGAATAGGACTATACATCATTGCCCCATACGGTGCTACGCTCCCATACGCCACCTGGGCAGAGCCATGCGAGAGCCACCTCAATGGATGCCCATGTTGGATTCTGAGACAACAAGAAGTTACACATCTGTCCGCTAAAGACATTTCCAGGCGGAAAAATGCTGTAGAACTTAACACACACTGAAATTATCACTTTAAATACCAACATGGTAGCTTAGATACACCAAGCATCCCATAAAATGAGCCTGCGCCATTGAGAAACACCGTTTTTTAAGCTACCTTTGCTGCTGTGATGTTCAATTCTCTCAGCTGAGCCTTTAAGTCAGAATTCATCTCCAACTCCAGGAGAGCCTTGAGGGAGGAAAGTTAAAAGGAAAGTTAACAAATATCTGCAACAAACCAATTCTAAAATAACTGTAGTTGTTCTTGGCTGTAAAAAACGTTTTGAGGGGGAAATCACTGAATACCTATGTTCCTTTGACTTCTGTCAAAGTCATATTCAACAAGTTGATGTAGCAGGATCTGCAACAACTACCTCAGTTACATATCAAATACATATAGTTCAAACGTTCCCATAAACATTGGTCAACAGTAGAGGAGTTTGCAAACAAACAGCTTACAAAGATACTCTGGTTGCAGCTGCTGAATGTTAATTAGCACAACATCTATACTAAAATATAGGGCTATGACATCATATCGGAGCCTCAAGATTCCAAGCCTCACATGTTCTGTACACAATACAGCCTATATGACCAACTGAAAGGAGCACTTACCTGGGAGATGCCAGACTCAAATTCATCTGGCTTTTCGCCATTGGGCTTCACAATCTTTGCGCTGGAACTGAACATGGCCTTTCTGCATTTCAAAGGAAACAATCAATATCTCAATGTACTGTTTTAAAGAATGATTTCCACCTATCACAATGACATCAAATTAGGGAAAGCCTTGATGGTGGAAGAAGCAATTCTAAAGGCTGGCTCAGTCATATTACTTAAGGAAAAAGCAGTGATAGATTTAGTCTTAGTACACATTAAAAAATGTTGTATACACTCTTAGCAGAAGTACCACAAAGAGGAGTGTAGTGGTTAAAAGTATTTACTATGAGCAAAATAACACGCTTGTTTAAGTTTAGCCAGGATCTTATTAGAGGTCTGTGGGGAGGACATAATCTCAGAACTGCAGGCCCCACATCTACAATATGGGCTCATTAACAGCAGTGTATATTACAAGGCCTTTTTCTCAATTACTAAGATATGAAGCACTCAACTAAAATGCAAGATTAATACGATGCGGAACAGTCCACACACAGAAGGCGAGCAGCAACATGCATTTTCCAGCTACCACAGAACCCTTACAAAGAGACTCTAGAGAAGCACATGAGAACCCCAGTCTTAAGCATCTTATTAAAGCTTTATCAAAGGGCCACAGTCATAGAACCATGGACCTGGAGAGTTGGAAGGGACCCGGTTGGGTCCTCTAGTCCAACCCCCTGCAATGTGGGAATCTTAACTAAAGCATCCATGACACATGGCCATCCAACGTCTGCTAGAAAACCTCCAAGGAAGGAGAGTCCTTTCTGAGAGTCTGTTTCATTGCCAAACAGCTCTTACCATCATTAAGTTCTTCCTGATGTAAGCATGCTTTCCGGAATTGCTAAATGGCAAGGCAGAGGTACCATCTGAAATAGTTTTTTGGGGAAGGCAGAGCTACATCTGAAACAGGTTTTGGGAACCTGCAGCCCGGCAGCTTCCAGACACACGGCCAATGCTGGGAGCCATAGCCCATTAACACCTAGGGGGACACAGGCTCCTCATCTTAAATAGGATTCATGCAGGACCACGTCTGAACAACTTCCACAGATACACACACACTGCAGTATTGGGAAGATATGACAACTGTGGGGCAAAAGCTTCCTGCTTTGCACCCCTCTCTTATTCGAGCAGGGCATACTGGGAGTTTACGGACCATGTGCTGCCCTTGGAGGTTGCGGAAGGGGGGACGAAAGGGAGGTAGAACTGGCCTCCGCGCCCCTCCCCCGGGAAAGCTAAAGCACGGAAGACAGTCCTGCCTAGTGGTTAAAGCTACTGATAAGACTTCATAGAGCCCCCCAAGCAGTGTGCTCGGTGCAACACTCGGCGAAAGCCAGGCGCACATGGAAGGCCCGTGGAAACTCCAGCAGCCAAGAGAAAGAGAATTGGGGGTCATTTCCCCCTCCCTTCCACCGTCCCCTGCCCCATCCCCGAAATGGGTCTCCTTCGCCGTGCCAGGAAGCCATCGGGCATTAAGGGGCGGCGAATCGGACGCATCTCTGGACACTTGGGCCGGGCGCGAGGGCTTCCATCGTCCCGGAGTAATATCACCGGAGCCCCCGCGGGAAAAAGCCCCCACGCAGCCCAGTAGGCCCCGGCTGGCCGTGCCTACCTCTCTCAGCGCCGGCCTAAGGAAGAGGAAGAGTTCTCGCGAGAGCACCACAGATTCTCTGCCGGGAAGGGCCGCAACACCGCCCACTTCTCGTCCCGGGGAGCTTGGGATTGAAAGGGTACTTCCGCCCTTCTGAAGCTTCCCGGCGGGAGGGAACTCCTGGCAGAGGATAAAGCGCTGATTTCACCAAACGGCAATACTGTGCTGTATTGAAGAGCACTTTTGGGGAACTGGGAGTATGTGGTTGTGTCGGCTGTATTAATAAAAGTAAACTTTCCATGCCTTTCCTTCTTCCAAGTTGCAAATCCACCAAGGGAACAAATACGCACGCATTAATGGGTGTTTTTTTAAAAAAGCGCTCCAATGTTGTCTAGTCGGAAGTTGCCTGCTTGAGCCTATACCTGTAAGAATACGGTTTGAGTTTTTGCTCAGTAAGAGGTAGAATTGAGCAATCCGTTTCAAAATACCGCTTTAGGCGCTTTGCAAATATAATTTATGATCCGTGGTACTGTACAAGCAAAATTAGAGCTGCATAGGGTATTTGGTCTTGGGAGAAAAGCAATGACAAACCTAGACAGCATCTTAAAAAGCAGAGACATCACCTTGCCGACAAAGGTTCGTATAGTTAAAGCTATGGTTTTCCCAGTAGTGATGTATGGAAGTGAGAGCTGGACCATAAAGAAGGCTGAGCGCCGAAGAATTGATGCTTTTGAATTATGGTGCTGGAGGAGACTCTTGAGAGTCCCATGGACTGCAAGAAGATCAAACCTATCCATTCTGAAGGAAATCAGCCCTGAGTGCTCACTGGAAGGACAGATCCTGAAGCTGAGGCTCTGATACTTTGGCCACCTCATGAGAAGAGAAGACTCCCTGGAAAAGACCCTGATGTTGGGAAAGATGGAGGGCACAAGGAGAAGGGGACGACAGAGGACGAGATGGTTGGACAGTGTTCTTGAAGCTACCAGCATGAGTTTGACCAAACTGCGGGAGGCAGTGGAAGACAGGAGTGCCTGGCGTGCTCTAGTCCATGGGGTCACGAAGAGTCGGACGCAACTAAACGACTAAACAACAAGAAGAAGGCATGAATTAATTAGCATGCATCACAACCGTATGCACACCTGCTAGAAAAATAATCCCCACTTTGTTGAATGGGACTGAACCCCAAGGTAACTGTGTATATTTATTGTAAAGGATTGCAGCTTCAAATGGAGATTTAAAATGATCGCCATGAGCCTCAATAACCATGAGGCTGAGGTAGGGTATTTGGTGGGTCGGAAAATGCAAGTTTGCTGCTCGTTGCAAGAGATCCATACGCTCATTCCAAAATTACATTTTAGAGTGGGCGGGGGGACCATTTCCTCTTTTCAATAGAAGCTCTTTGCCCTACAGCATTTGCTAAATCGGTAGTAAGAAAGCACCATTGTTGGTGAAAGGGGTCATGCATGGAAGGTCCTGGAAGTACAGTCGACCTTTCAAAGACCCTGGTGCATGTTCCCCCCTCTTTTTTGTTTCACCAGTGGTTTTTCCCCATCTCTTCTAGGGAGAGCGGGAAGTCCAGGAAGCGCCATTCGGTTTGTGTGCCTGCGCAGGGAGAGAAGTTCACGCCTATCCTGATCTGCGAATAAGGCAGGTGAGCGGATGCATGGGTGGATGAGCCGAAAATGGTGGAGGGAGGCTTCAGTTCGAAGTGGAGCCACTGTGTTTGCAGCCCAGAGCCTGCCATGGCTTTTAAGGCTTGCTCGGCAAAGGTTTCTAGCACGTGGCCGATTGCAGCCTTATTCTACTATCGCAGTGCAGTGGCGCTTAGAAGTGGGTTAGATTGGCGAAGCATGCAGTCAGTCTTTGGGGCTCATATCCTTTTTTCTATCATGCTTTTGCTGTCCTTTGGTGTGATGTCCCTAAAGTTACGACTATAATATATTCGAGTTTACCCGGGAGTAAACTTCGACTACTTTCTGGGCAAACACGTGTAGAATTACTGTCCATCACAGAGGCTCAATAAATCCAGGAACTAGAAAGTTTGGCTTTAAAGTGTTTGCAGAATAAAGCCATTAGCTGCTGTTGGTGAAAAAGGTATCCAGTCCCATTTGGCTGTTTCTGAGTAAGGTGCACTGAATTAACACCGGTGCTTTTCATTTTCCCGCCTTCGGCGCCAGCGCATGCGCACTCTTAAGGCTTCTGTCTCCTTTTTTGAGATTTCCTTCCTCTCCACCCTCCGCTTTTTGCAAGGCGGTTGAGGAGCGGAGGCGGAGACCGCGGCGGTGGCAACGCGCCTGCGCGCAACACTGTTTGCTTTCCTCCGCGTCGTCACTTCCTCGGTTGGACCCTAGGGGAGAAAAGACTCGAAAAGCACCCCTCTTCCGGTCGGTCCGTGTTTTAAATAGCTGCCATGTGAGGGGCGGAGGAGGTTACTTGCTGCGTCTGCCCTCCCCCCTCTTCCGTTTGTGATCCGGAAGTGTCGGCTGCCTTTGTTTTTTTCAGCCTGACCCTCAAACTACAGCAACTAGTTATGCGCCTGCGCGGCTGCCCGAGAGCGGAAGAGCAGGAGAACAGCGAAGACGGGCAGAGAGGGCGGGGGGAGCTGGGAGGTCAGGAGAGGCGAAGTCGGCAGTTATTATGCTGCGCCGGATCCTGGCCTTACTCGCTCATCCTTGTTTTCTCCCCAGCAGCGGCCCCGGAACCGTCAGGAGCGGCAACATGTTCTACGCGGTGCGGAAGGGCAGGAGGACCGGCGTGTATCGCACCTGGTAAGCGAAGCCACATCTGGAGTGGCCAATGTCTCTCCTCCCCCCTCTCCCAGGGGCTAAAAGGCTTCGTATTCCTCCCAGTCTGGAAGGGTCATTGCTCCACCTCCCCCACATGGAGGAATTTTTTTTTCTTTTTAGTAAAAAAAAAATTGTATTAATTTTTTTCTTGATTTACAAGAGCGTGTGCGTTGTCTCTCAATTGTTGTTGTTTAGTCGTTTAGTCGTGTCTGACTCTTCGTGACCCCATGGACCAGAGCACACCAGGCACTTCTGTCTTCCACTGCCTCCCGCAGTTTGGTCAGGCTCATGTTTGTAGCTTCGAGAACACTGTCCAGCCATCTCGTCCTCTGTCGTCCCCTTCTCCTTGTGCCCTCCATCTTTCCCAACATCAGGGTCTTTTCCAGGAGTCTTCTCTTCTCATGAGGTGGCCAAAGTATTGGAGCCTCAACTTCACAATCTGTCCTTCCAGTGAGCACTCAGGGCTGATTTCCTTCAGAATGGATAGGTTTGATCTTCTTGCAGTCCATGGGACTCTCGAGAGTCTCCTCCAGCACCATAATTCAAAAGCATCAATTCTTCGGCGATCAGCCTTCTTGATGGTCCAGCTCTCACTTCCATACATCACTACTGGGAAAACCATGGCTTTAACTATACGGACCTTTTGTCTCTCAATAAAAATATTAATTAATAACAGATGTAACTGATCTGTCGAAAGTATAGAGAGAATCAAATTTATGTAATAATATTTTTTATTTATACCCTGCCCTCTCCAGCCAAGGCTGGGCTCAGGGTGGCTAACAAGCAATAATAAAAACAAGTTGAAATGAATACAACTTAAAAACAAGATTAAAATACAACATTAAAATATTAAAACATTTAAATATTAAAATGCAGCCTCATCACAGGAGGAGAAAGGAAAAGTGGTACCTCTGGATACGAACAGGATCCGTTCCGGAGCCCCGTTCGCATCCTGAAGTAAACGCAACACGCGACTGCGGGGGTTGCGTTTCGCCGCTTCTGCGCATGCACGTGACGTCATTTTGAGCGTATGCGCGAGCGGCGGAACCCAGAAGTAACGTGCTCCGTTACTTCCAGGTTGCCACGGAATGCAACCCGAAAATACTTAACTTGAAGCTACTTCAACCCGAGGTATGACTGTACCTATATCCATGTTGCATACTTGCCCAACACAGGGCTCGAACCCACAACCCTGAGAATAAAAGAGTCTTGTTCTCTACCCACTGAGCCTGTACCAAAGAGCTCAAGGCAGCAAACATCATCTCTCACTCCCCCCCTTTTTTTATTAAAAAAGAACCCATTCTCCTAACAACCCTGTCAGGTGGTGGTACTGAGAGCAGGTATCTGGCTCCGGGCGAACTTCATAACTGTGTGCAGGTTTTAACCCAAATCTTCCTCACACTAGTTCAATGCTCTTAGTTCAGTGGGGCTTTGTATTTAAGTTACTTTAGAAACAAAAATTGGTTAGGTTTATGTAATGTTTCCAGGCCCCAAAGTGGCTTGCGTAGCCTGCCCCGACCTTTCTCCTTTGAAGGGCTAAAACTATGGTGGATTATTGAGGTTGGGAAACTTTCCTTCCAAGAACTGTGTGAGGATTGCCCTTCAGCTGATATAGGGGAAAGCTTTGTGTCCCCAGATTTGCTCGAATGAAGAGTAGGTGGCATTGGAGATAACACGTTTATTTTTAAAAAATAATAATAGCTTTATGTTTTTATAGGGAGGAATGTAAAGAACAAGTTGACAAATATAAATATGCTAGCTTCAAGAAGTTTTCAACAGAGGAAGATGCTTGGGACTTCGTAAATGATGGATCAACAGGTACATTTTGTCATTCAAGTGGTAAGCACTCTGTAAAGGGTTGGTGCTTGGCAGAAATTTTAAGAGTAGCCTTCTGGTAATTAGTGTGGGCGTGCTAAATGCTTCCCGCAGAAAGCTTGATATACATGTCACTGGTCGGCTGTATTTCCAGATGGCACAGGCTGAGTTCTCAGTTCTGGGATTTTTTTTATGTAGGCTACCGTATTTTTTGCCCTATAGGACGCACTTTTTCCCCTCCAAAAATGAAGGGGAAATGTGTGTGCGTCCTATGGGGCGAATGCAGGCTTTCGCTGAAGCCTGGAGAGCGAGAGGCGTCGGTGCGCACCGACACCTCTCGCTCTCCAGGCTCCAGGAAGCTATCTGCAAGCCTTGCGCACCCGGGGGGAGTTCCCCCGGGCACGCAGGGCTTGCGGGCGGCTAGCCTGGCAGCGCGGAGCCAGGCGCCTCCGGATGCCCCGTGCTCAGCAGGTGTCCGCAGGCCTTGCGCGCCCGGGGAGATCCCCCAGGCGCGCACGGCTTGCGGGCGGCAGCCGGCAGCGCGGAGCATGTGGCGCCCTCCGGAGGACGCCCCGTGCTTCGTGCAGGTGTCCGCAGCCTGCCGCCCGGCGCGTAGGGCGCCCTGAATCAGAGCGCCCCTCACGCCGGGCAGACATCGGCCAGCCCCACAAGCTCGGGGGACAACTGGGAGGCGCAGCACCGCCATCCCACTGTTCCCCGACCTGGTTTTGGGGGGGGGGGGTAAATAAAGGAAAAAAAATTTCCTTTATTCCCCCCCCCCAAAAGGTAGGTGCGTCCTATGGGACGGAGCGTCCTATGGAACGAAAAATACGGTAATTGCTCCACCGATGATTTAGGATGTGGCTTGGTTTTAAGTGAAAGTGGTGGATTTGCATTAATAGCGGTGAGAAGTTACAACTGAAAGAAGGGAAAGTCTAGACCCCTTGCATATCTCGTTTTGCAGTAGATCAGAGTTGGAGAGAATATGGCTTTCCAGATGTTGGGCTACAACTCAAACCATTCCTGCCTATTGGTCATGCTGTCTGGGGCTGATGCAAGTTTGAGTCCATCAACATCTGAAAGGCAACAGATAAGGGGACTGAAAGACCTTGTAACTAAAATAATTCCTTTGCTTTATGAGAGTGTTAGATCAAATTGCAGTTTTGATAAACCTACAGTTGCATTGGAGCTTGGTCCACGTGACTTTTGTATGCGGATCATCTAGCACAGGAAGAACTTGTACTGGCAATTGCTTTGTCACATAATACAATGTGTTCCCTTTAAACTAGGCACACTGGCAGGGGATGCAGATACATCACCACCTAATGACCCAGCAGTTGTTACAGAATGTGCTCCTCATACTTGTCTTGGTGTTTGTAGTGCTGTAGCAGATGCATAATGCGCCAGGCTGCACACCCCTGTGCTTTCATTCTGGAGCTTTTCTAATGTGCTTTGCATTACTAAACTGCAACCTGACCGTCTCTCATTCTTGCTCAGTGTGGTATTTGCCAGAAAGAGAGATTCAGTGTTTCAGTGCCTCCGCTGGATTGCTCTCGCCCAGGATACTGGTTTAGTGCTTCCACATATTTCTGTTGGTGGCCGAATGTCATGGACTGAGTGCTTGGAGAAGGGACATGGAAAGAGTTGGGAGTATAAAAATAAGCAAGTGCTTCAGATAGGTCAGGACAAATTACAGATTCATGAAAATATTCCCCAGGTTTCGTTGTACGTTTTGTATACAAAACTTAATTGATTATGGCAATTTGTTAGGCTTGTTAGTCATTTGGTACTCAAAGGTCTCCAAGCAACTTAACACAACAAGATACATTACACCAAACAATGGAAGAGTTACATTATGTGTCACTTGGTTGAGAATCCAAAGTATCAAGTGAGCCCAAATAGGGCATTCCTTTCTGGTACATTTGAGAAGCTGGCACACTTGTTGCCTATCTGTATAGTAGGCAATACAGAGCTACATAAGCCACTCACAACTTGTAACGTGTACCTAATATGTGGAAAAACTACCATGTCCTAATTGTTTTGTAGTAGATACAGCTAAGTAGTCTTAGAAATTGCCAGTGGATTTCCACGAGCTCATCTTTTGTGTGGATCTGTGCTGCTCTCCATTTAATCGCTGAAAGCATACTTCTGCAAGTTAGCACTGCTCACTCTTTAGGCTTGTAGTATATTGTGTCTCTCTCTGTGTGTGGTTATGCATTTTTCTGCAGTCCTGCTCACAGTTAATTTATGAATTAATTTCTAATTACTTTAGAGGGACTTCATTTATGTGATTGTGGGTGTATAAGGTTCTTGAACATGAATATTATACTTTCAATGTGATTTTTTATTTTTTGCATTTCGTTTCTTCTATGGTTTCGATAATGCAGCTTATGAAAGACCAACAAATAATAGGTTCAGGGGTAAGAAGACAACATCGTGGTCAGATTATAGTTCATACAAGAAACCATATGAACAGCCCTCAGAGAACCAACGTGAGAGAAAGCGTGTAAAATATACCGAAGTACCTTACACACCTCCAGAACGCAAAGATGAATTCTCCTATATGGGTAAGTGCCTTTATTGTAGCAGGTGACTAAACAATGTTGTTTCCTTAAAATTTTTAAATAGGGCTTTTAAGCTGTTGTTATTTATTAAATTTGTACACAGCCCTCTATCCAGTTCACAACATAAAAAATATAAGATAACAAACCCCAAAATACCTAAGAAAAACAAAAGCAAAAAGAAAACCAATAGTCCCCCCCCCCCCATTGGAAGTTCTTTGCATATATATTTAATATGCAAAAGAGCTTTACAGTCTTCTTACTCTTGGAAATGCACAAGTCACTCATATTGAAATTGACTTAGCTGCTGCCTAGTAAGTTATGACACAATCCAAACTCTCTTTGCTGGGGGGGGGGGTGGAGGTGTCCCTGTCGACATGCAAGCAGAAGTGCCACTAGTGGGTTTCATATCAGCGGTAGCCAGTAGAAATTGCTGGAACATGTATTCCAAGGGAAGGATTTCACCTTCCCAGGATCCCTTGGGACCTGAGTTGGCCCCATTGTTGTCACATGAGTGCATTGGGCCCAATTGCTGGTGCAGTGATTTGCTTCCCCCATCACCTTCCACTCCTGCTGTTGTGTGAAGCAAGTTTGTGGATTCGGCAGTGGCCCCAGCACTAAACCAGAGTAGTCCAGGTTTTGAACTGCACCATTAGTGGCTGTACAGCGTTTGGAATCCAGGTCTTAACAAATTGACTGATAACAATTTTTACACTTGAGAGCTTTTCCAGTATAGTCGAACCTAAACTTCGGTATGTGTGCGCGACAAACCCAGAAGTATTTTACCGGGTTTCGCCCAACGCACATGCGCAGAAGTGGTCCCCATGTTGCGGAAACCTCGGGATCCGACCAGACCTCCGGAACTGATCCCATCTGCAACTGGAGGTACCACTGTACTGAATTGGGGATATATGAATGCCTCCATTTAAAGGAGAGCTACTTCACAGTTCAAAGTAATGTACCAGACATTCTGTGTGGAGCTCTTAAATAGTCCACATAGGATTTTATATTTGATTATATCCAATTTATCCTCTGCTTAAACTACTGCAGATTTCTGCACTATATATAATAATTCACAAACTTGTGTAATAGGTTCTAGTAGATTATGACCCTTAGTATAACAAAGCACTTTATATCTCCTGGTAAACAGATGAAATAACTCTTTGATGGAGTCAAAGACCCATGGGAGACAAATGTTTTAAAACTTGTGTTTTTTATCTTTCGTTTTATTCTGTGAACCTCCCTGTGATCTTGTGATGAAGGGCAGTATATTAACCGAATAAATAACAATAATGTTAATGTGACATACAGCTATTTTGGTAGCTCACCATCTTTTTCAGAATACTATAATTCAAAACAAAGTGGCTCAGTTGTGCTATGTCCCTTGAAAGCTAGTCTGCATTGGGAGCAGCACATGGATTGTTTGTATGGTTTTTTTATCCATTGTTCTAAAATATGTCCTGTGGGAACCTCAATAAGACTTTAATTTGGCAGTAAGTTGGGTGGTCCTGATCACCTTTCTTAAATATCAGAACTAAAATACTTGATGTCCATCCAGGTGGCAATATTCCTGCTGAATTAATTGTCCTATTTGCATTTTTAGGAGATTATGCAGTTGTTTATACTGATGGGTGTTGCTCAAGTAATGGGCGCCGTAAAGCACGTGCTGGAACTGGTGTCTATTGGGGACCCGATCATCCTTTGTAAGTAAGAAATGAATGGTCCAATAACTTGCTATAAAAACCATTCATATAAATACACACACACACACACACACACACACACATATATATATGCAGTGATCCCTATTGTTGTTTGCATTTGGACACAGTATTTTCCCGTCCTTCCACTAATATTATTTTCAGAAGAAAACTCTGGCTGGAGGGTGGACCCACTTCTCTCTTGATCCAATCTTCTGCCTCTTGTGAAGAGTTGCAGGTTCCTGGCCCCATCCACTTGGCCAGGTGAATCCAGTCCAAGCATAGTTTCATTGGTTGCAGACCAGGCTGTAAGAAGAAGAGAAAGTGTGCATGGCATCTGTCCACTGTCCACTGCTTTCCTAATCAACAAAGAGGAGCCTGAGTCAGCCTCATGGTGCCGTCTCGTTCATGTTTCTTCAGACGGATAAAGTGGCTGCCTCCTTGCCCACCAAAGCAAATGTCCAGAAACCAGACTGGTAGGAAGTCACATTATGGAGGCTAGCACAGTGGTGTCCAAAATAGCTACTGAGATGTCCCTGGCAGAAGCAATTAATGCCAGGAGCATCTGTCAGAATTTGCTTCTGGAGTCCTCAGTATAATGTGTCTTCCTGTCCAGCTGAAGATCTTCAGGGCTTGTGATATGTAGAGGGAAAGTATGGTCTCTGTCATTTGTCCAGGTGGATGGTCAGAGTTGGAGCAATTTGTTGTCTACCAATCCTGTCCTTTCCTTGGTCACATTTGAAGGAAATGGCTTGTTTGACGAATGTGTGGACCAAAGGAAAGTAGTGACTGCTAAAAAAATAATAAAAATACATGGCCATCTTCCCACCCAGGGGCTTTCTCTAAATCATTCAGAACCAAGAGCACTAGCCACTCATCACATCTTGCACTGGCAGCCTTGAAAGCATGAGAAGCCATTCAAACCTTCCGGTTGCTCTTGGGGGAAATGTGAGATCTGGCAATGGCCGACTTGGCTCCCTACTTTCCTCCTGAAGTGGAGCAATAAGAGGTCTGCCTGACTGGATAACATAAAACATAACACTTTAAAATAGCAAGGATTGGATTTCCATTCCCAGGAGGTGCTTCTGTCCATGTTTCGGCCTTTCTCCTTCATCCCTCGGTGCCATAGTTCCTCAGCCCATCTCACTCAACAGGGCTTCCTAACCCTTGGATGGGTTTTTGGCAGGGGCTGTTGGGGACAGGAGGACCATAGCCTTCCTCTGGCATTTATTTTAATCCAATATGAGCAATTCAGGTAGACACAAACATGGCGTAGCACTAAATTTGAAAATCTGTGGTTTGAAGGAAGAACAACATTGGTTTTCCTATTCTTATAAACATGCAGACTGTCTTTCAGGTCACAGATATATTTTGATCCCTATATTAGCCTTGAAATGTTTCACGCATGAGAAAAATTACTTGAATGTTGTATGTATTTTGTACTCCTACAGAAATAGTAGTGAAAGACTTCCTGGGCGGCAGACTAATCAAAGGGCTGAAATACATGTAAGTTAAATGGAACACAGAATTGGCACAATTGAGTGCTTGAGCCTTTTAGTTTTAATGAAAATGCTCGTCTGTTTCAAGGGAGGAACTTCATGGATATATATATAGAGAGAGAGCGTAGTTTGGAGAAATTGAAAGAACAATTTAAAAAGTTATCTCATAAATCCTAACAAGAGATTGCATGATTGATAGGCTAGTGACGCAGAATAATTATGTAGCTATTATGAAAATTCATAAAACCTAGTTAAGTAATTGGCCATGGCTCCCCCCCCCCCCATTGTCTTTAACATAATTTGCATCAACTTCTGGACGAACAGTGCTAGAATTGGATTACGTTGCTTTTGTGTTACAATTTTGAAACTTGGCATCAGTATTGATGGTTCAACTTCCTTTCTGCTGAGTTGTGTATTCTAAATGTTTTCCGTAGGCAGCTTGCAAAGCAATAGAGCAAGCCAAGAGTCAAAATATCAATAAACTGGCAATCTATACTGACAGCAAGTTCACCATCGAAGGTAAGTCATTGTGTATTGGGAATAAGTAATAAGGCAAGAAGCATGTGAAATGGCCTTCTGAAAGGAAATTAAGTTTGTGCAGGGCATGGAACTTGGTATTTTGATTATTTACCAGACGCTTCCAGCACCTTTCTGGGACACCAGAGTTCTAGTCCCACTTGGCCATGAAGCTCACAGAGTGACCTTGGGCCAGTCACATTCTCTTGGTCTAACCTACCTCACAGCATTGCATGGATAAAATGGAGAGTGAGGGGAGAACTATGTGTACAATCTTGCGCTCTTTGGGGAAAAGGTGGGCTAGAGATAAATAACTTTCCAATGATCAAGACCTAGGAATTTAGCATGTAATATATAATGAATGTTTGCTTTTGATGTTTAAGCAGATCCTAGTGGTAAGCAGGCATGTGAATGAGTGTTGGGTGTTTTTCTATTAAAAGCTAGTGGCTTGGGAAGGGTTTACATTGAAAGCTAACAAATACTGCTCTCCAGAGAATACTTAATCAATAATAGAATTGTGGCCAAGGGAGGCTGTTCTCCATACACTGTTTCTTTTCCACCCAAACCCCAGTCCCAAGATTTACCAGCCAACGTTGCCTTTCTGGATTTATCCTCTTTCAACTTGGATACATTTATTCCCAAGCTAGGGACTTGTATTTCCTGTGTTTAAAACCCATATTGGCAGGGATCCAACAAACCTGATAAATAAATACCCGTATATACCCAGAAGATGACTTCCTTCTCAAAAGCAAAGGTTAGAAGTGTGTTGGTAACTCTAGAATCCACATCGGGTTTTAACTTTTTATTTTGAGAGAGACCTGAACATCTGCAGATGTTACCCGCTATCTACGCTTGAAGTGGGTCCCTGTCCACAAATGACCCCTTCAAGATCTGGACTTCAGCTTCTACTTATGGCAGGCAAGACCAGCTATAAGCTGACCGGTGCTTAAAATGGTAGGCCCAAAGTCAAATGGAATATTCATTACTTACAATGGGCTGCAAATTTATTACAGCAAACATTCAGTGCCTGCCTAGACCTAGCTTGGATTCACCACCATGTGTACTTCTTTGAACAACACAACTGGATGGCATTTTGCAGATGTGCGGTAGAATCCGAGGACAATTTCAGCAGTCCTTAAAAAAAGTCACGATACAACAGATGCATCTTGTTCTTACATAGGTATGACAAGCTGGGTTAAAAACTGGAAGAAGAATGACTGGAAAACATACAAAGGAACAGATGTAACAAACAGAGAGGACTTTGAAAGGCTTGCTAATCTTTCGGAAGGCATGGATATCCAGTGGGTAAGTTATGTGGTTTGAAAAGGCAGACTTCATAAATAGCAAGTGCATACTATTAAAAATGGGTGTTAACAAAATAATGCAAGTAATTCTGTATAGTAATGGAAATGTGCAAGTGTTTGGTACCAGTCCAGGGGAAGGCCAGTGTATTGTTATGTTTTGAACAAGAAAACAGCACTTTATTCTGACCTGTGTATTTTTCTCACTAGTTTTTTGGGGGGAATTGAAATACAATGTTGCTTTCTAACTCTTTGCGGGGCTGGGAAAAAAGTGTCTTACCAACACGCTGCCTTAACAATAGCATACCATTTGCATGTCTATTCTCTAGCTTTTGATAAAAACAAGAATTGAGTATTGGCATTTTTTAAGAGTCATTTTTGGCACTTTGAACTGAAAGCTGTCTCGTGAGATGTGGAGGGTGGGGAGATAGTCATAAAATGAAGATGGTTGTACAGTTGCAGTAACTGGTTCAATTTACTGTTAACAGAAACACGTTCCAGGTCATTCTGGCTTTGCTGGAAATGAAGCGGCTGATCGACTAGCAAAAAAAGGAGCTGGAAAGTCCTTGTCCTAGAATGTGTTAGAAATATCCATTGACTTTGGGGGCAGACTCACAACATTTCTGACTAACAGGCTGCGATTGTGATGGATAAATGTGCGTTTTACTGACTCGTATCCAATTTCTTGATATTGAGAAGCCTCAGGTTTGGATACTTAGGATTATCCGAAAGACGGCAAGAGATATTTGAACAAAATGCTTTTTTGATGCATTCTGGTTATGAAGAGTTACGACACTGCAGAATTTTACGTAATGTGTTGCCAGAGTATGTCATTTCTTTCACAGTTGTACATTCAAGAGTTGTGTTTTATATAAAAAATAATAATAAAAGTTTTTGTTTTTCATCTTGGCATCTCAACTGCGATAGATAATAACAACAAACACCAAAATCATAGATGACAACAGCATGTGCCAAATACACATCAGTAGCAAACTCAAGACAATATACTCAAATCAGCCCAAAAAACTGCTCCAAGTCATACTTTAATCCACATGCGGGGAGCCTGTTATTAACCAAGTTGTTGGTGGGTGGGGCCAGAAGCAAAAATGGGAAGAACAGCAAATCTACATTTCTGACTTTTTAAGATAGGTAGTTTCTGCACAGAGTCCACCAGGCAACCCAGAGGCATTGTTGGAGTTCAGAAGTGCGCTCCAGTCACAGAAACACTGGAGGAGGGTAAAGTAGGGTTGGTGGGGTATGCCGTACAGAGAGAGTCCCAAGGGCCTGATAAGAAAGGCCCCGGGAGTCACATTTTGACCTATGCCAATAGAGGACGAGGTGATTCTGCCCCCTCCAGTTCCCTGGGGCCATGGAAAATTTGCTCACGGGTTACCACCCAGCACAAACTGGGTATTGGGGATGGTAAATAAATATCCTTCTAGAGTTAGCAGACCACTGCTGGTTTAAAAGCCCTCCAGGAAATTCAAGGGCACCAACTGGATCCCAGCAACTGTGTTGTGGCCATTGCTTATGTAGCTGTGTTCCTCTCCAAATGGATTGACAATAATAGTGCAGAGAAATGCATTCCAAGTCTTGATTTTTTTTTTCCTGCCCAGAAGCCCTGCGATTTGACTTTGACAGTTTTCATGGTTCTCTGAGATTATTAATGACCTCTCCTGACCAGTCCTCTCTTCATATTCCCCTTCATCCATCAGAGAGCATGGTGCTGTTGATCTGTCTGTCCTTGAACTGGCAAGGCAGAAGTCATTTGCCAATCTCCCTGGGAGGTGATGGCTCAGAATACACAGCAGATGTTTTATTCCGTGACTCTTCTCCCTCCTAGAGCTTCTCCCCGTCTGCTGAGGTTATTGCTTATTTTGCCAGAAGGCGGAGATGTTGTATTGTCATCAAGAAACCTGGAACCACGAGAAGCACTATGATTCGTGGACGACTTCAGTGGTCTAATTTCTGCATATTTACAAGGTTATTTTATTTGGGCAATGCAAAACAAGAAACAACCCACAGTTTGTTTTCCCCCCCCCCATGCCTGATACACTTTAATTTATTTTTCTTTTTGTTGAAATAATTAGACGATACTACCATAAAAATGCAGGATAGAAATTGCAAACATTGATAATAAATACTGGCTGATAAAAAGAAACTGACGTTGCAAAGGCCCGTTTGTTTTTAGATGTCTAAAAGAGGCCAGGAATGATTCGTGTCAACCAAACATCTGGCAGAAGGAAGGGGATGTTTCACCAGTTTAGTCACCAGCTTCTATGTTCCAGCTAATGTCATACAGGCTTAAGGGGCATGGTATTGTATTTTGACTTGCCCCATAGAATGTAATGCAGTCAAGGCAGAAATGTGGCTCAACCCAACCTCTAAAAGGCAGGCACTTCCTATAGAAGTGGCTGGAGTTCTCTGCAGCTTGCTCTCATTGTTTATGGCCCATTAGTGCAGCCTTCCTGGTTTAAGGCTATTTTACAATCACTGCAGGTAGTGCAAAAGATGGCTTCAAATTAGAAATGGATCTGAACAAGGGAGGAAAAGGTTGGATATATGCCAGGCATAGGCAAACTGGGCCCTCCTGATGTTTTGGGACTACAGCTCCCATCATCCCTGACCACTGGCCCTGCTAGCTAGGGATGATGGGAGTTGTAGTCCCCAAACATCTGGAGGGACGAAGGTTGCCTATGCCTGATATACACCATAGAGAACGGCTACAAAGTCTGGAGGTTGTCCTGCAATGGTAACCATGTCTACTCAGATGTCCTACTGAATTCAATGGAGCTTATTCCCAGATCACAGCCTTGGTCAAGATCTGAGGCTGCAATCCTGGGCATGTTACCACAGTGAAAAGGCTGGGTCTTGCTTCCAAGTACATGTGCGTAGAATCAGGATGTATGTAATCAGGGTAGGTGATAAATAAAAGCACCTCAAGCTTCCCGATTGTCTTGTCTTGTATATTTGACTCTAAAAAATGTGTTTATAGCCTTCATTTCTATTTACTTACTTGCCACAATGATTTCCAAGCAGTATACAAATATAAAACCAGTTATAAAAACATGGCCACACATCATTAAAATACACAATAAAATAAGATTTTTCTGTGTGTGCATTAGTAGAGATAAGGCTGCCTATGCATTCAGCAGCTTTTATTTTCTCAATAAGAAGTTTTTCTCCCAGAGAGATTTGAGGGGAAATTCCATCTTCCAGGAGGCTTGTGGCCTTCTGTCATGCTAGTATGTCACTAGTCGCAAACATCCACATGACACATCTTCTAAATATTAAGGCTTTGGTTGTAAGTGTGCCTTCTGCAAATGGAAAGACTCTTCATTCATGGAAGCCTTAGATCAGGGGTCAGCAAACTTTTTCAGCAGGGGGCCGACTGTCCCTTCAGCAGACTGTCCCTCAGACCTTGTGGGGGAGCTGGACTCTATTTTGGAAAAATATATATATGAATTTCTATGCCCCACAAATACCCCAGAGATGCATTTTAAATAAAAGCACTCATTCTACTCACATGAAAACATGCTGATTCCCAGACCGTACACAGGCCGGATTTAGAAGGTGATTGGGCCAGATCCAGCCCCTGGGCCTTAGTTTGCCTACCCATGCCTTAGATCCAGCAGAGAATCCTGCTGGTGGAAGAAGAAAACAGCTTTCGATATAATATTTCCCTCCAGCCTGCTGCAATATTTTGGAGGGTCGTTCAACCTTAGAGAACAGATTTCCAAGGGGCCGCAAGGGGAGGGGAAATTGGTGAAAGCTGTCTCCTTTTCTGTCAGCAGGAGCAAACTCAGAATAGAAGCCTGTGTACTTAATGGGTATGTTCACACACAAGCCATGAATCCTGGTTTAATAAACCACAACGTTAAATGTGACCTATCGGATGTCAGCCAACAATGTTAGATGTGGAGAGCCTTTGCTTCTCCAGATTTTGCTGAACTACAACTGCCCCAGGAAGCAGGACAAATGGTCAAGGAGAATGGGAGCTGTAGTTAACTCATGCAACTAGTTAGAGTGGAGAACTTTGCTTAATGTCCAAACCTGAAATTCTGGTTTGTTGCATCCAAATAAGGCAGGATTAGAAAAAAAAACAGCTTTTAAACAGAGGTTGTTGGCTTACAAATCTGACCTTTTGGGGAGCAACAAAATCCCAGCTTGGACACCACAGGAAGTGATTCCTGGTTTGTTTACTCAATCACATGAAGGAAGAAGTAAATAGGCTTCACTCACCAGCATGCTACCAATTCTCATTGCTGTTTATTAAGCCTAGCTTATGATAAACATGTGAACTTAGCCACTATAGCTATTTATTTATTTATTTATTTTTTAAAATGATTTTTATTAAGGTTTCAGTAAAAAGTTAAACAGAAAAACATAAAAAAGAAATACACAAATACACAGTACATATTCCAAAAAAGAAAAAAAAAACACAGAGAACAAAAAACAAAAAAAGAAGCAGAACAATTAAAAACAATATCACCTTTTCATTTCCGTTTTTAAATTTACTTATTTTCTGGACCTCCTCATACCTCCCTCTTTTATATTCCAGTCCAAATTGTTTGTCCAGCAATTTCTTTTCCACTTTTTTTAATCCCAATCTTTAATCTTAATGTAATATAGCATTAAAATTTTACCTCTTAAGTACCAAATTTCCATTTCCTTAAACTTCTTTAATCCTAATCTTTAATCTTAATCTATCTATAACTTTAAATCCTGTACAGCTGGAAACCACTTATTTTCAATCCAACATCACTCTAACATTCTTTAATTTTGCAGTGTTTCTGTAGATAATCTTTGAATTTCTTCCAATCTTCCTCCACCGACTCTTCTCCCTGGTCACGGATTCTGCCAGTCATTTCCGCCAGTTCCATATAGCTAGCTATTTAAAAGGCACTAGTCATATGGTAATTTTACATGTGGAAAAGGCAGGCAAGGAACAGTATTGTAATACAGGATTTGGTTCACGTATATCTGAAAGGAACATGAAACATCTATTAAATAACGTTTTTAAAAAGTGGAAGATCTTTTGGAAATGCAATTTCTCCCGCGCTCTCCCTTGCAAAGCTACCACTGAGGGATGAAATCTGCATTGTAACTGAAGAATGCTGAATAAAATAAGGACTTCACTGTAACTCAATGCCTATTTATTTGGGTAAAAGCTCCACGGAACACAATGAGTGTGTGTGCACGCGCTTGCCGTCTTAGGATAACATTTCTGGCATCTGATGAGGCGCACTCTGGTCCACAACAGCTTATAGGGAGCCTCAGTCCCTCCAGATGCCATTGGACTACAGCTGCCATCAGGTAGCATGGCCAGGGGACGGGGATAAGAAATGTCCCAATAGCTGCCAGGCAACATGTTCATTACCCGCTGGCTTATGCCACAATTTCTTAGGGGGGGGGGTAATCAAATGTTGTGCGCTTCTAATTGTTCCATCTGCACAAGCATTTCCATTTGCTGTTCAGGATTATCCCTCCTTGCACCCTGCTCAATTTTGGGGGATGCACAGGGGAAGAAGGGGCAAAGCCCCGTTGCCCCATTGAAGTCCTTGTGTGGGACTTCTGCTGACAAGGCTCATTACGTGAATCTCACCCATAGTTTTTTTAAGTGCCATAAGGCTCTTGGGACACGGGTGGCACTGTGGGTTAAACCACAGAGCCTAGGACTTGCTGATCAGAAGGTCGGTGGCTCGAATCCCCGTGACGGGGTGAGCTCCCGTTGCTCAGTCCCTGCTCCTGCCAACCTAGCAGTTCAAAAGCATGTCAAAGTGCAAGTAGATAAATAGGTACCAGTCCGGCAGGAAGGTAAATGGCGGTTCCGTGCACCGCTCTGGTTCGCCCGAAGCGGCTTAGTCATGCTGGCCACATGACCCGGAAGCTGTACGCCAGCTCCCTCGGCCAATAAAGCGAGATGAGCGCTGCAACCCCAGAGTCGGCCACGACTGGACCTAATGGTCAGGGGTCCCTTTACCTTTACTAAGGCTCCCTTGTTTTCCCAAAAAGCCCAGCGCTCCAGCAATAGTTTCAAAGAACGTTAGCCCAGGAAAAGAAAAGAAAAAGATTACCACTGCAGTATTTAACTTTCTCCACCTGAGCTCTGAGACCTGAAAACAAGAACTCAAGATGGCCTACTGCTGACTGTTGTTTCTCAACTCCCCCTGACCAGCCTTCTAGCTTGAGCCGAGAGATTTAAGAAAGCCTTCCATTACTTGCACCTTTAGAGCTCATTTTCTCTCTGCCTATCTGTCTTTTTCAGACAGCCTTCTGGCCTGCTTAGCTTAGAAGAAATTCCTTCAGTTTTGCCTGGAGGGACCGAGGGGAGCATTGTGAGGAGTATCTGACTCAGAATTCATTTGCCGGAGTGTTTCGCGTGGTGCGTTCCTAGCAGTCCGGGGAGCTGGAGAAAATGCAGGCCTCCAGGCATCCGTGGGAGCAGGCAGGTTTTTTGGGGAGGGGGTTTTACAAGAGGGGGAAAAAAACCCCACTCCTGCTGATCGCTTCTGATCCTGCCCTGTGTCAGTTTTGGATACACCAGCAAAATAAAAATCATTTGATGTGTGGCAAGCTGTGCTTGGCATATGCTTGGAAATCCGCAAACGAGAGGGGAGCTGAATTAAAAATAATTGAGAAAAGGAAAAGGGGAGGAAAACCCCGACAACAACACCGAGATGCAACATTTGGTGTTTCCTTAGGCTCCTGCTGTGAGCAATGTCCGTCTGGAATTTAATGTTCAAGGAGATGTGTGTGTATATAGATTGAGCCTTGAGCGTAATAAATTCTTGGGGTCCTGCTCAGACTGGCAACCTGCCCTACTTCTCTCCTGCTAGATGAAAGGCAATAACGCTACCCGACTTTTCTTCTGTGCAAGCAGGCCCAATATGATGACAGCTTTCCACTTGATTGCCTATGTGGCAGCCGAATCAAAGGAATAAGCCACACACACACACACACACACACACACACACACACATGCCCTGCAGTGAAGCTGTAATACCTGATCTTTGCCTTCTGGCATCAGGAATGCACGGCCTGTCTCTCTCCAGCCTCGCTCTTGCCTTCTAGCTTCATGCTAAAAGCCTGTAATGTTACAGGTTGCAAGGCTTAGTCCACAGTGTTGTGTGTGTGTGTGTGTGTGTGTGTGTGTGTTTCGGTGGGAGGAATCATTCTGATGCACGCTTACTTGGAACTAAGAACCACTGAATAAAGCGAGACTTACTTCCTGCTGAACTAGTAGAGGTTTGGTAGGAACCATCCCGACATTCTTTTAGATGTCTTCTGAAAATGGTAATTGTTTAGGTGGGCTTTCACAGTGTGAATTTCTCTCTAACCCACCTGTACCTACTGTTTAACCGATGCTTTTTATTATGCTTTTTGAGATACTTTTACTGATTCTATTAAAATTTGTGTATGTTGCATAACACCTTAGTACATTTCATGAAAGTTCCACTTGTAGACATTTCAGTTAACAAAATCAACACACACACACACTTACCTGGCAGGGGGACCACAGGTGAGGCTCATCTACTGCACTCCAGGTGTACTGACCCCCTGCAATCTCCCAATGCAGGAAACTTGACTACATAATCTGTGGTAGTGGGGGACTGTGTTTGTGTACCCGCTCCCGGAACACAGTGACGACTACGATATGATACGATAATCTTTATTGTCATTGTCCCATACAGAACAACGAAGTTGAAAAAAATCTACATCAGACATTCAAAAACCAACAAACCTGCTATCCCAGCCTGGTTAGCCCCCTAAAAACTCTGATACCCCATAATTAAATACAATGTACTCCCATAGAGACTACCTTACACTGCGTTTAAAACCAAAATCGCATTTGAATAGAAACTGTTTCTGAGGCGGCTAGTCCTAGTCTTTATAACCCTGTACCTTCTTCCAGAAGGCAGAAGCTGAAAGAGATCATTTCCGGAGTGCGCACTATCCTGCACTATCTCTGTAGCTTTCTTACGGCACCTGGAAGCATAGATTTGATCCAAGGTGGGAAGAGTGCACCCAATTATTCTCTCCGCAGTCTTTACAACCCTGGACAGCATCGTTTTTTCCCTGACCGTGCAGCTCCCAAACCACACACACAGACTATAAGTTAATACGCTCCCCACAGTACAATGGTAAAATGCCATCAACAGGTCCTTTGAGAGATTATTTTTCCGGACACAGGTTAGGTCATCTCTCAACCCCATTACTGGGGTGGGGTGGGGGTGGCAATAGAAATCATATTCATAAACTGCAATGTATTATTTGCCGGCACTGCAAGGATAGCCAAGAATGGTTACAATAAAGACTGAGTTGTAATTGCTGTTATCGCTTTGGCAGAAATCACGGCACAATTCGGGAGGCCACCAGGTGGCGCATTGGAAGATGGCCGACAATAACATCTCTCCGACCCATACGAGGTAATTAAGAGGCTGCTATGGGAAGTATGCAGCCTTCCCGCCCCCCCAAGGAGATGGGGGGGACTGCCTTGCCAGTGGTGTCCATAACGCACCCCCGGATTCGAAAGACGGGGGTGCCGGTCACTTGGCACAAGCCCTCGATGAGGTCGGCTCTTCCTGATGCCGTCTCCAATCAGCGCGTGCTGGTTCGCTTTAGCTCGAAAATATAATTGGAAACATATAATTGGAAAGAAGCTAAAGCACATACATCAAGCAAAGTTCGGGAGATAAGACTGCTGATTAATGGATCTCTGTGACCGGAGCGACGGATGGGACAAATAAATCAAGTGACGAACCACCATTAAGAGACTGGTATGTTTGGAGTGAAATAGAAGGGGGGTGGAGGAAAAAACTTTTCTTTTCTTTGCCTTATGTGAATATTAATAACCCTCCACCCCAGAAAGAAGATCGTTGCATTTTATTAATCACAAGCAGGAATTCAAGAACTGTGTGGAGTGGATTATAGATTAAGAGATGACTGGTAAACAACGGAGAACGGAGGAAAATTTTATGACGCAGCTTTAAATGGTGTCTCGCTAAGACAGGCTTGTCTGAGGAAGACGGGGGGAGGAGGATCAGGATCATCGGAATGTGAATAATTATTGGAATGTGATCTTAACCTGACAGAGCCCTCCTGATATACTTGGCAAGCCTGAGAAAATTAAAGGACAGACCGAAGATAATTTTTTTATGGAAGTGTGGAATGGCTGTCCCTAAGTGATATGATCTTTGGAGAGTGTAAAACCCACACAGAGGATGTCTGTTTCAAACCCGCTTGTGAAGATTATCAGAGATGGCAAAGAAAGGAATATATGATAACAACAAGAAGATGAAGAAAGTAATAAAGAGACTATCTGGATAGAACTGGATAGAACTGTTTAATTAAAGCAGCAATATAAGTGATGCTTGGACCCCCGTTCGGAGCTTGATGTATGGGTACCCCCAACAAAATTAAAAAATCTGGCTGTATAATTTGGAACTAATGTGATTTGGAAATAATGTGATTTGATTGGCTTGTTAATAAAAATTATTTAAAAAAAGAAAAAGAAATCACGGCACAATTGTTGGCATCCATCTGTCTCGAGGAACAATGGAGTGTGCCTCTGGGAGTGAAGTCCAACCACTGGAGAATCACAGCACCTGCTGTGGCTGCAGAAACCGGTTAACCCAGGCATAGTCAAACTCTGGCCCTCCAGATGTTTTGGGACTACAATTCCCATCATCCCTGACCACTGGTCCTGTTAGCTAGGGATGATGGGAATTGTAGTCCCAAACATCTGGAGGACCGGAGTTTGCCTATGCCCGGGGTTAACTTGTAACTGCTGCCTCCCACATTGTTTTGCTGGGTTAGCAGCACCGAAATGACCTTTCTGGGGTGCAAGCCTGGGCAGTGTTGCCCAAACAACAAGTCCCCCTTCTTGGCCTCGCTGATGCGATCCAAAGAAAAGCAGAACAATACGTCTGGCACGAGCTTGGCTGCAGGAGTTGCCGGAAGGAGGAGTAAAAGGAGTCATCCAACCGTCTTAGGGACTCCACTCCGTATTGGTGTAGGGTTTACTCCTTGGCCTTTTCTTCTCCCAAAAATGTCCCGTAAGACAGTGGGCACAGCATGATGCATCTTATTAAAAGGCAGGGTATTATCCAACACTGTGCCAGTTATTTCAGTAGAAGTTGTGACTGTCTGGGCCATGCAGAGACTACTGTTGATTGCAGTCATCCAATTCTGCTAAGGTCTTGGCTATCAACTGAAATCATCCACCAAAAGCAACAGTTCAATGATAAGAGCATCTCCTTGGTATGCAGAGGATCCCAGGTTCGGTTCCTGGTGGGGCTGGGAACATGCCCTGTCTGGAGAGCTGCTGTCAATCAGTGTAGACAGTACAGTGGTACCCCAGGTTGCAGATGCTTCAGGTTACAGACGCTTCAGGTTACAGACTCTGCTAACCCAGAAATAGTACCTCGGGTTAAGAACTTTGCTTCAGGATGAGAACAGAAATCGCGCGGTGGCGGAGCGGCCGCAGCGGGGGGCCCCATTAGCTAAAGTGGTACCTCAGGTTAAGAACAGACCTCCAGAACGAATTAATAAGGAGAGCCAGTGTGGTGTAGTGGTTAAGAGCGGTAGTCTCGTAATCTGGGGAACCAGGTTCGCTTCCCCGCTCCTCCACATGCAACTGCTGGGTGACCTTGGGCTAGTCACACTTTTCTGAAGTCTCTGAGCCCCACTCATCTCACAGAGTGTTTGTTGTGGGGGAGGAAGGGAAAGGAGAATGTTAGCCGCTTTGAGACTCCTTAGGGTAGTGATCAAGCCAGATATCAAATCCAAACTCTTCTTAACCCGAGGTACCACTGTACTGAGCCAAATGGATCAACAGTCTGACTCAGCATTACGTAGCTAGACATGTGTCTAGATATTTCTATAATCCACTGGTGACCATGACCAGTGGATTTGAAAAAGAATCTTTTTCTGTCTTGCGGCAACACTGGGTTCTCTCTCTGATGCTGGGGGGTGGGTGGGAAGAGTCAATCTGGGATTGACTGCTTCAGGGCCCATTTGTTCACCCTGGTATTTCCTAGGGGAGCAAATGACAACTTTCCTCAACATGTTGCCCAAGGAACAAAAGCAATTATCTAAAGTTATGCAGGCAGAGACCATTAAATTAGCCAGCAGCAGATTAACACTGCCAAGCATACTGTTGATTGCAATGAGAGAACAAGCAGCTTCCGCAATTAATTCTGCAAAGCCGCCCAAGGTTCAGGCTGACCTACCTTCCAAACAAAGACCGGAGATAAGATCCACTTGGAAGGAGAAATCTTGTTTAACCCCACCAAGCCAGTCTTTCTTTTGCAAACGCACATGCCAAGGTAAACCTCCCACAAGCTATTGGAAGTCGTGCTGAGTCTTCTCGCAGAACATCTGGCAACATCACTTCCCTAAAGGGGCAGCAACAGAATGAAATAACTTTTCAAAGTTGGCAAGAAAATAGATGGAAGAACACTAGCTCAACCTGAGCATAGCTCAGACGGAAGGAATAGCCTTTCCAAAAAGGAGCTGAATGGGTGACAATTATTCCAGGTGGGAGCATCTGATGCTACAAGCTACAAGCTCACATGAACAGAACTGCACAGGGACTATGAAGAACAGGGGTTTTTTACAAATAATTTTGAGGACTGTTGTAAACAAAAATTGCCCTTTTCCCTTATGGGGTATCCAAGAGCCCATATAGAGTCCTTACATAGGTTCCCTATTGGTAGGAGAAAATAACAGAGGCCAACCAGAGAATACTGAGAAGCAAATCAGCTAGTAAGCTTGATCTTTATTGATCTGTTGCAACAGGGTGCTCCCCTCACCCGGAGGAGAGGAGGAACCCAGAACAATGGCGCGCAAGGCCTTATAAAGCCTACCCCCAGAAACATCATACATACATCACAGAAGGGGTGTAACCTAAGACCACCCCTCAGATACATCACACCTACATCACAGGAAAGGCGGTCTAAAACAGAAATTTGAATGTTGTTTTTCTCCAGTCCTTGTTTATCTCCTGTCTGGCAGGTTACTTGATTGGATTGCCTGGGGAGCCTGGCCAGTCTTTTGTAATGATAAATACTTAGTTCCTGAGCCAGGTCACAGGCTCACACCCTATTCATATCTTAAATGTGCCCTTAAGACAGGATTTGTGAGGAAAGAGACAATGGGGAGGTTTCCCACTTTGACCTTGCAGAGAAACATTTCCTCAGTTTAGGAATCAAAATGGTTCCAGGTTGGTCTTCCTGTGCTGATCTATGTATGTGCTTGGTTGGTACGCTTATGAACATTACCATATATCTAAGACCTCAGGACATTTGCCACCAGGGTTGAAATCCTAAGGGTGCTTACTTGGAAGTAAGTCCCCTGAAATCAATGGGATATATTTTCAAGAATGCATTATTAGGGTCAGTCGATAACTCATGTTATGTGTCTATTATGAATGACCTCTCTCGGTATTTTATGACTGAATTTAGGCTGCAATCTTTCACACACTTACCTGGGAATAAGACCCATCGAAAACAAATTGCACTTCTGAGTAGATATGCGCAGGATTCTTAGCCCTGATTCTTTTTTTAAAACTTGATTATGAGTGTCATCAAATTCATGGGTCTAGATTAGAATTTAACTTTAAAAAAAAAAAAAAAAGCCAGGGGAAAATCGACATAATTCGGTTTCTGCCTTTTTCCTTTTGTGTTTTCTCTTCTGAAAAATGGAACCGCTGATTGATCTACCCTGGCAGACACTCCAAATTCTCCAAGATTTGCTGTTCAGTTTTCTCCAGGAGCAGATTATGTATTTTCAGATTTTGTGAAATCAGCCCAGGGCATTTCCTGTTTCGTCATGAGAGAGCTAATTTGGGTTGATGCTGCAATGTGCAAATGCCATCTAATAACAAGTATGAGAAGCATTTATTGTACCAAAACATATGTACTCAAACTGATCTTTTGTATTGTGGTGCAAGTACAGATAACTCACAATCTACAAGCATTTAACTTGTGCACATTCAGCTTTATATGTTTGGCAATTTTTTAAAATAGAAAAATTAAAGGGAGCAAAAAGTGAGCGGGCACCGGGGGGCGGGGGGGGACGACGACGACTTTGACAATTCCACCCACCATTGTGCCCAATGTGTTTTGACTATACACTATTTTGGCTTCATGTCCTATCCCAGGAATGTAACCCCTGTGTTAGCAGAGTTGCCTGTACCAGCTTGGGCAGGTTAACAAAATATACACACAAATACAAATCTTTACCAGGCAAATAAGATGAGGCAGACACATGCAGGTCTCCCCAGCTTAATTCTGAACCGTTCCATTTTCAGAGTACATTATGGGAGATTGATCCAATAATAATAATAATAATACTTTTATTATTTACACCCGCCCATCTGGCTGTGTTCCCCAAGCCACAATGGGCTGGCAGAAAGAAATGCGTTTTGTTTTGTTTCAAGGGTCGAAAACAAAAGCCAGGACGGGGAAGTTTTAGTTCTCTCGCCCTACTAAGCTTTCCACGGTGCGGATATCACACAGCTAGCGCGGGCTGGTGTGAAACACACCATACCTTGGGAAGCTGCCCCAACAGGCCAATTCACACGTGCACAAACGGTTCAGTTACTACGCGACTCGGGGTGGAGACTCGGCCGCTGCTCCTTTTCCACGGGTCTAAAAAAAATAATCGCTTTAACTCATAATAAAAATAAAAAATTCCGGAGTTTAACTGGATTGGGATGGGGGGGGGGAAGTGCTGCGGGTCTAGGAGGCTAGTGCGCACTTTGAACTGCCCCTTCTTGGCACAGCCAGACCCGGTTGCTCCTGCGCAGAAAGCCCCGCGTGTGGTTTCCCCTCCCAGGGAAGCGGAGAGGCGGAGCCGCCTTCCCTCCGTCGGGACTGGGAGCCTGGCTGGCTGGGAAGAAGGAGAGGCTCGGCCTGGGCGCGCCATGGTGGAAGCCTGGTATATGGACGAGTCGGCGGAGGACCAGCGCCAGGCGCACCGCCGGGAGCCCAACGAGCCCGTCAGCCTGACGCTGCTGCAGCAGCTGGGCGTCTTCTACTGGAAAGTATGCAGGAACGGGAGCCATTCCTGGCGCCAGGGCTCGGTTTGGAAAGGGGAGCAGGATCCAGGCGGGGCTGCGTTTCCCTCCTGTCCAGGGCGCAGCAGCCGGAGTCCTGCGCACAGCCGGCTGTGCGCTTTGGGTGCAGGTTGCGCGTACGCACACACTCAACATTCTCCCGCTCAAAGAATTCTGGGGGATGTAGTCCACCCCTCGCAGAGCTGCGGCTCCTATCCCCTCTTAACGAACTACAGCGCCCAGAATTCTTTGAGGGGAGGAATGTGCTTTGAAGGTGCGCACTGCTGCAGTTCGGTTTCCAGTCGCCAGAGCTGGGCGGCAAGCAGAGACGAGGCGCTTGCAATGTGGTGGAAGTTTGTTGGACTCCTAGCTGCCATCAGGTCCAGGGATGAGGAGAGATGCATCTGGACCACCTCCAGCCATTATTTATTTTATGTTTAGGGGTGTGTGCAGAACCGAGTTATCTGCGACGCAATTGGTCAGTTAGTTAATTAGTATTTTTTATGAGGGCCCATGCCCTCAGCCATGATGATCACTGGGCGACCTTGGGCCTGTCATGTTCTCATGGTTTAACCCGGCATAGGCAAACTCCGGCCCTCCGGATGTTTGGGACTACAATTTCCATCATCCCTACCTAACAGGACCAGTGGTCAGGGATGATGGGAATTGTAGTCCCAAACATCTGGCGGGCCGGAGCTTGCCTATGCCTGGTTTAACCCACCCCGCAGGGCTGTTGTGAGTATAAAAGCGACACAGTCCATATCTGTGCCCCCTCTGAGCTCATGGGAGGGAGAGACAGCTGTAGTTATCATTAATAATAGCATTTTTATTGTTGTTGTTGATAATAACTCTCAGAGGAGTAACTCTGTTAACGTGGTGGTAGCAAGAACAATAGAGAGTTGTGTGGCACTTTAAAGATGTAACATTTATTACTGCATAAGCTTTCCTGGACTAGAATCCACCTTATTTTTGAAATAAGAAATAATAATAATAATAATTCACTACATTTAGATCCTGCTTCTCTTCTGAGGAGCTGAATGCATACATAGTTCCTCGGATCTCTATTTTATCCCCACAACTTGGTGAGGTTGGTGTGAGGTCAAGAGATACTGACTGGCTTAAGTTTACCCAGCGAGCTTCATGGCTGAGTGAGGGCTTTTAAACCTGGCTTTCCTGGCTCTACTCCAGCACTCTGCCCATGACACAGTGCTACCTCTTCTTCCGATGTATGAATCGCCATCCCCAACGGGTGTGGAGAAAAGCAGCCGTAAGCTGCTGGGCCCAGCGGCCATAAAATGCAGAATTACAGCCTGTGATAATTGTATGGAAAGCTTCCATGTGCCCAAGTCAAGCACAGCGACTCTTGACCCTCCTGTAAGTGCCAGGAATCCCCATATCACATGCCGGTCACCTGGTCCCTGAACAGTGTTTTTCTACTACACTGGCCACTTGCTTTGTTTCTGCTTAGCTTCAGCATGGTGGCTGTATGATGTGCCCCCGGACCTTCTACAGTACTCTGTATTTCACATTTGACTACAGACACTAGAGCGTGAAATACAAAAGCATTGAGTGTGGAAAGCTCCTATTGTTTCCTTTTGAAATATGTGGAGATTGGGGCTGGGGAAAAGGTTAGGCCCTTGCTTCCCTTGTATATTTGAATAGGTGGAGTGTACCGATGCATACCTCAACTAAAGTGGATTGGGAGTATCTTTTGTGCTGTACCACAAATGATTGATTTGCTTAGCTCACAGAACCACAGAATTGTAGAGTCGGAAGGGACCATGAGGGCCATCTAGTCCAACCCCCTGCAATGCTCAAACCCCTGACCCTGAGATTCATGCTGTACCAACTGAGCTATCCCAGAGGTTAAAAATGCACATGTAGACAGATGGGCTAGCAAAACATTTTGCAGGCTCTTTATCTGGGATATCTTGTTTACAAAGCAAAGGTCGTGGAAGTATTTTAAACTAAGTGTTCTCTCTATCCTACAGTTTATTTTAGAGCAGTGGTTCTCAAACAATTTTTTTATGGGCCACTTGAAAATTTTGGGGTCTCAGAGGACCACTTTGTTTGTGTGTGTATGCAAGCTAGAAATCAAAGCACATCTCTTACATTTAAAAAAAATAATCATAGTCTTGATTTTCTAATCTGATGGATGTGCCAGCTTTGCGTGTAAGCAAAATTTCCCCATATTATTATATTATATTATATTATATTATATTATATTATATTATATTATATTAAACATACCCCTCCCATCTGGCTGGGTTTCCCCAGCCACTCTGGGCGGCTCCCAACAGAATAATAATGATAAAGTGATAAAACATCAAACATAAAAAACTTCCCTAAACAGGGCTGCCTTCAGTTGTCTTCTAAAAGTCAGATAGATTTCCTTGACATCCCAAGGTGAGTGTAATGTTTGTCAGCTTTGGTCTCAGGACATTATCCAGCATTCCTTTTCCATATTTGGACTTGAGGGTGGCAGGGGATGGAAATCTCACCTTGCAACAAGAAATAATAAAAAATAATAATAGTATTATTTGTACCCCGTCCATCTGACCAGGTTGCCCCAGCCATTCTGGGCAGCTCCCAACATATGAAAACATAATAAAACATTAAACATTAAAAAAACTTCCCTTATGAAAATCATGGCCCTCAGGCTATGGCTTTATTTGCCTGTTCGATAATCCAGCTCTGGTCAAAACATCCTCTGTCTCTGTTGTCAGAAGAAGAAAAAAATCAATTGCATGGCCATGTACAGCTATTCTTGACTGTCCTCATAGCACCTGAGTGGAGTTTGTGGGGGCCAAAAGTGATTTGCAGACCAGAGCTTGAGTACCTCTGCTTTAGGGTTTAGCATAAACCTTTGGGACTGCTCATTTAACACATCAGCAAAGGAGTTTCTAGTGCTTGCTGTAGTTTACATTACAATGTCAGTACAAACCATTGATTATCCTAGACAGGATGGGTGGTGAGTGGGCAGTGTGGACCTGCATTTGGACTCCCACGAGTGCTGCGCTGCTTCCCTCAAGGTGCAACCCATTGCAATTACGGAACAAATACAGTTAAATCAGGACCCGGGCAGTATATTAAACTTGTGAAATAATCAATGAAGACCCCTTGATTCTTGTCGGCGTTTAAATTTAATCTCGTTTGTTTGCTGCGTCCCTGCTGCTCCCCCTCTCAAGGCTAATTTTGTTGTTTTGTAAAGCTGCTCTGCCAAAGATGGCAGCCTGCCTGGAGGGAAATTCAGGAAGGGAAAGTTGTATAAAACAGCTGAGAGCTCTTCATGGACAGAGGCTTCTTGCTGGTGTAGCAGTCTTCCTTTAGGGGAACCCTGCTCTACTGTTGACAGTGGAAGGCCAGCTTTTCAACGATCCCTTTTTGAGGAACAAAAGTGGTTTCAGAAACTCAGAACTTTATTGCCGGTTTCCAGAACAGCCAATTCTGTCCCCTCCAGAGAATTCTGGACTGTGAATCCCCACCACCTCCAACCATTGGGCATGCCTGACCTAGCCTGATGTTTAACTGAGAGTCAATCACATCATTTGAAAAATAAGACTTTAGAGCCGCCTGGCCCCAAAATGGCAACTAGACATTCCATTTTGGCAACTATAACCTTGGTTTAAGGAGCCATTTGGCACCTGGCTTATATATTTTGAGTGTCTTACACGGGACTTAAGCAGGTAATAGCACCAGGGCTTTATTTATCTGTCACAAGAGACTAGGGCCCAGCGGGACTTGACATCTTTCCGCAGGGCCTGCAAGAAAGAGCTGTTCCGCCTGGCCTTTGGTTTGGACTCAGTCTGACCCTTATGTTTCCCTCCCCTTATGGTTTTGACTTTTAAAATGAGGCTGCATTTTAAATTGCATTTTAACCTGTATTTTAGATTGTTTTTCTTCTTCTTCTCATTTTCTTGCTTTGTTTTTACTGAAATTTTATTGGTGTTAGCCGCCCTGAGCCTGGCTCTGGCCGGGGAGGGCGGGGTATAAATAAAATTTATTATTATTATTATTATTATTATTATTATTATTTCCTCACCAGTACAGTGGAAAGACTGACAACTGTGGGAATGTTCATTGAGGCAGGAGAGGATATATTGCTTATTAATATCCTTCCTAACTTGCACTAGCAAGTTCCTTTACTTAGCAAAGTTTTAAATTCACCTTTTAAATGCACAGCAGATAGCTGGTTGCAGGCTTGTGTAAGCCTTTCATTACTAGGTTCCTGGTAAGTTCTCTAATATCCCTCTTAAAAGAATAAACATGCCACAATCTTCTTTGAAGTATATAAAAGAAGTTTACTCACATCATCAGTTCACAGTTGGATCCCTGAAGGCAGACTTAATTACAAAGTGTATACATGTGGATCTATCCCATATGGGAATAATCCCAGTGTCCTCTGTTGGCTTTCAGCCAACAGAGCATTTCTAGTTAAAATGCTGCTCCAACGACGGAGGAAGTCAAAGAGAGAGAGTGCTGCGTGCCTTGTCCTTTTGTTACATGGACAGGTAAGGTCACGCCCACCTCTAGTCAGATGCAAAGGAAGTATGTCCCAGCCCAGGAGGAAACAGGAAGTATTCGACTGGCTGGACCAAACTTTTCCCCGCATGTCCAATCTAGGAAAACAAGGAATGTTGTACTTGACTGCTACTTCTGTATCACATCCCACAACAACCTGCTCTGCAGAGTCATAAAAGCGTTTTGTACGTAAGGAGCGTTTGGGATGCAGCCGATCGCAATGACTGCCTCGTTTTGAACATTTCTGTCACCAAAACCCTTTTCTTAATTCCGCAGCTGGATGCTGACAACTATGAGACCGATCCTGTCTTAGCAGAGATCCGGAAAGAAAGGAACTACAACTGGATGGATATAATAACGATACACAAAGATAAGCTTCCGAATTACGAAGACAAGGTATAATACATTCTGTCTCTTGTTTGGGCCTTGAAAGGGTTGCAAGTGCTGGAACTCGCCACTAGAGTGTGTGCCAGTTTCAGAAGTTGTCTGATTCTGCTGTTTGAACACTGGCTGTCCCTTTCCTGAGAACTAAGGCTGAAATCCTAGCCCTACTTAACCTGAAAATAAGCCAAATTGAATTAAATAGGGCTGACTTCGGAGTAGACATGGCTGGATTTTGCTGTCCGTCATGCAGTTGTTCTCCCTCCTGCCCTAGTGCATTTCAGAACAAATTATAATGGGAAGATATGTGCTTCCCTTCGGTTGCTACCTGTTATTTTTCTGACAGGGCTCCTGTACCTTCTTAAGAGCTGGTGAATTCTGGAGTGCAGACTGGGGGATACAATGAGTTGCACCTGTTTGATTTCTGCCTCCTATGCTGCTGTGAAAAGGCACAGCAAATGTACTAGAAAAAATGGAGAAAGCTGGCAGCAAGATGCATGCATGCAAATCACTTCTGCCTTTTAACATGCAGTTAAGTGAGCATTTGGGAAGTTTTGGTTGTAGGCATGAGCTCTCTCACTGGCCTGCTTTGGATAGAACTGTAGAATTGTTGAGTTGGAAGGGACCCTAAGGGTCACGTAGTCCAACCCCCTGCAATGCAGGGATATTGCATTAAACTTGGGGTGGGGGGTTTCTAGCCCTCCAGATGTTTAGATCAGGCTCCTGCCAGCCCCTTCCAGTGTGGTCAGTGATGATGAGAACTGTAGTCCAGTAATGTTGGGAGGGCAGAGGTTCCTCGTTCCCACGCAAAACCGTAGTTTGATGTGATTTTTGCTGCTTATTGGTAACCCCTAGACTACACTCCTCCACCTTACGTCTGGCAATGGCACGGTGCAGTGAATGGGATTACAGTATCCAAAGTTAATATAACTTGGCTTATATTCCACCATTTCTCTAAGGAACTTAATGCAATATGTGGTTCTCTCCACCCTCTCTGTTCCTCACAGCAGCCTTGCAAGGTAGGACAGGCAGAGAGAAAGCCACTCCCGGAACTCCCATTTCATTTAACGTTCATTTCACTTTTAATTTGTATACTGCCTTTCTATATTACTATACACAAGGCAAGTTTATAAGCCGGAGAAACAACAAAATAGGCAGCAAAGATCACACATGTAATCACAATCTGATCCTGTACAAAATACGTCACAACTACAGTGGTACCTCGGGTTACATATGCTTCAGGTTACAGACTCCGCTAACCCAGAAATAGTGCTTTAGGTTAAGAACTTTGCTTCAGGATGAGAACAGAAATCGTGCTCCGGCGGCGCAGCAGCAGTGGGAGGCCCCATTAGCTAAAGTGGTGCTTCAGGTTAAGAACAGTTTCAGGTTAAGAACGGAGCTCTGAAACGAATTAAGTACTTAACCTGAGGTACCACTGTACTTGAAAATAAGCAACTGATATCAAACAAAGCAATATTTAGTTATCAATTACAAGATAATAGTAAACAGTAAAATTAAATATTAGCGAGTAATAATTAAACAGCTTCCACTTATCAATTACAATAAAGAATTACTAAACTATAATCGATAAAAATAATGGTAAGTCACAATGCAGAAAACACCACAAAACATAGAAAACCATATAAAGTGATCAAATTGAGAAACAAGGACACAAAACTATTATTATTATTATTTATTATATATCCCTGAACTCCTCTTTGCTAGAACTTGGATCGCTAACTGCTGCACCACACTGCCTCATGAGCTGATGATATTACTAATTGGGCAAACTTCATTGCCTTGTACGTTTCAGGATTTCGAGCCAGACAGGTTTCCTCTATCGGCATATCTGTTTGGAGCCAGCAGAAGGCAAGACAGACGGAATGCTGCCAAACACCTTGTCTCTCAACATAAATATATGTTTTCTGCCGTTTTGTGTCTCTCTTGTTCTGTGAACACTGAGATGAGGAGATACCACCTGAGCACACTCACCTGACGGTTTTACCTCCGGGGTGACCAGGTGAAAAAGGAAGGCAGGGCTCCTGTACCTTTAACAAAGCCATGATTCTGCTGAAGTGAACAGGCTTATTTATATGTTCTGAAATTGCCTCTTCTACACAACTCTTAAAGGTGCAGGAGTGCCTCTTCTCCCTCCTTCCCTCCCTCCCACCACTACCACCACCCACCCTACTTATCTGGCAGAAGGACGTATGTTAAGCTTCTGAACAATTGGCCACACCGCTTCCTTGGGACATTATAAATGAAAGCAACAAAACCGGCTGGTTCTATTCTAGTCGTCATTATTCAGACTTCTCAGAAAGAGGGAGCTCTTCTGCCTCTCCTTGTCTGGTTGTCAAGGTGATGCGTTTTAAGTGCTATGAATATTTTAGTAATTTCGCGACTGGAGTGGAGTCTGAATGCCTACCCAGCTTATTTCTGCCAGGTTCTGCGATCTCCCTGACCTGTAACATGTCTCAAGAGCATTATCAACCTGGCAGCGCAGGCTGACGCACCCTCCTGAAAGCTCCAGTGCACTTCAGCTGTTGTCGGCTCGCAAAATCATTCCGCCACTAAATTTAGGTTTTTCTCCTCTCCCTCCCTCTTACCTCCAGAGCTGACTAAGCACTTGAGGAAGCGGGTCAGTTGTGGTGGCACCTTTGGTTAAAAAAAAAAAGGCTTTTACAGAGGGAGGAGCTGGGAAAGAGAATAATTCATTGGCAATTCCATGCACTTCAGGTGCACCTAGGTAATTTTACTTGCAGATCCATCATGTAAAGAGTAGTTGAGTTCTGATACAGAGCTGTGGTTTGGACTTCGTTGGACTCTTGAATCACCTCCATCCCAGCCAGCATGGGTTCTGGAGGACAATAACATCACCATAGCCACAGGTCCTCTTGGGGTAAGATTGAATAGCTGGGCGCTCAGTGAAACTGGCTGACAGGAGGAGATTCAGGGCAGGTGAAAGGGCCACCACTTCCCACAAACCACCAGTCATGGATTCCTGAGCTGGATCTACAATGACCTGCTTAACATTATTAGATACAGTAGTACCTTGGTTCTCAAACAGAATGCTTTCCCTGGAGTCCGGTCGACTCCCGGAACCGTTTGAAAACCAAGGCGTGGCTTCTGATTGGCTGCAGAAGTGCCCTGCAGCCAATCAGAAGCCATGCAGGATGTTTGGCTTCTGAAAATTGTTCGAAAAACCGAACACTCACTTCTGGGTTTCGATCATTTGGGAGTTGATTTGTTCGGGAGGCAAAGCATTTGAGATCCAAGGTACGACTGTATATCGTTCTAAAATGTCACAGGGCATACTTGTAAAATAGAGCATTTTTTAAACCTTCCCCCCCCCCCCCCATCAAAAATGGCTATCTGCCTACTGCTGGTTGCAGCACCCTTGGGTATCACATTTTAACAACGCATTACGAACGTTATAAGGAGGATGCCATGTGTCCATAATGCTTAGCAAAACGCTTCCTTAACATTAAAAACCACATTGTTTATTTCTTTCTATTCTGACATCTTTATTGAAAGTTAAAAAGTACATAGTTATATGTGCACTAAACATGGTCAGACGTAAATAAAAGAGAGAGAAATAAAAAGAGAAACAGCACCTGTGTAGAAGGGAAAGTAAAGGGAGAGGAGGGAAATAAAACCTAAAACTCTATACTATTGTTATTGTACTTCACCAGATCTTAACCTATTACAGTATTTTTAAGAATGCATTCCAAATATCGTTGAATTTCGTCCATGGCAAGTCTGCGTTTATATGCAAGTTGTTCATATGTTGCGAGTTTGTATAAGTCTTCAATCCAATCGTAGAAGGGAGACGCATTTTTATTTTCCCAATTCATCAGTTTCAGTCTTTTTGCCATGGTAAGGGCCCGGAGAGTCCACTCATATTGTCCTTTCGTAAGGTTCCCTGTGCTGGGCATATCTTTCAAAAGGATATTTTGCTCTGTAAATGTGAGGTTGTTCCATACAGTCCCTGCTGATGGTTTCAGTTACCTTCTGCCAAAAATATTTCAATATAGGACAATGAAAAAAACCATAGGTTTGAGAGAAGCATTATCCCTATTAAAAACCGTGAGTGTAGATCTGTCCCTAGTAGCCTTGGGCAACCTGGCGCCCTTGAGGAACATGACTGATGGGAATTGTAGTCAATGCTAACAATCATCCAGGTGTGTTTGGGATTGGCATGGGTCCAGTTGTGACCACGTGGAGATTTCTGGATGCCTGGTTGGTGACACCTCCACCTGGCTAGCCCCTCCAGCTTTCTTAAGCAGCTAAGCAGAAGAGCTTGTTTATTGCACTTACAGTGGTACCTCAGGTTACATACGCTTCAGGTTACAGACTCCGCTAACCCAGAAATAGTGCTTCAGGTTAAGAACTTTGCTTCAGGATGAGAACAGAAATCGTGCTCTGGCGGTGCAGCGGCAGCAGGAGGCCCCATTAGCTAAAGTGGTGCTTCAGGTTAAGAACAGTTTCAGGTTAAGAACGGACCTCTGGAACGAATTAAGTACTTAACCTGAGGTACCACTGTATCTCTCACCTTTCTCTCCAAGTTCTCCATGGTTCACCCCCATCCTCAGTTAAGGATTAAGAGGCTGCAACTGGCCCAAGGACACCCAGCGAGCTTCATGACTGAGTGGGGATTCAAACCCTGATCTCCCAGGTCCTAGTCCAACGCTCTCACCACTACACCACACTGGCTTCCTAGAGTACTTCTGCTATAGGTCAGCTATATAAATTCGGCAAGTAACTCAATATGGGGAAAGCGGAATGTCACTTCGAGAAGGACATGAAATATTTTCCTTGAAGCTTGAATTTGTTTTATTCTGGATTGTTTGATTTGATGTTTTAATGTGTTGTGAACCACTTTGAGACTTTTTTCCCATTAAAATATAAAGCACAATAGAAATGCTGATGCTGATGCTGATATACAAAATCTGCTCAGGATGATAGATCCAGTGTGATTAGTATCTACATGGTGCTTAGAGAATAACTTGCACCTAAATACTAGTAAGACAAAGGAGATGGTGTTGGACTTCCGGAAGAAGAGAGGGGAACCTGCCCTGTTGTATATTAGTGGGGACTGTGTGGAGAGAGTCTCCTTTAAATTCCTGGGAGTTGGGAGTTTACCTTAGTGAGGACCTCACTTGGAAAATCAGCATAACTCAGGTGGTCAGAAAGGCCCCACAGAGACTCCATTTCTTCAGGGTCTTGTGAAGGAATAATGTTAAACAACAACTGATGAACTCCTTTTACCGGTCCACAATAGAAAGTGTCCTTTCATATTGTATCACAGTGTGGTATGCTGGCCTGACAGCCATGGACAGAAAGTCTCTACAGAGGGTGGTGAATACAGCACATGCTATCATGGGCTGTCCCTTGAGTCCACTAGATGACATCGCAAGGGATTGTTGCCTGAGGAGAGCGAGAAAAATTCTCAGGGATGACTCACACCCCGGCCATCACCTCTTTAATCTTCTACCCTCGGGCAGGAGATACAGAAGTATAATCAGCCGTACCAACAGGCTAAAAAATAGCTTCTATCCATGGGCTGTTAGGCTGTTGAACGAAAAATAACATAGCGAAAATGACTTGCGAGGTGGTGTGTTGTTTGATAAGAGATTTGAGTGGTTTTTTGGGGGGGAGGCTCATTGGGTTTCAATTGGGAAGTTCCTCAAAAGAGCGATCTGCAATATGAGATTAATGATTCTGCCCTGCCTTGCAAGGTTGCTGTTAGAGAACGCTGGTAAAAAGCTTGAAGAGCGCTCAAAGGACTCTCCTTTCAGTGCCAAATATTGCATTATTGAGAGGGGCTTTGGGTTTCCTGGCTCAACATCTTGCAATCTTTACATGCTTTGCCGCTTGTAATAAGATTCGCGAAATTGAAAGCCGCTTCCTTCTCTCTTCCCTTCCCCTTTCCCAGATAAAAATATTTTATGAAGAGCACTTACACCTGGATGATGAGATTCGCTACATCCTGGAAGGAAGTGGGTATTTTGACGTTCGCGATAAAGACGACAAATGGATCCGGATTGCCATGGAAAAGGGAGACATGATCACGCTTCCTGCTGGCATCTATCACCGATTTACGCTGGATGAATCTGTATGAAATTACTTCCCCACCCCCCACCCCCCCATAAACATCTACACAGAGTTGACAGAATTGTCTGCAGCTGTAGAACAGCATATTAATAACAAAACTCTTGAGACCTGCAGTGTAATCTGCTAAATTAAAAAATGTGTGGGTGGGATAATGAGGGAAGAACAGGCAATGGGTACAAAATCAGAGCCTGTGACCACTTTTATTTGTTTTTCTATTTAAAAAAAAAAAAGGAATTTAGGGCTGCATCTCAACAGTGGGAACTGGGGCTGCATCAGTGCCAGATTTAGAGCATTGTGAGTGGTTCCCATGAATAGGGTGCTGAGCTGAGCAGGGCTCAAAATTGAGAAGATCCTTAATTGAGACGATCCATTTGGGGGAGCAAAATACTGGCCTCACACAGAGCGTTATATTAGAAAGATGACCATCTCTGGCTGCAGACATACAGACATACCATACAGTTAACGCATGCCATTTCCCCCAGGGAATTAAGGGTACTGAGAATTGTAGTTCTGTGAGGGGTAAACTACAGTTTACCAGAATTCATTTTTATGTGTGTGGGGGGGGGAGATGTGCTTTACATGCCTGGTGTGAACACAACCTGTGTTTTGCCATATTAAACCTGTGGAGTAGGGTGGGGAGAGTCACTTGAAATTCATTGAAGGGATTCCTCCCCCTCCCCTAATTTTTATCATCACCACCACAACCACCATAATCTCCAAGGAACTCAAGGTACATAGCTGTTCCTCATCAACAATTCTGTGCGGTTGGCTTGGCTGAGAGACTGTGACTGGCCCAAGGGCACCCAATGAGCTTCAGGGCTGAGCGAGGATCTTGACCCCGGACTTGCAGGCCTGGGTACGAGACTCTTCACCACCACACCACACGGGCTCTGCAATGTCTTGCTCTCTGTGCAACTCTGGTGAGGATCCCTCTCTGCTTTCTTGAGAGGGGTTTTCAGGGGTTCGTGGTGAAGGGGACAGAAAGACCACTTGTACGAATTCCTTCTTCTCAGCGGACCACGCCCTGGCTCCATTTCTCCTCATCTAAAATTGCCTGCATTTATTAGTATAGAAAAAACAGCTTTTAAAAACGCTTCTCCCCACAGATTTTCCCGCCCCCAGTAATCCAGCAGTCCTACTTTTGTTGACAGTACTGACCAGTGCTTTTCTTTTCCCTAAAAAAATGTTTAGGGGGTGCTCTCATTTTCCTACTCATTGAAATACCGCTCTTCAATGAGGCCAAACTTAGATTCACAAAATGTTTAGGGGTATGTGTTCCCCTGTGTCCCCCCCAGAAAAAAAAGCACTGGTACTGACTGGAAGTCATACGTTTCTGCACCTTGTAGGTAATCAAAGCATGGCAGCTTCAACCTCAGTTCGGTCATAAAGCCCACCTGTCTTCCAAGCTGCCATTCCCAACTCTCTGGGATTAGAAATCAATTCCTCAAGGTTCAGGCAGGGATAGTATTTAGAGCACATGCACTTTCTCTGCTCTGCGCTGCTGCTGCTACCTTTGCAGTTAAATGGAGCACTCGTGTCTTCGGCCTTGTCACAAAATCCATCTTTAGTAAGGGATTGGTGTTGCCATAGCAACTATGCAGTGGAGCCTTGGGAGATCTGCTTTGCTCATCCTGTTCTCTGGCTTGTTGTGAGGGATGTATAAAGCATTTGATATAGAAAGTTTGAGGTCGCTGTCTTGCTACGGGTCTGAGGCCTCTGGCCGGCTCTTAGAATGAGCTCTGCGATCTATTGGTTTCCCTCTGCATAGGAAAACAGGTGCCGGCCCTGACAGAGTGACAATATCACGACCCCCAAATTTTGTTGAATGTGCTTTGTCGAATCGAGAAGTTTTGCCTTGCTGTTAATATCGCCGGAAAGATTAGGTGGCAGTCATCCAAGTTTTGCTCAGAGTAGGCCCGTTAAAGTTAACGTACTTGAGTTAGGCCTGTTCATTTCAAAGGGTCTACTCTGAGTAAGGGCGCTTCAGTGTTGAAAAACAAAGCAAAACATGCAGTGTTAACTGCAGAGATGTTGCTGTGCATCAGCAACAGAAACTGGAGTCAGACGTCTTATGTGTAAATTTTAAAAACGAGGAACGAGCAAAGAGATTTCTCTTCTTACCCCTCCAACCTGCATGTATTGAATTATAAATGTTAATCATACTGATTTCATGTAGGCTAGCATTGCAATAACTTGTGTGTGCCCCAAGCCTTGTTCAGAGTTGGTTTTGCATTGAGCAGTACTCATTTTTGTTTTTTATAAAGAGCCAAAATTCACCTTGAGAAACTGTTCCAAACACAGAGCTAATATGAAGGGGGGGGGAGGGGAAAGCATTAAATGCTAAATTTTGGTGTGTCAGGCTGTTCCAAAAGGGGCTCCCCCTTTTGTGACTTGTTCATGATCTCTTTTCCATGATGGGTTTCTGGATGTTTTTGCCTTAGAGCAGGGACAAGGCGAAGCGATTTCACTTTACAGTGTCTGCTCTTTGCAAAATGTGAATATTGCAAGGAATCCAAACACAATTAGGCTATGGGGATTGGGGAATGGATATTTCAAATAAAGTAGCCAGTGTTTCTCCAAAGCTGGCTGTTTCCCGACCCTTCAGTTGGACTCGAGCCCTGTACTTTGAACCCCACTCCTTTCAGGGTTTTCATTCTTGTTTTTCAGAAGTAAACCATGTTAAGTGTGAACTTTCTGTGTTTCTGTTCCCAGAATTATGTGAAGGCAATGAGGCTGTTTGTCGGAGAACCTGTGTGGACAGCGTACAACAGGCCTGCGGATCATTTTCCTGCTCGAGTACAGTACCAGCAATCTCTGGTGCAAGCAGCACAATAAACCAGTGGGAAGGTTCGAGACTCAGTTTCCCACAACTTCTGAACAATGGAAATAGCAAAATGGCCTTTTTAATGCCACCCGCTTATTAATGAGACGTTGGTTTCCTGCAGCTCTAATGTAGGGGAAGCAAATAGAGGGGAATGTTTGTTCTGTTCTTCCTCAATCAATTGTTGGATGGAAGATGATTACCTTTCCTTTTCTTAAAAGTGGGAGAGATCTTTTTGAGCAGATCTGGAGGTTGCATTTAACTTCGACTAGTTAATCCAAGGATCTCTCTGCTGCTCACTTAGTTAAATAATTCAGTTACACCTGAAGATTCATATAGTGTAGCTTTCCCAACTTTGTGAGGGCACCAAGCTGAGGAAGGCTGATGACAAGGCAATATAAATGCTTACCTGATCTTGTTTTGCTTTTCAATACAGTACAGATTTATTCAGTTGAGGATAAGTTGATTTTTTTCTTTTTAAAAATACAAATTCAAAACTGTTTGAATACTTTTTCAGTTAATCCAGTGCTGTGCTCATGCAAAGAGAGGGGAATTCACTTTGTGCAAATGCTGCTTTAGCAACAAATATTTGGGCAGAAACTATGAATAGCAACCTTATAACGCTGCCTTATCCAGTAGCCTGAGGTTTTGGTTGTTTTTAACAATCGAGCGGTACATAAATTTTATGAAATAAATAACTAAATAGAACTACTGTGTCTCATAAATGAGTTGGGACAAACCAGGTTCCCTCTGTCTGGCTTCCTTAACTGTCTAAGCATTTGGATAAACAGAGTTCTTTTCCGCCTTAGGTGCAATCCAACAAAACCTGTTATGCATATTGAAGTCAGGTTACAGCAGCAAGTCGCTGAAATACATCTCTGGTCAATAGGTTATATCTGGCAGTACAAGAATGTTGCCCTTATCCCCTGAATGCTCCCAAACACTTTCTGGAGGAATGAGAGATCTGCAGTAGCAGTGGGGGTGGGGTGAGGGACCTACCGTGGGGAAAGTCAGATGGAGGGAGTTTGCACAAGCCCTTGTGGGGTGGGAGGCAAGAGGAACTGGAACTCTCTTTGCAATTGTGCTACGCAGGGTATGCCCCAATAGCTGCACAGATTTGCTACCAGAACTAAGGTAACCACATTTTCTGCCATTCAGCAGTGCATGGGGTATTGCTGGAAAATCAGAACACTGTCTTGTTTTAATATTTATGCAGATGACAAAAAAATCCGTTAGAGTTGAACACTTCAGGGGTGCAGTCCCCAACATATTTCCTCCCAAATATTATTCAGATTGTAGCCCTCCGCTTGGTTCGAAAACAGCAAAGTGGCCAGGATTCAAGTCTGGGGTGCATGATAACCGTGCACACATTTGGATCAGTGTTGTCTTCACGGAGCGATTCCTTCCGGACAGGGAGCTCACGATCATGATTTTGTCTGCCATTCCCCCCACGTCTCATTAGCTTCACTGCTGATATTTCAGGTTGATCATCTCTGTGTCAGGCGTATGTGGGTGTCGAGGGCAGCCGTGTTGTAGGACCGAGGCTTTCTAGCCTGTCGTGCCATTTGCTCACTGGAGAGAGGCGCTTCCTTCCTTTCTTGTTTAACCCCGGCACTAATTAGCTGACTAGTTCAAGGCAGGGTTAGGTCGTCGGTGGCGCGTCAGCCGCAGGAAGTTCCCAGCAGAGCCCCGCGGGCTGTTGTGCCGGCGGAAAAATACATGGCCACAGGCAGCAAGAGCCAGATGCCTGGACTCGAGTGGAATGCTAAAACCGAGAGGAGCTAAAGACTGCGAGAGGAGCAGGGCTGGGTTGCAGCAAGGACCCATCTGGCCTAGCATTCTGTCTCCTTCAGCAACCAGCTACAGCCTACTGGAAAATATACATTGGTGGCTGTTGTGTGGATGAGAGAGAGTAGCCTTGACAACCGTTTCCCACAGATACATGGGAGGGACCTGATGAGGAACGGTTGAAGGAGCTGGGTATGTTTAGCATGGGAGAGAGGAGGATAATCACCATCTTCAAATATCTGAGGGGCTGTCACACGGAGGATGGAGCAAGCTTGTTTGGGTTGGGGGTGTTTACTGGGCTGTTTTTGTTTTTTAAATATGTATTTAGCAATTTTATACAGTGGTACCTCGGGTTAAGTACTTAATTCGTTCCAGAGGTCTGTACTTAACCTGAAATTGTTCTTAACCTGAAGCACCACTTTAGCTAATGGGGCCTCCTGCTGCTGCCGCGCAATAAAATAAAATTCCTATCACAGCAGCCACCATTTCAGTTTCCCCCAGCACAGCAGCTCCATGGTAGGAAAAGCTGCACCGGTTGAATTTCTGCCTGCCATACAGCTGTTAAAAGGTCTAGGAGCTCCAAGAGGAAGGGGAAGGCTGAAAGGGGACCAGCGGTAACCGTGCCGTAGCTTAATGCTTCTGCCTTCGACGCTCACACCTCCAACCAGCTCCCTTACAGAGTACAGCTCCCTCTCTCTCCTAGTCTCTCCCCTGCTCTCCTTCCTTCCTACTTCATTTGCTTTGGGGTGGGTGGGTATAATAATATATGAACATGATGAATAGCCCTTTAGCAAAACGGAGAGCACTTGAGGACCTTGGGAAATCTAGACTGCTGACTAGCTTGAAGAGGTAATGATTTGTACTCTTAATTAGGGAAGGGGAGAGGGCTGTTTACTTTTGTTTGACAGCCATTGTGTCTGCCTGCACTCAATCAGGGAGCAGCTTGAAACCCCCAGGACTTTTCTCTCGTTCCTTTTTAAATTTTGGAATTAAAAATTTAGCATTCATGAAAGGGCTGGTTCCTGCTAGGGCACTGAGGGGGTGGTCTGGTGCCAGTTGTCTCCAGATCCCGTCTGCTAAGGTTCTGCTGTTCCTGCCCTGGGCACACCCAGTGCAGACCAACATAAACCCGCTCCCAGATAGGATGCAGAGTCTTCCCATCGCAGCTGAAACTCACAAGGTCTTACCTGAGACCATAAGGTGGACATCAGCCTGTTTGGGTGATGAGAGAATTCAACTACTGTACTGTGTTCCATTTAGGACTGTCATCTCTGTGCCTCATGCAAATTGGTGTGTGTGTGAGAGAGAGAGAGAGAGAACATGGTGTGTGGCTTCACTGCCTTATCTCTGTGCCAGGAAAAAGACCGGAACCCTATTTGTCTCTTAATAAAACCAACTTACTGGGCGATACCTGGTTTTCAGCATACAGTGGTACCTTGGATTAAGAACTTAATTCGTTCTGGAGGTCCGTTCTTAACCTGAAACTGTTCTTAACCTGAAGCACCACTTTAGCTGCCGCCGGAGCACGATTTCTGTTCTCATCCTGAAGCAAAGTTCTTAACCCGGGTAGTATTTCTGGGTTAGTGGAGTCTGTAACCTGAAGCGTCTGTAACCTGAAGCGTATGTAACCCGAGGTACCACTGTATTGCGATATATCACCAGGTACACATAGCAATACACCAATATACCACGATGTCTGAAATAAGAATGCAGCTCTTAGAGGCATTGGCTGGCTTTGTGGTTTTCCCCAGGTCGTGGTTTTCCCCAGCGCCCGCTCTTGTGATTTTCTGCCCCGCTGCATGAAGCAGGGGAAAGCTGAGCTGTCAGAGTGAACAGGGGCTGCAGGAATCGAGAGAAGTATTGGCTGGTTTTGTGGTTTCACCGACATTGTGATGTTTGTATAGTGCGCGCGCACACACCCACCCCATGATTCACGCTATATTGCCAGGTCAAAAATTATGGAACCGGTATCACCAATACGTGCTCCAAACCAGTTTTGGACGATATATTGATATATCTCTCAGCCCTATTAGAGAGCCAGAGTGGTGTAGCGGCTTGAATGTGGGATTAGGACTTCGGAGACCAGGGTTCAAATCCACACTCAGCCATGAAGCTCACTGGATGCCCTTGCGCTAGTCAAGAGTTCCTACTTTCCCAGCCGAACCTCTGCCTCACAGGGTTGCTGTGAGGATAAAACGGAGAGGGTTGAGGAGAGAACTACGCAGTACTTTTTTTCCTGGGGGTAGGCATACCCCTAAACATTTTGTGAATCTAAGTTTGGCCTCATTGAGGGGCAGTATTTCAATATGAGTCGGAAAATGAGAGCACCCCTAAACATTTTTTTTTTAAAAGTAAAAAAGCACTGGAACTACACCTGCCAATTTAAGGTGGAATTTAAATGTTAACAAGAAATAAGAGCATTTTGTGTAGGATGATCCCATCCTGTGGTAGCAGAAAGGAAGGAAGGAAGGAAGGAAGGAAGGAAGGAAGGAAGGAAGGAAGGAAGGAAAAGGAGGGGGAGAAATTAACTCATAAAAAACCCAATTCTCCCCTTCCAATTGGCTTTAGCCTCACAAAATTCTATAAAGCAGTAGCATGATTCTGAGGTCACCCATGATAAAAATGGTTAGGATGGCTAGACACACAAGAACGCGAACACACACACACACAGAAACTCTTGAAGGACTAAGTCACTGATAGAACATCCGCTTCACATCCAGAAGGTACCGAATTAAGTTCCTGGCAGTGTCTCCAGGTAGGCCTGGGAGAACGTGGCTTGAAACCCTGGAGAGCTGCTGCCAGCCAGAGTAGGCAGTACTGAACTAGTTAGATCAATAGTCTGACTCTGCATAAGGCAACTTCCTATGTACTGGCTAGCTGCGGAGGGGGGAATATTAGATGATCAGCTAATTGGCGTTTGGGCTGCCTAGCATGAACTGTTTTGTCTTTTTTAAAGTAACAAGATACTCTGGCCAGGCCATGTTGATACTGAAACAGCCTCCTTTTTACCTGTCATATTGCAGGGGAAAGCTCTTGCCCTAACAGAAGGAAAATAGCAGGAGATGGCCACAAGGACAATTTAGCAAGAGTGTTTTAAAAAGAGTACTTCTCGCTTATTGCTCTCTTTGACTTCATACTGGGGGCCTGGCTGTACTCTGCTCAGATTCAGGCACCCGGGTTTAGCTCTAGGTCATAAATGTTCAGGAGATAGGGTTGCCAACTAACCAGTTAAAATAAAATAATAAAATAAAATAAAATAAAATAACCTTCCCAGCCAGCTCCTCAATCTTTTAAAGCAGCATGATGCACAGGAATGAGCGGGTGGTGGTTTTCATGAGATGTTTATTTCCATTTCCTCCTGCTAATTCCTGAAGATCAAATATCTGTTAGAGGCACAGCATCAGGTGCCTGCGCGAAACTTGGCAAGATTCAAAAACAAAACAAAACAAAACAAAACACATTTGCTGGGGTTTTGATTCTTTAGCCCAAGCTTAATTAGGATTGATTTTGCATGTTATATTTTTACACGGCACAGTGACAAATGAAGGTCTCCATCTTAGGTTTGAAAACAATATCTTTAGTTGGGGTTTTTTTGGTACTGCTTTTAAAAAAAGATATATATATATTAGCTGTTTATGCGATATGTTTGTAAACTGCCTTGAGACTCATGCAAAAAGGGCAATTCATAAATTTAAAAAGTAAATAGATAAGGTAGATATTTAATTACTTATTTTATTTATATTCTGCCTTTCTCTCAGTGCAGGACTCAAGGCTGTTCACAGCATGAAATAAAATGAATGCAGCTAAAACACACACAATCAGTATAAATACTTTTTTTAAAAAGAAAGGAACGCTATTAAAAACAACCACCACCAAAAGCACTTAAAACCATTTAAAAGTACAAAAAAGGGTGGGGGAGAAAATATACAACACCCACTCTCAGAAGTCTCAGCCACAACAACCAGCTAGTGGCAAACTCTCCAAACAGAAAAAGGTATTTATTTGCCTGCAGTTTGGGGTTGTTATTAAAA